CAACCCATTTGCGGTATAAACATTTTATTTAATAAAAAAAACTTTCATCCGTTAAACAGATGGTTGAAGGTCGACCTTACTTCGGATCTTAGACCATAATATCCAAGTGGGTGTTAAAAAATAACTATCCTAGAACGCTCTATTAATAGATCCCCTTTTCTTAAACTAAAATTAGATACTTTTTAAGTGTTAAAAAATATTCGTAACTGTCTCGCAGTTAGTTGTTTGTAATCGGATCTCATGTGAAATGCAGTCAATCAAGAAACTAAGAGTTCGAAGAAATAAGAAATGTGTGTGTGTGTGTGCAAGAAATGTAATATCCTTTTTCCTTGGCCATGTGCATGAGAAAAAGTTGATGGAAGTCGTGAAGCACTATTATGAATTACGTACTTCTTCGTACAGCTATTTAAAATTGTTTTTTTTTTCCTGTGATGGTATTTTTATTATCATACAGAAATACAGTGTACAGTATGGTTCATTTCAAATAACGATAACAAGACAAATTCAAATTCGATCTTTAAAGTGTCCAATACATAGATCTCTGTGAATTACAATATTAGTTAAAAATAAACGGTGTATAACAGGTAGTGAAACGACTGTGAAGACTAGAGATAAGGAAGCGAATCGACATGCTCAAAATACGGTCCCAAAAATCACACGTCAATTGAGCTTTTATAATTAACCGCATGGGCGCTGGTACGGTTTACGTAGTTCAAAATACATGGCTTCTTATGGGAATTATACATAATTTTGTCAAAATAATAAAAATAAACTTGTTTATAGCTAAATAAAGCACAGAACATACTGTTGTATTTATTTCTAAATAAGTCTTACATATTTTAATTGATACATTATTTACTATTTATTCCTATTTAAGTAAAATGCAAATTATTGATGATAAGTGTTGAAATTTGATGGGTATGGCTAATTATTTTTTAATTAAAGCTAAATAGGGCTGAGGGCATACTAAGACACGGTTTAAATGAAAATATTTAGTTAGGAATTTTACAAAATTTTATGAAAATAATAAAAATCAAATTGTTTATTGCTAACTAAAGCACAGAAAATTCTGTTGATTTTAATTATTGTAAATAAGTCTTTGTTTTAATTGCTAACTAAAGTACAGAAAATACTGTTGGTATTAATTATAAATGAGTCTTTATGTTAAACAATATTTACTATTCATTATTTAATTTTATCTAAATAAAATGAAAATTATGTATTACCAAATTTGAAAAAGTTTCTTAAATGGTGAAATTTGGTAAGTACCTACAGTTTTGTGGTAATTTTGTATTCGACAACTACAATTTCATCATCCTGGTGAATAGTTTCTTCCTTTTTTTTATTCTAACAAATTCAGTTCGGTTCAATAGTGGTTTTCGTCTTTTCCTAATACTGGACAAGTATGAAGGGAGATTCGGGAATATACATCGTATTGCTTCGTTCTTTATTCTCGGCTTTTATTTTGTTAACAGTAAGTACCATTAGTTAAAATAGTTTTATCAAATTTTAAAATATCATCTTCTAAAAAGTGTAGCTCGCAAACAGAATCATAACTAGACAGTACTTTATCAGCCCTAGGAATCACATGCTGCCATTGTTCTAAACGTTTAGGATCCTATAAAAAATATTTGGAATGACTAAATTGGAGTTCAATAAAGAAAAATAACAGTAGTAACTCTTCATCTAACATCAAAAAACATAAAAAAAGCAAATTTTCTTTTCTAGTAAGTTAAATTTAATGTGTAATTATTGTTGTTTGTAAGTCAGGATTTATGACTTTATTATTTTTTATTATAGAATTTTGTAATTAAATAAACTACACTCCGTAAGATACGGGTTGTGATAAGTTTACAATAAATATATATTATTTATAAATAAATACATTATTTTACTTACACTAGGAGTTTTAAAAAGACTTGTATTTTTATCTCCTTGTGATTTCTTTAATTTTATATCGGATTTATATCCCGTTTTGCAACCAGAAACGAAGCAAATCCTGCTTTAACCTTTTTTGTTACTTATTGTTACTTGTAGTCAGGTTCTTTTCACAAAATTTTACAAAAATCACTTTAATTCCCATTGACTTGCATAGAAAATAGACGTCGTTATTTTGCCACCCGCCAACTACAGTAGTTTTTTGGAACTCCATAAAAATAGGGACGGAAATTTGAAATTTGACCAAGGCCGATTCGCCTCCTTATATCTAGTCTTCATAGGAACGACGTTGTTAAAACAGTCTCTAGTATTTCTGTAATTAAGATAATGATATAATTTTTTTGTCAGCTTATTAATACTTACCATAATTTGAGTTTATTTTCCTTTGAAGCAATCTAAAAAAAAATTGAAATTCACCAGTAATATTGGTTTAAAAATAATCTAAAATCTCTAAAAAATTATTTAAATCATCAAAACACGTTACAAAGATACAAATCGGATAATAACCTACAAGAAACTCAAAAACGAGGAGATTACAAATTTTAATCCTCAAAAAACTTGATTACGATGAATATATTGCTGGAGCAGACAATAAAGTCAAGGCATGTTGGCAATTAATCAATTTCGAACGAAACAATTTAAAAATAAAATTTGTCACTCCTCATTTAACACCAAATGAAATAAATAATGTTTTCAGTAATATCGCAGACAATATCATAAGATCTATTCCTAATCTTTCAAATAATGAACTATGTTTTAAATATTTTGTAATGCCTTGTAACTCATTTTTCTTGCGCTCTGTTTTTGAATCTGAAGTTTTTCTGTGCTCAACGTCGTGACTGATTAAGTTGCGGAACGTGAACAGGGAAATCACACAGTAGTAATATTGTGCGATCTATCCAAGCCTTTCGACTGCGTCTCTCGTGACATTCTTTTGGAAATTCTAAGCTTTTATGGAGCAGGGTTACTTCACTTACACTGATAAATTCATACCGCAGTAATAAAAAACAAGCTGTAATAAGTAATGGTATTCTGTCTGATTATCAAGCTGTGAAGCACGGGGTTCCACAAGGCTCTGTTCTCAGTCCCCTTTTATTTGCTGTTTATATTAACGATCCAAGCCGATTAATGATACCTTATAAATCAGTTGATTTGTTGATGATACAACATTCATTTTAACAAACAAAACTAATACAAATGTTACTTCTTCATTTGATGATATTGTGTTCAGAGCAAAATCATGATTCTTAACTAAGAAGTCAAAGTTAACAGTGAAAAAATTCAAAATATATAGATATCTGCTAATAATCAAATTATCTCGAAACAGTCGTACAAAAAACATGAAATTACTTGGTATTACGTTGGATCATTGGCGGCTCGTGACCCATTTATTGGGGGTTCATAAAGATATTATAGATTTGAGTACATATACAGGTAAAAAATTTTTACTGTTTTAGAAATATATTTAAAATATACCTTTCTAATTGTTTTACCTACATGTGGACTGAGATTTATATTCTGTCATTGTGGACCCTCTATATTTGGGTAACGAGGAGCCACTTCGTTGGATGACAAACTGAGTTGGTCGGCTCACATTAATCAATTAAGAAAGGGCTTTCTAGTTATTTGTTAATTCCTCAGCAGTTGAAAAAACTTAAGTACCTACCAACCGTAATGCCCCTTATGACTACGTATTTTTGTCCCTTTCACTCGAATATCAGCTATGGGAAACCGTTACAAATCTATGCAAAAAAAGCAATTAGGATAAAGGCAAATATTGGGTTCAGAGAACGTTGTCAACAATATTTTATTAAATTTAGAATTATGCAACTACCTACTTCATATTTACATCATCATACACTTGTTGAAATTCACAGGAGTCAGTTTACTGAAGCAGTCCGATATTCATAGTTACAAGACACATAATTGGAACTGTATCAGATATTATCGATCTAGCCAATTGAAGAAATAATTCTTTTAATAAAGGGACCGTTTGGGAAGGCGAGACGGAGACCGACTTCAAGCGACAGGAAGAAAGCTGCAACTCCTACCGTGCTAAATCTGCTGTCGTCTGTCTTGCCTTCCCAAATGTGTTTCATATAATTACATGTGTTCAGACGTAAAGAGACCGTTTTGGGATTTGCTGCTTGCTGCCCGTCGTTTGAAGTCTGTCTCGGTCTAGCCTTCCCAAATGGTACCTTAAATATTAAAAAAATATCTATTGAAACATTGGTTTTACTCTGTCAGTGAATATTCTCTCATGTAACTGCAAACAATGGTACGTTGTCTTTTGTTCTTGCTATGGAGGGTGAACAACATGTACTATGTCCCGGTGGCGGGAGCTGTCGTGTGACCTGTCAAAGTCACTTGTCAAAGTTACTAGTCGATGGATTTTTCCTTTTTTGTTGGCAATGAAATGTATGTTTCTAGACGCCGATAACAATAAAAAATCGCTTTGCAACCATTTTATGTGGTCCAAGTTTGCTACTTCCGGTGTAGAGATTTCGGTCACGTGACCAGATATTTATCTTTTTCAACGAAATTCAGAGCATAGCATAAACGCGTTTTTGTGTCTGCGAAAGGGTTGAAATGCAAAACTAAGATTTTTAGTTTCAATTATTAATTCAGATGAATTAAGTATGTACTATTTATTTTTTCTGACCAAAATAAAAAAAATTGTTTAATATTTATAAGAATAAAAAAACGACCTTTTAAAAGTGAAAGTGCGTAATGTTTTACATGACAGCATAGCGAATTTATTAAGAGGTGTTGATTTTATTATTTCTATAAAATTAACATTAAAAATTTTTTTTTCAACTTTTTTTGCCTACAGCACAACAGTTGATACTATCAAATAGTCAAATGTTACAAACTTTCTAGTAACAGATAAATAATTATCTGGTTTTTGATTATACATTTTTACTTTCCCATTCTGTGGAATTTTTTAAAATACCTATCTATCTTTATTAAACAAAATCATTCGATACAAAATCGTAATAAATCATCCAGAATAAATAATATTCAGATAAGTTATACCTAATTTATTGTTTTTTTTTTTGCAGTTAAAAATTTCGTTTGTGGATGCAGGACCAGATGTGTTCGAATATCCGTCAGAGACATCACTGATGGTGGACGATTCACCAATACTATCTCCTGTACAACTGGGTCACACAGTTCCTAATTTAAGTGGTAAGTAATTTCAGTAATTTTGCAAAAATTTACTCTTTCTTTGAAATATTAACCAAAAATTGATTTTATGACTATAATAAAGCCAATCACAAAATGCTGAAAATCTTCTATACACATTGATATTTCGTTAAAGAAGGTATTTATAAATGATTGAATCAATTTATTTATTTCTGTACAATCTAAATACAGGGTGTCTCATTAAGAACAGAACAAATGAAGATTATCTGAATAAAAATAAGAATTAAACGAAACATGTTTAAATAAAATATTACTAATTTTCGAAATATAGATTGTTAAAGTTGAAAATTGAAAAGTCAAAAATCGAAAAATCGAGAAATCGAATAATAGCTTTGCCGCGGTAGTCCCCGAGTGCCACACGTATTTTTTTTTATAAATTCTAAATAAGAGAACATGATAGGGATGCGCAAATTTTTTAAAACATCAATGTTGACATCAAATGATACATCGAATACAGACTATCGATATTGTAAAAAAAAAACGGAAAAGAAAATATCGATTTTTTCCAAAAACATTCATTGAAAAGCAAAAAAAGATGTTAATTAATAACATCGATGTCAACTAATAACATCGGATAAAAAAACTCGATGTTAAGGCCAAGTTCAACTTTGTTTGACATATAATCACGATTCTTTTTTAGGTTAGAAAATTGCATTATCGATTTTTTCATTCGAAGTAATACAAGACGTCACTTGAAATTTCTATCTCTTTATGTTTTTTAAACATCGATACATCGTGCGCATCCCTAGTACATAATTTATTTAAAAGAGATCAAAAAATGTAAAAGTATAGTCCAAATAAGTTGTTAGCCAGTGGCGTAAAATTTAGAGGGGATGAAAGCGTTACTTATCCTTGCCGTACGCCACTCGCAAAGTTTATTTAACTGATTGTTTTGCTAATTGGTGTATCTTAGAGCCGGTTCCACCGTTGTGTTAAACGGAGATTAAAATGACATTGTTAATGTAAAAATGTCATTTTAAACTTCGTTTAACACAACGGTGGAATCGGCCCTTATTACACCAAAAATGTTTACTGAATTTATTAAAATTATACTGAGAAATAAAAAAAATATAGCCATTATTAATAATTTTTGAATTTTCAACTTTAACACCATGTATTTCGGAAACCAGTAATATTTTATCTATGCATGTTTCGTTTAATCATCTTATTTTTAATCAGAGAATCTTCAGTTGTTCTGTGTCCCATTTGTGAAAAAGTTTGTTACATTTTACAAAAAATAAAATTAATTTTGTCGTAAGAGCCATTTTCGACCAGTCTGGTCCTGCTCTAGGATTTCTTTAACGCCGGTCGAGGGAGCCGTTCAGCCGCCTACGTGAAATTTCCAAAAATTACCAGAGGTGATGCCGATACTTGGTCTAGTCGAATCGAGAGCGTCTAGGGTCTTCAAGAGAGGTCTGGAACACCAAATTTTTTAAATAAAGAGCTCAACTTTGTTGATATAAGTTATAGTTAAAATCGATTTGTATTGAGATAAATATTGTAAAATAAATTAGTATATAAGTGTTTCAATTAAATAGTGTTATATTTGGTATAAATAAATTGAGTAGTAAATAAATGATTTTAGTGAAAATAAATTAAATAACAAAATATTTAAATAAATAAACGTTACAGTATTGATAAAAAGTTCTGCATCACTTGAAAATCCATAATCAAACATGAAATCAGTAAAGTTAAAAACTTTCTATTGTACATTGTTTTTGGATCATTCTTTGAATAAAATAAATCGAAATCACTTAAGGTGATTACAACACCCTTTATAATTTTCGGACAAGGATATCTCAAAAAGTAATTTTGTTAAAAAATTAAAATTTTGCAAAATAAATTAGGTAATATTATCTAGATATGCATATAGTTTAAAGTTTTAATTCCTTCCAGTTTCCGAGAAAAAAAAATCAAAGAGCTTTAAATTTTGAAATATAATGAAAATTAATGCATTCCTCAGCAGCACTATTCTTAATATAATCCCCAAATTTGAGCTCTTAATGTTGATAAACTTTTTTTAAACGCCTCGGTATAAACTAGTGTAAACTTTCATTGCAAGAAACGAATGATGACTAAGAGTGTACGACACGCTAGTTACAGGCGCCTTACAACAGGAGGTAGTAGCACTTAACGAGGCGTTTTAGCTACAAATTTTGGCTAATTTTAAAAAATCATTAACAAGACATTAAGAGCTTAAATTTGGGGATTATATTAAGAATAGTGCTGTTGAGGAATGCATTTATTTTCATTATGATATTTCAAAATTGAAAGCTCGATTTTTTTTCATGGAAACTGGAAGGAATTAAAACTTTCAAATATATGCATGTCTAGATAATATCAGGGTTCGAAAATATCATGATATTTATATAAATATCATGCAACAAAAACGTTTATTCTAACTCAAATTAAAAAAAAAAAACAAAAATAATAAAATAAACAGATTTTAACATTATTTTAACATTAATATTTTAACACAAACATCTAATTAGAATATTTTAAATTTTAAAAAACAAACCTTTTATTATAACATTTTTAACTCTAAAATGAAAAATAGTAAAAACAAACAAATTTTAACATTATTTTGTTAATTAGTGACAATAACTTCAGATATAGCTGGTACCCATGCCCAGTCAAGGTTGGTTTTCTTTTTGTTTATATTTTGATTCATACACTTAAACATAAAAACCAGTCTACTGGCTTTTGGTTTCCTAAGCGATTCCGTAAATCTGATCGAACCAAACCGAAAGAAGAAAAGGTCCTTTTAATCCCTGCTGTAGATGCCACTGCAGTGTGTAACTGTTCACACAATTCTATAAAAGCATTTTTGTCTGGCCAGTCTGAATTCAATACAGGAACCGATTTCCACCACGTTATTGGTGGAGTAAGCCTAAAATGATCCCCAAAAAGTACTTTGGAAATGGGCTTACTTTTGATATAAGAGACATTACAAATGGAACAAAAGACATTTTTGAGTAGCTGTTAAATGCTTAAATACTTAATTAAGGGCGTATTGAGACATTGTTGGATGTTCAGAATGGTGGAAAACATTTTTAATTTAAAAAATTAAATTATCGAATATATCGGATATATATCAAGGCATAAATATCATGATATATATCATGATATACATATATATCTCTTGAATATATCCTCCGAAACCTGGATAATATTACCTCAATTATTTTGCCAAAATTTTAATTTTTTAACCAAATTACTTTCTGATATATCCTTGTCCAAAAATTATAAAGGGTGTTATAATCACCTTAAAAACAAGTGCAAGGTTTTAAATTGAGCATATGTTTTAATTCCTATAATTTTTACTCATCCAAGTGATGCAGGGCTTTTTATCAAGAATATTTTTTTTTTGTTGAATATATATAAGATATTCCCTGTATATTTTTTGATTCTAAAATGTTATTCTATATATACACTAATTTAAACATAAAATATAAATGTTGCGAAAATATAGCAAAAACATCTGAGTAAGTACACGTGGTGTTGATATTTTAACATTTTGGTATTGGTTTGATAAATCTCCATAGTATTGTTTATTCAATGCCAATTAACAATGAAAATTCCAACGCCTTGGAGTAGTGAAGATGATTATCAACTTTGATTGTTTACACAGGTGGTTTAATGCCAAATTAATTCTGAATATAAATAGTATATTCCCTTACGAGTGTAAAAATTACATTTACACAAGTGGTGTATAATTTTTTTTATATTCCTTATTAGTTTTTAATAATTTTTAAAAGTGTTTTTGCGAGTGGCCTTTTGTCAAAATTAAAAACTTTGTGATTCCATTTACAAACACTTTCATCGGATGAGAAAGGTAAAATATTAGGAAAAAAATGTTTTTTTTAATATCTATACATATTTTCAGTTTTTTTTTTTTTTCAATGTAACAAGTAAGATGAACAACTATTGATACTCTTTCTATATTTAGTATTGTTGCTAAGTAAACAGCTAATAACTTTAGTGGTTGAAGCTTGAACTAAAAAAAGATGAACAATTGTGAACAAGATCTTTTTTTTTATTAATAAAGATGATACCTACTTACAATTTTTTCCAAGTCGTTATCAAAATAGTAAAAAATAAATAGCGAAAAGATTAATAGATTGCCTAACTGTAGTGGTAAATAAAATGTATTAAAAAAAATAAATATTACATTTTTTTTATTTTCATATTTTTCAATATTCATATTTTAAAAAAAAAAGATTGGTTTTATTGAGTTATTGAGAATTGAACTCCGATGGAGAAATCCAAAACTACAAAGTTGAACTATTTGAGCCATGCAGGCTTATGTGAATAATTATCTAATCAAATATGTGTATTAACCAGAAAAAAATTATATATTGTAATGGTTCCACCCCAGAAAGGTTGAATTATTCCAATATCATTGAGCACTAGGGTTGTGGCTTCTTTGACTTCCTGCAACAATTTCAAAAAAATCAATACCTAAATAAAATGTTTAATTCAAATTTAAAAAATCTGCGTCTCTTCTTTTTGCCGTTTCTTCTGCCTTCTGTTCTATTTTCTAATTGTCTGTACTTCTACCTGGTCTCCTCAGATTTCTCCTCTTACTCTTATTAGTCTTACTCCTCTTTCTGCTTAACTCTCCATCCAGCCATGTCTCTTTTTTAACTTTAACTCTTTGTAACTCTTTTAAATCCTTTTTAACTTTTAATATATTTACTTTGTTTCATTTTAACAATTTCAAATTCAACTTTACAATTATTTAACCCAAAATCCTATTACCATTGGAGTCACAACCTTAAGACCATTCCGAATAACTTATCGACGCCTACGATACATCCATTTCCTTTTTAACCTCCTTTTTTCTTCTTTCCCAATTTCTACTTTAATCTGAACTTTTGCCCTGTGGAGTGTAGAGGTAAGGAGAACTATCTCTGTATACAAAAAGTGTACCTCAAAATATATAAAATTAAGATGGTGCTTAAGATCACACAGTGACACTAATGATGTATGTAGTTATACAATATTGCTCACACATTTGTATGGAGTGTAGAGGTAAGGGTATATATGCTCAAAGGGTATAGCCTAAAAACTACATCATGAAAAGCCATCGTGAAAAGCGACTGAGCTTATAATCGTAGAGAAATTTTGATAATAGACGACAATAATGCCTTTCATCGTCTGATTTATAAATGGGTGAGCTATCTGTATAACTATATATCATTGGATCTTTCCCTTCTAGTACACGAACGCCATCTTAATTTTATACATTTTGGGAGACACTTTTTGAGATGAACAGCCAGATGAGATTGTCCTTCATACTTTTCCCCTTGACTTATCTGTTCCATCTTCATACCACTTCTTAATTTCATATATTTATTTATTACTACTAATCAAAACACAAATTATCCTCGCACTCTCTCAAATTATCTACACACAACGATCAGTGTATTACAGAAATTAGAAAAATTATCTTACCAATTCTTGCTGTCTTGCTTCCGTCACTCCTACTGCTGCCAAATTTTCGCCCCATAAGTTAGTCGCCAATTTGTAATAGTTTCATCCCAGAAAGGTTGAAGTATTCCAATATCCTAGAGCACTTGTAGCTTTCTAAATAAAAATTTAGAATTCAAATAATAAAAAAATAATCTTCTGCTACGCTTCTTTCTCCCGGACCCTCTGCATTTTGTTCTAACACTTGATGTCTGTATTCCCCGTTCTCATTTTGCTATTTTCCTTTGTTTTCTCATCTTATTTTAACTAGTCTTATTCCTCTTTCTGCTTAACTCTCCTTCCAACTATGTCTTCTTTTTAACTCTAACTCTTTGTAACTCTTTTAAATCAATTTTAACTTTCAGTATCTTTATTTTATATCAAATTAACAATTTCAAATTTAACTTTACAATTCTTTAACCTTCTAACATTTCTAAAAACTGACAATTTTTAATTAAAATTTCAAAATCCCACTACCATTGTGTAACAATCCTAAGGCCGGGGGCCGTCCCGAATAACTTATCGACGATACAGAAGGGAAACATAACATCAAATGTCCTGACGGAATGATGGCAATATATTGTAGTTTCTTTTATATTATTTTAATAATTGTTACAAATAATTATCTAGGATCTAGGTATAAAATCAATGTTAACAATTACGACTAACAACTACTCAACAACTTTTGTTTACAAAAATCGATTTTACTATAGCGGGTTAGTTTGCTGATCGTATACATAAGTTTAATGATTTTACCATTTCTTTTTTCTCTACTCCCTGTTTTAGATATTAGTTTTAATTGATTATTTTTAAATTTCAGGATCGTCTTCTCTAGCGAACTACACGCCGAAAGGCACCGAAAAATTCCAACCAGGCGTTACGAAATCGGTACCCCAGAATGTTCCTAGCCCGCAGAAATCAGAAGAAACAGACCTCCAGCCAAAATACGAACTTGAAGAGATCGAAAAGCCATTTAGTTCGGGCGGTAGCGCCGATATACTTTTTTAAAAATATATTTTTTTAAACATATATTTTGATGGAAACAAAATTCAGTATTTGTACATTTTAAATTCCATAATACGCATTCCAGTATTTGAAGCTATCACATCTTTTTTGGAAACATTTACACTATTTTGTACATCAATGTTTATATTAATATGTATGTACGTATGTTTGAAAACGTCAGTCATATTTTAGGTACGTAGAGATGAAGTTCAAATAATGCACTCAAATAATATGAAAAATAAAAGTGTTTTTTGAAACTTTGCAAATTTGTTAAGTATATTAGTTTAAAAAAAAAATGTTAAATTCACGGCCTTTTTTCGTTTGTAATTCCATTCTTTATACTGAAATGGATAAATTTTCAACATTGATTTTTATAAAAATGTTTTCTTAATTTTTCATTGCGTGATGGAGCAACCAAAAATTGAATACGGATGTTTGTCCACTCTACATAAATTTTTAACAATGTTAAAGTGTTGCATTGCATTTATCAACACCTTCATAAATTTCATAATTTTAATTCAAGAAAATATTAAAATCTGGGAAAAAAATAACAAAATGTTAAAAATGATTATAATTCAGTCAGATTGAAAAAAAATTAATTACAAATTAACATTTTGTGGTTCATAATCTTTAACCAGTAAAATGCTACATTACATTAAAAAATATATATAAGTAAACAAGAAAATGTTTTTTAAAAACCTCAATTTTTAAAGGTACCATTTCGGTAGGCGCGACAGACGACCGCCGACGCGACTTACGACCGCCGACGCGACCGAGAAGTGGCGCTTCACATCTAAAATACATACAATTATATGAAACATATTTCGCACGGCGCGACACGAGAAGTGTCGTCAAGACGGGGTGATTAGGTTGGAAATTTCTTTCGATCTAGGCAGCGTTGCCAGATTTTGGAACAGTATGGGTAAAAAAAAAACGTAGATCTGAACAGTAGATTTTAATACAGGGGAAATAATTATAATTTGCAGTGTAGTAAATAAAAAAACAAGTATATAAGAAACGAAAAATAAACTTTTTTCTACCGAAATTAGAAAGTAAACAAAGAATAAAAACAAATAAAAACATTTTTATTATATACTTAACGTACAGGAAAAAAGAACAATGAAAAATAATAAGTACCTACTTCTTTTAGATCAGTCTAAATCAGATAATTCAAAATCGTAGTGTTTGGCATATGCATGTTCTGTTTATGATGCCCTATTAATTCTTTGTTTCATTTTAAATAAAAACAATGATTATCTTGATGTTTTTTTTATGGAGCCAACCTACAGTAGTGGATGCTTATTACGCTGCTTTTACTGCAGAAAATTTACTAGAGAAAATATTCTTTAACCATTTCCTGAAGAATGAGGCAAACTTAATAAATTAAGAACAAAATTTACTAGAGACAAAAACACTGGATCTACGTAAAAACAGTAGGTCTGGCAACGCTGATCGTTCCCTCGAATGGTTATTTGCAAGTGTCGCGCGACACTTCTCTAAGCTTCCGAAATGTACGGAGCGTAACATTTATGCATCTGTCGTCCTACGGGTCGCCTCAGTGGTCTCCTGTCTCCTGACGCGGCTACCGAAATGGTACCTTAATCGTTCTAAGATAGAATTTAATATTAAATATTTTGCTACAATTTAACTAAAATTGTTAAAAACAACTTTATTATGTAAAAAAATGATTCGATTTCTCATTTTATTATTCAATATTTTGGTATTTTATCAATTCTTAAAAATAACTTTATTATGTAACAAAATTGATTTTATTTCTCAGAGAATTTATATTGAATATTTTGGTATTTTATCAGTTATTAAAAAAAATAATAATAACTTTTTAAATATATTTTTATTACTAGTTACGTTTAACTAGTTTTTCCTATGTATATTGGGAAATATCAAATGAATATATACACAGTATATGGTTCGGATTTAATTTTCCTTAACTAGGGTCCCGTAAAACCTTTATTGATAAAAGATCATTTGACTATTTTAGAAACTAGTTTAGTAAGGTGGGGATTGTGGCTTTCCCCCCACATCACTTAGACCTCCCTAGACTCATTGTGCATCCCCCAGGAGTTGCCTCTCAGCTCATGTTAATAACGTCGCTCTATATAGTGGGCTTCTACTACCCCTATGGTAAATGGCAGGGTGTAGCTATTATGTACGTCCGATCCACGAGAAATTTATTTTTTTAGTGTTACTAATAAATCTAAATTTCCACTGCTCATTTCAAAGAAACGTACGTAAAAATCCAATTTTATTTAGAAATTTATTTTCATATATTGTAGCCTTATAAATTAACTCACTGTGTTTTCAAAAAAGGTGATATTTCAAAGATGTGCCACTATTGTTGAATCCAAGTGACACAGTTTTTATAAAAACACGATTATTAACTATACTGGCACATTTTACGAAATTGGTCGAAAATAGAGCCTACAGTGTCATAACTCAAAATAAGTCACTAATGTTTAAACAAAGCGTTACTATATTTCTCACACATTATAACACGAATCCAACACAGTAGAGATATAATCCTTCTAAAAATATGCCAATCTTTTTGAAACACAAGGGTGAGTAATTTATTAAATTAAAGTAGAAAAACAGCATATTTAAAAAATCGTTTAACATCTAAAAAAATATTATAAATTAATTATTTATATACAATATTGGCAATCGAAGATCTACTAATGCCCATTGACACAAGTGTATGTGAAAACTACAGAGAGCCAGGCAGTAGGACAAGCAGGAAATGCACAATACCAGTGATGCCAGCCTATAAAGCCTGGGCTACATTTTAACGAGGTCACTTCGTATAAATAGCAACGTTGACATTGTTCCTTTTTCGCTTGCTCCAATGCCTACTCTCTGTAGCTTTCACACGCACTTGTGCATCGCGTATTGGAAGAAATTCTTTGGCCGACACCATATGGTTATATAAGTGTGTGTAATCGACACTTTATATCCTGTATGTCGTAATATGTCCCAAACAAGTACAATAACACATGTACAAAATAATATACTTCCGATATCACATAGAGTAAAAAGTTATACAATGTTGTCCTAAACATTATATACATACAGTAGGGGTAATTATTTGACTGTCATTATTAAAAGTTCATATAATCATCGATCCGCAAACGCTTCGTTACCAATCTACAGGGTGTTGAAATTTCAAGATGTTCTTTGTTTTTTCTTAAATTTATAAACACATGCAAACAAAAGTTATGAATTCATATGAGTACTAATTCATTAAAACAAGAAATTATCCACAATAAATCCAAAGTCTACTAGATCATTTTAAAAATTTTACTTTCACTTTTACGGAAAATAGTTTTTTTTATTTTTTTTTTTTTTTTCGGTAACGGTTGGCAAATATATAAAAATTACATATTTCTAAACAAAAGAGAAACATCATTTGATATTTTATAATCTCCCAGTGACGTACCGCAAAAAAGTTAATGGGAAGAAAAGGCGACAATACCCTCGAAAAAATATCATCCTGTAGAGTCTCGATTCTCATAAACATTTGACATGCTTAATGATGAAAGCTTTACAGCGTAAACTAGATTCCAAATTTGAGCTAAATATCTCATAAAATGGCAGAAGCTATTAAAAAAAATTCAAAAAATCTTGAAATTTCAACATTTTGTAAATCGGTAACGAAGCGTTTGTGGACGTATGTTTGTAGGAATTTTTAGTCTTGAAAAGGGCCTTCCATTCATGTTTAGGACCACCTTGTATACAAAAATTACCTTTTTATAAAATTCTCTGTAGAGATAATTAAATAATAAGAAAGAAATAGCAATTTTTTTTATATTTCAACCTTATACAGTGTGTCTACTTAAGTTGGAACCATATGGAAAACATTTTTATTATTGATTTTAGGAAAAAAAGTTATTCTTGATAAAAAGTCCTGCATGACCCAAAACCAAAACCTAAAATACAGTCATCACATATCAAATTTTTCAAGCCGTATACGAGGTTTGTTAAAAAATATGAATTTTACTCAAGAGTAAAGTACGTTTATTGTTGACAAAATCGAAAATTTTCATTAAGAAAAGTTGATTAGAATTGAATATTACATTCAAATATGCAATTACACCGATCTATCTGAAAAAACAGATTTTCTTATTTTCTATAAACTCTACACTCTACACATTGATTGTAAATATCTGAAAACGTTATAAATTACGTTAGCTACATAAACATGATACGCTTTCCTTTGGTTGATGTTTGTGAAGAATTTAGCAAATTTCTTAATGAAAATTTTCGATTTTGTAAAAAATAAACGTACTTTACTCTTGAGCAAAATTCATATTTTTTGACAAACCTCGTATACGGCTTGAAAAATTTGATATCTGATGACTGTATTTTAAGTTTTGGGTCATGCAGGACTTTTTATCAAGAATAACTTTTTTTCCTAAAATCAATAATAAAAATGTTTTCCATATGGTTCCAACTTAAGTAGACACACTGTATAACTTTTTGCTCTTCCTGTATATGATGCCCGAAGTATATTTTTTTGTTAATGTGATGATGTACAGGATGTACTTGTTTGGGATATATTACGATATACAGTGGACGATATTGTAATAGCAACTTTTTGGCTCATCCTGTATACGTGTATTTTTCTGTAATAATAAAAAGTGTAATTTACACACACTTGTCTAACTAAATATAAATAATCTATATATAATCATTATTTTAGGAGTTAAACGATTTTTTATAAATGTAATTTTTCTACTCAAATTTCTAAAATTATTCACCCTATACAGTTGTTTTCCAAAAAGGTTGGTTTGTATTTTGGTAGTCATAAATATCTTGAGTAGCCAAACCATAACTTTTAATATTTATGAATATCAGCAAAATAACGTTTACATCATAAAGTATTTTTTAAATTTTATAAAATTTCATAAGTTCAACACCCTGTATCTCAAAAACTAGTCATAAGAGGATTTTGTGCCAATGGACACTTTTAATAAGGAGATCAAAAGATTCAATATTTATAAAAATTCAGAAGATTCAACTGAAAGTCATTTTCATAAAAAGAAAGTATTTAAAGATGGTCCAACTAGAAAATGATCAACAAAATTGCAATTTTTAGAAATTTTTGTTAAACCAGCCCTTAAATTTCAATTTGATAATAAACTAGATCTGAAAATACACCATAAAAATGTGACGTAATGTTGGTGCCACTAACAGTTAATTTTAACCAAACAATATTTAACATATACGTTCTTACCAGGGCCAACAAGAGGGGACTAATTCCGGGGACCCGGGCTCAAATGGGGGCCCGGCAGCGGTATAAGGGGCGCCCGGCAACTGTGGCGAAGGAATTTTTTTTATACTTTCAGAAGTTCGGCACAAGAGCGAGGAAGTTTTGGTTTGAAGACCTTTTTTTTGGTTACTAAATGATTATATACTTGTTTAAAACCAATAATTTTGGTAAACAAAGCAAACAAAACACTCAAAAAAATACTGTCACTGTAATTGTCAGTGAAACCAAAATTACGTCATCACTAATTTAGCATATATCGACTTTTTTCTTTTTTGACACACCCTTTAGGTTTGCTACTTTACGATACCACTGTTAAGAAAATTAGACCGAACCAACCCTATACTGGTTCTTTTATCATCTTTCAACATTGCTATATTCTATACATTTTTTTATGTTTTTTTAACAATTTAACGGGCAACACGCTGGGACCTTCTTAATCAACATGTTTGTTACATGCTTAATCTTATAAAATCATACGTAGCTTTTTGAAAATTAGTGGTATATATTTGTACCACCACTATTTTTTGTTTCGAAATGCCTTATTTTGTGTAAGGAGTAAATATTTACGAATTACCCAAAACGGCATTTCATAACGTGTTACATACAAGATTTTTTTCTAATTTTGACTTGATTATTTATAAAATTGTGTTTGGTTAAAAAATGATTCACCATCATTCTTTTGTAGGTACTTCCAATCAAATATTTCAGAAAATTGTTGTGTTTGATTAATCTACGTTTTTTTTTTTTTTCAATAGTAATAATAAAAATAAGGAACATGTGCAGTGTTGCCAATCTGATTTTTGACATTGCCCACAGGAAATAAAAAAAACGTTTTTACCCGTTATCCTTAAAGGAGTACATCAAAATTTTACCCTCAACATTTCTGGGCAGTTTTCAATAATTTAAAAAATAAAACGCAATTTACAGCTTTTATTTTTGTTTTCTTTTTTGTTGTTAAACGAATGTCAAATGTGAAATGCCACTATTCATTGCCTTTTTCGATTTAAAAACCAAAAAAGATGCATTTTTTATTTTTATTTCGTAACTGGTGACATAATCAACTTTTCGTAATCAGTTACATAATGTTCTACGTTGTCGAGATAACAGTTGTCTCAAAAAATATAAAATCTCTAGAGCATTGCTGGTACAAATACGTTTTACATTTTGACAGTTAACTTGAACTATGGATCATCAGATGAAGGATAAAGCTTAGTGAAATCAAAAGCCCAACCTTGATCAAAATAGAAATTGGAGAATGTTTCTGTCAAATACGACGGGGATCTGCATTGGGATTCTCATCTTTTAATACGGCACGTGTTGAGACTACTATCTTCGTTCCACAGAATGCAATTCGTATGTAATGTCTCTATTCAATTCGTTACGTGTTGGGTATGCAATAAGAATCCCTGTCCAGTATTTGGTATATATACAGTATCTGCTATTGAAAACCTTCTAATATGGTTTACTAGTGTCAAAGCGAAATCTACTGAGACTTCGCGTTAGTTCAAGAAGGAAAAGAATATTATAAATGTTGCCAACGCCCGGCGCGTGGGGATATAATATGTCGTTGTGTGCCTATTCGTAATTCACACAGCTCAAATAGACGGCATATGCACACAGACGGTCAACAGTCACGATACACATATCGTGCACCGAGAATTATCGCCACGTAGCCAGGCGGCCGTTGTTATTTTAATTTCCTGCTGGCACTAATGCTAACTCTGTAGTTTTCGCTTCGATACTAGCAAACCTTTCTTGTAAGGTTTTAAATGACCAATCCTGTATGTACCAGCACCAATTAAATGGTTAAATAAAGTATCTTTGGCAAAAAAAAAACAAAAACGGCATTTTTGTTATCTGTACTCTCGGAAATGAAAATATAGGCTGTAGTTCTTTTTCGGTCATTGTAATGTTTTCGAAAATATTGAAACTTTTCTCCCATTTGTCTTCGTATTTGTTATGGTTAGACTATAGCAATTCTGGAACGTAATAAAAGAAACGGGCCGTATACGTACAAAGTAATGTACTACAGAATTATTAATTTATGAAATTAATTGGTATATTTTTACTGATAATTAATATTATTTACTCATCCCTAAAATTTGACTCGACATGTATGTAATAATATCGAACTGCTTTAATATTTTATTAAGTACTTTTTATCTAGGTGTAAGAATATAGTGTTTAAGCGAAAATAATATTGTACTGATTCAGTGAAATTATTCCCATTGTATATTTATTTTTTCTTCGTTTTACTGTTAGTTTTATTACGTTTATTTTTATTTATAATCTGTGATTTTGAAAATTTGTGAGGACCAACAAATCTGTGTTTGTCCAGATTGCTTCTTTTTAATGTAGCTTGCTTGTATTTGATTTAATTATACACTATTTACAAAATGCTCTGCCATTTTTTTTGCTTTTCATTATTAAATACGTCAGTGATTCAAAATCTGTTCCAGATAGAATGAAGACATTCAAAATAGTGGTTTAAAAAAAGTTGTTTGAAAACTCAAGAGAAATACCAATTAACAGCCACTGAGAATCAAAGTGATTTTAAAGGATTGAAGAAAACTTAAGATTTATATTTTAGCCCCTCGTAAATAATGCCCTTTAAAAAAAAATTAATCGTTCAATGCCGTTGTTACAAACACAAAACACGAACTGAATGCTTGCATGTAAAAAAAAATTGTTTTTATGAATGAATGGATTGATCTAATAGTTTTTCGTCGTTTGCCAATACGTACGAAAATACAGAGCTATTCAGTCCCGACTAAAAATCTGGACTAAAGGTATGGGTATAGAGGTAAAAAAATATGAATTTGACTCAAGAATAAAGATTTTTTGTTAGAATTCAACCATAGTTTTCTGGATGGTGGTTGTGATTTTTCATATTTTCTGATAATGATTTTAAACAAGTTTTTCAAGTAAAATTTTTGTTTATAACAGACTTCAAAAAAGGAGGTTCTCAATTCGTCGAAATATTTTTTTTATGTAAGTTCAACGATAATTCTTTACTACGTTGTCCGATTTCTATGATTCTTTTTTTGTTAGAAAGGGGATACCTCAGGGGTACTTCTATATACAATTAGTAAGGATTGATGATCTATGAGAAAAAATTAAAATACTTAATTTTTAAGGGCATCTGCACGATTTTGAAGTCGGTTTTTTAAAATTACTTTCATAACTTAAAAATAAGGGTTCGTTGCCGTGCTTAATACATATTATTTTACCTCCCTCGTATATGGTTTAAATTTTTTAATATGTATGAAGTTTATACTGGGTTTTAGGTCATGTACTAACTTTTATCAAGAATTAAATTTTCTAATAAATGGACAATAAAAAAGATTTATATAAAGTGCATACAATTTTCGACACTTTGGAAGTGTCCGGCCAACGTTATTCGCTCAGGGCGAATAGGCTATTGATTATGGTATGTAGAAAGGAACCATCACCTTCATAGATTTTTATCCCATGATTATTAAAAATAAAAAAACCGCTGAGTTCTATTAAATTAGAGGGTAGAAATTGGAGATAGGGATGAAATTCAGGAATAAGTTATTAGGATTTTTTTTGTAAAGAATGCGATTTCATTTTAAAATAGTTCATTTATTTTTTTATGTAAAAAAAATTTAAAAATCAAATACAATTTTTTGTTTTATGCTACCTTTTTGTAAACAGGTGGTATAGGCATTGCTTCATACAAAAAAAAGTAGATTCAATTTCTTTTAAAATAGTAGGTTAAGAAAGCTTTTTGGATAAAAACGGACTGAATGTTACCGCTCAAACTTGCTATTTTTTTCGATTTTTATCGTTTTAGTTCTTATTTAAGTTAATTTGTTGTCTAAAATATAATTGCCTTTTTTGCAATAAAAGTTATCATTTTATACTAATTATTATTTTCATTGTTCATTATTTTATATTTTTTTAATAATGTTATTAAATTGGATATCGATTTCTTTGTATCTTCAAGAACTTGGTTTCTTGTAATTTCCGTCTCTCGTTCATTTTCGCTATTGGCATCCATGCATTATTTGCAAAAAAAGGAATAAGTAATTACTAACTTCTTACAATTACAGCTTTCGTGGCAACCTGCGTTACATCCACAAGCTACTTATTTCTTGCGCAAAATCTCTGACACAGGTGATTCATTTGTGCAAATCGCAATCAATCCATTTTTTATTTTTTTCCAAGCCCAGTAGAGACGGTTTAAATGATGTGCAGAAAAACTGGAAGCGACAGTTGCTTAAGGTCTTATTTATCTTTGCCCCATAAAGAGTAGTTAAAATGTATTCTGATGAAGATTCTATTTCTTTTTCAGTTGCATTTTCGCATAAAAACGTGTCCAATAAGATTTTAATTGTAAAATATTTTTATAAATTTCACAATTTTTTCCCAATGTTGTGACTTTGTCTATAATCGATCATAGTTTTAAACATTCCAAAAAATATTGAATTTTTATTAACAAATTAACTTAAAATACTTTTTTTATTGAATACAAATAAATTTTGACGTAGAAATATAGGATTTAAAACGGTATCAAGGTAAACGCCATGAAAATCGAAAAAAAAAAACTGATGTGTCCAACACATGACTTTCCTATCTAGTTATTACAGACTTTTTTCGTTATTTTGTACAACCTATTGCACCTCTGTAAATATTTAGAGGTTAACTTAATATATACATTTTCCACATGCATCTAACTCAAAACATTTTTCTATATACACTCATTGCCAACGAAAATGCTGAAAAATTTAAATTCTATACGTTTCCTCCAATTTTTCCATTACGGTCCAGTTTAGAGAAATCATGTAAAAAACAAAAATTATAGAGATCGATATCGCAAACATCTTTTAGTTTAACAATTTTCTTAAAAATCAGAATTTTTTACATTTTGAAAAATTTCTCGAATACGGACCATTTTAGGAAAATTTTGTATGGAACAGAAATTATAGAGAATAATATTAGAAGTAACTTTTATTTAAAGAATTTTCTTTTCCAAACTTAAATAACAGATATATTTTATAAAATATAAAACTGATTTTGTTTTATTTCCAAAAATTGACCATGTATTTCAACATTAAAATTTTTCTCGAAAACGGTCGACTTTAGAGCGTATGACCAAGAGTACCTTTTTTGTGTAGAAAACATTGGCGGTTCAAATGGGAGTCTCAAAACCGTACTTTTTCCAGTGGCGTAGAAATTTTTTTTTCAATTTCAACACCCTGTATCTCGAAAATGGTGCATTTTAGAGGGTAAGTTAATAGAAACGTTTTTTCATATTTTTGGACGAGCTATTACGTCCTAAAATCCTGCGCATATATTATGAAACACCCTGTATATAATAGGGAAGAACTGAATTCATATTTAAATGGCCGGGCTGCGAAATCCAAAAATAGTGTAATGTAAGATATTTTTGAATGCCACAAAATGTGGGTAAATTCTTATCGAAGGAAGGACAAACTTAATTTAAACAATAATGGTTAGTAAAATGCACAAGTGTAATAGGTTTAGAGACAGTGAAAAGTTGCTAAAATAAAAAATATATAAATACTTTTTATTTTAGAATGAAGTTGCCCTATACACTTTGAGGAAAGTAGTAAACATAGACGCAAGAGAAGAAAACTGAATTCCATCGGGTGCATGGGGCCTCATTAAGCAAAGAAAATTGGTATTTTAAAATTTTAGCAGATAAAACAGTAGTTTCCTGTCTCAATATAACGGTCCCTTGTGTACTTACTTTTTATAAATAAATAATTTGTTTCTGCATACTTATTTTTATTTCACATAATAAGAAAATAAATTTAAACAGAACTACCACGCCTAGAAAGTACAAATTTCAGTCAAATTTATATTTTTAGTCTATATTTTTTATTTACCTTATCCAGGTTATGGATTTTGTCACAAAATACTTAGAATTTATGAGAGTAATTAATATTTTTATTAGTATTATTTACCTTAAACCTTCATATTTGTAAACGAATATATTACAAAATAACTAATAAAGCTTAAGTAACTGCATAAAATCTAAAACCGGCGAAATATCGAATTTCAAACAATATTAGGTCTTTTCCTTTGCATCGACAGTGTAGCACTGAGCTACGTCACTTCTGAAAATATTGTTCCATCCATACAATTTGTATAAATGGAACGATATTTTCAGAAGTGGTGTAGCACGAATTCTATTGTCAGTATACGCAAATATCGTCCGTTAGTTCATAAATTAATTGGCGCACGGAGTAAAAAGTGTCAGGTAATTCTTGACTCGATATTATAATGATGTCCAGTTGAACATATTAAAAAATCAGCTTCCATACTACAACGTTTTGCCAGACACTTTTAGGTATGTTGAACCAATCAAGGTTCATAACAACCAAACGTTCTTATCCATTATAATGTACTGCAGCGTTTTAAAATAATTTAACATCTTTCGAATCATCGTGGATAAAACACGTGAATATCTGACAGGTCAGGTAGAAGGCAAGGCCTTTTCTTTTGGGTTTTTGATATTAACGTTGGTTAGCGTAAGATACCAACTTGGGGTTCCCCATTTTTCCAATCCATTACGATTTTGGTTAATTATCTTAATTAGCTGTAAACCAAATTCAACTTGGAAGCTGAGGAGACTTGAATAGCGTGCGATTCGTCCCTCATCCCTGTCTTTGGTGCTATAGTCAACCCCGAGAAGCTGAGGAAACTTATATAAAGTGCTGCCAATTCAGATTCGTCCCTGTCCTTGGCGCGATAGTCATCGGCCAACTTGAGTCTCAAGAAGCGAGTCAAGCAGACAAGCTAAGGCGATATACGTGTCTCCGTCCATTTGTGGACTTTAACAGATAAGCCCCTAATATTTCTTTATTTGTTCAGTTATTTTTTTTGTAGTCAGTCAGTCCAGACGTTTTTGAATAGACATTTAAAGTAAATGAGTCTACCTACATAAAATAAATTTTAGTTGTTGTGTGTTGTGTCAATAGACCTTTTCATCACAATTTTTTTTTTGTGCGCATGCGTCAGTTTCAGCCATCTTTTTCGTACTGTTTTTGTAAACAAGTATGTTAAAATTACGTGAAAAAAATTATAATTGATAAATATTAATTTAAGTCTATATTCATTTAAAAAAAGGAAGAAAAAAGTAAAGTAATAATAAGTTTAGTGTCTTAATTGAAAAATTTTCACAATCAATTATAATTATGTTATCTGTACGGAAAGGAACAACGAAACAGTGTTGTTATGTAAAAGTGACACACGGTATAAATCATTCAAAGGCAATAGATATTATTTTATAAATTTTCCAAAGCCTTAACTGCAATATCGTAAACAATTATCAGGCAAAATCCATATTAAAAGATATTCGAAATGTGCATTAAGTGTGAAAAAATATTGTCGAAGTGACAACGGTTTTCGATGGATTAATGATGTTACTAAAGATATTTATATTTCACTGCATTTTCATGGAGAAAGTGGTCCAACAGAAGAAAATTCTCATGTGGTATTAAACAATATTTTTTAATATTAAATACTACTTCGGTATACACATTAAATGATTAAAAATGTCATGTTGATCCTCAAAATAATAAATAATATATTTAATTAATTATACTCGTGATTAACTTTCATGTTAATTAAAGTATTTTTGCAAGTACTAATAGTTGGTTGGCATAATTAATTAGAATAAAGTTATAATTAATTAGAATAAAGTTATAATTATTATTTGTTTTCATTAATTTTTTACAGAGTTAAAAAGTATTGATACACCTAACCTCTCAATTAGTCCATTTTGTTCCTTTGTAACAAACATCCAAGACACTTCAACCTCCTTTTCAACTGCTCACAACTATGCACTTCCACAGAGTTATAAAAAAGTTATTCACTATCAACGATTTTTTCTAATGATTAATTTTTCTGTAGAGATAACATTGCTTTCCCAGCCATTGTCGATCAAAACAGTACTAAACTTTTGAATTACCGCTATTTCAACATGGTGGCTGCGCTTGCGCTCATCACATGATGAAAAGGTCTATTGGCCAATCGAGACAAACAGATTCACTTATATTAGGTAGGTAGCAATATAGGGGGTTATGATTGACGACCTGTGTTATTTTTAACAGGTCTGTTATTTTACAAACACACAGAAATAACAACCTGTTCACAAATAACGTGTCTGTTAAAAATAACATAACATAACATTTTCCTGTTCCCATTTTATTTTTTTTTTAAACTGTTGGTCAATAAATGTTAAATTAACGAGTTTTTATTTAGACAAAAACGTAAAGACCTATCCAGATATTATATATTTGTACAGAGGATACCTAGTTCATAGAATTCCTATGCATCTCTGGATTCTAGGCCTGGAACTTCATATACTATAGAATCCACTGGCGCCCTATAACCAATTTTTCTAAATTTAATTCTCAACTATTTTTCTTTATTCAAGCTTAAGTTTTCTTTCATTTAATTTTCTAACTTCGAACCTGCGACACTCTCCGACGAACAGCTCCGGCACATATAGTTTTAATGCTACAGTACACACACATGAAACATACTACGAGTATAACGTAGGTCTGGCGGTCGTTGGTACTTAGTATATACGAGTATTACTAGATTGAAATGAGTTAAAAATAAATAGGTGCAACTTTAAAAGTTTGAGAAAAAATTTAAACAAACTAAATTTTAGCTTTAATAAAATTTATAAATTTGATATTGTTTACAAAATCTTAACAAGTACAGGAAATGTTTCATTAACATTTACTAAGACTTCTAACACATTGTCAAGAGCTATAAGTCGAGTTTGTAGTGATTTCAATGCCTAAAAGTAAAACATATTTTAATATTAAATTAATTAATTACAATATTTGGACAAGAAATATTCCGTGAGATAGACGTGAATTACCACATCATTTCAAATATTAACTGTTTCTTGAAAGAATAATTTTATTCACGGCTAAGAAAAAATTGTAAATTCTTATTACATAATAAAATATCCTTACCTCTAGAAGTCTCCTATGCACGCCACTATCGTTTTTTGACAACCCATCCTTGAATCCCATAAAAACAACTTCTGAAATTCCTATCAACTCTACAACCACGTCATTGTGAATCTTAAGTGTTATATCACCAGTGTCATCGCCAACTTTAACAACCAAATTAAATTTATCATTGACAATATTCATCTTTTCAATAACCGACTTGAATTTCGCTCTGATCTTGAATTTACCATTGGTAACATTTGGTATGGTTTTTAATAGCTTATCTACTGGCCATATTACAGGTTGATGCGGTAAAAAGGTTTTATTTACATTCAATATATCCTCTGAAACAAAAGATTCTAGATCCAAACTATCCGATATATTGATAACTTCATTAGGTTGTTCTGCATTAGTAATTAATTTTTCTTTTGGTTTGTTGAAAAAATTAGAAATGTCTGACTGCTTTTTACTAGTAGATGGCCTATTATCTATAACCGGAGGTATTTCTATGCTCTGAAGAACGAGATCCATGTCATCAAACATATCTGGGGTTCTACTTCTAGTTTCTGTAACTGTTTTTTGGGTACTTTGTGTATTATTTGATTTATTATATTGTTTCAATTCTTGTTCTACTTCCATCAGAAGTTCAAATTCTTGTTCGTCGTCAAAATTATCAAAATTGTCTATAGGTGGTGGTGGTGGTGGTTTTTTGGTTACTGTCGTGGTAGAGGTAGATATCATTTGATTTCTTGAAATATTTGTGTTATTTGTTGAAATATAATCACTGATAGTATGGTTTTGTGGTACATCGTGGTTTCTGTGAATAATAATGTTACTTTGATTTTGTATTGCTGAAGGAACACCTAAAAAAATTAAAAGATATTTTTCAAAAATACAAATATAAAATATATTCTATAAGTCCTTGCATCAAATCTGGTAGTTTTCATTTTATGATTAGTTTTTTGTTTTATTTATTTAAACGGAATCAACTTCATTACATACATACATACATACATACATACATACATACATAAATACATACATATAAATCATACAAATAAGTGTAAATTAAAAAATACAAGAAAAAAATTAAATAAATTTTAGATTAACAAATGCATTTAAGTAGTGTAAATCCGTCTGTAATATTTAATCCAGGTGTGTCGTGCAGATAACCTTAAATTTATTAAAAGAACTGTCTGCAACCAGTGTAATCTCAAGTTTCAATTGATTTATTGAACAGAAACATATTTAATTACCTAAGGACTCTATTGGGAATATTGAAAAAATAATTCCTAAGAGTTCCGGGCATAAGACTAGACCATTTAATAATCTATAATATGTAATTTTTAAAATAAATAAACATTATTATTATTATTATTTTTATAGATAAAATTCAAATCTGATACCTATAAGTCTACTGTTCTTAAGTAGGCTGATATTCCTTTCATTTAAAATCCTATAATTATGATTGGTTACCTGAATATTTATTTTAAAGACACAGTATGTTAGAAATTTATTTTCTATTCTTGCCACTACACAGTTTATATGATATTGTGGCGACCAAATTATAGAAGCATACAACTGAGGTACAACCAATTGCCGCGTTTGAATATCCACATCGGATGCATCTGAGATGTTGTGAATTTTTTATCACGTGATAGAGAATTAGATCTGAATGTAGATGTAATAAACAAACGCTCTAGACTTTATTGGTCACGTGATAAATGTCAATGACAAGTTAGAAGTTTATACTTTTTAAATTTGACTTTTGAGACTACAAATCAACCTAAATTTGAAATCTAAACGAAAATTAAACAAACTAATCACTTTTATATTCACGCTAGCATAAACAGAACACCTACTTTCTGGCATGGAACGAACATCTCATTCACATCTCATTTTAAATCGAGATGTAAAAAATGTAATCTGGACAGCTACATCTCGGAAAAACAAATGCAGATGTAGTAGATGTGTCCGATGTGGATAAACAAACGCTCGAGATGTAAAAAATGCATCGGATGTGGATTTTTAAACGCGGCAAAAGTTTGATAATCTCTTTTTACGGCTTCTAGAATTTCTCTCTAGAATATTAATCCTAAGCATTGGAATGATTTTATTGAAATTGAATTTATATGTTCGATAAATTTTAATTGTTCATCTAAAATAACCCCTAAATCTGTGACTGAGTTAACCTGATATAGTGGCTTATCAATAATGTAATGTTGTGAGTTGCACTTTTTGTTCCCTTTAAAAAAGTGTATAAATCAACATTTTATTAATAAATAATAAATAAGTTGTCGAGATCATTCTGAATGAAGGCTTGATCGTTAGATGAGTAAACTGGTCTATACATCTGCGAACATCAAGAACTCACAATGTTTTAAGCATTCTAATATATCGTAAATATGTTAAATAAAAGTGGTGAACAATAAGAACCATGTGGTACTCCTGAGAAAACCCTAATTAATCTTGATCAATTACTACCGATTTTAACTTGCCGACTTCGACCTGTCAAAAAACTTTCACCAGCTAAGATGGTATACCAAAAGATTCTAGATCCTTTAATAATATTACATCATCAACCCTGTCAAACGCTTTAGCTTCTAAAACATTTAATATATTTTGTTCGTATAATAGATTTGTTTGACAGAATACGTGTTGGTTGTTTATGAGTTATTTATGTTGTTGATCCAATGAATAATCTAAGTTTTCGACCTCGAGCGCCGAACGCAACATTGTCAAAAATCCAATAAAGTCCAAAAAAAAGACGAAATTCTTACCTTCCTTTAGTTTTTGGCAATTTAACCCCGGAATGACTAGTTTTCGAATATAACTACGCAATACGCTTTCAAAGTAGACTAAATTTGCTACAATTTGACACAAAGAACAGTTTCTGTAGACCGAATAGTTTTCTGAAATACAGAAGATGTAAAATATGTTGAATAAAGTAGATAATAAGATGCAAATGGAGGAGCATTAAAGTTCTTCTAACGATCTTTATTATTGTGTACCTTGATATTATATTTTCTCAATAAAAAATTGAGTTGTTTAAAGTGCCCCCATCGCTATATTTTTATGCATTTCATACACAATCTTCCATGGAGCAACTTGTTTATTGAAAACTTCGGAACTGTAATGATATTAAAGTGTAAGGTGTGCGATAATAATGCTAATCTATTTACATTGTTTTAAAGTTTTCATTACCCTGGGGAAAGATATCCACCTAACGAGACCTCAGCCCGAAAATGATTACCAGAGACGTAGCTTTATAACGCCTCTTGCAAATGATTCTGTGAGACTGCAAAAAAAGGTTGTGGGAACGCGTGCAGCTGCAGTCAAATATTACACTTGAGGTAAATGCCCACTCTCCAGAAAGCGACGATCTGCCCGATATCGAGATGATAGAGGATGTATTGTGAACAGATATCTTATCAAAACATAAAACTTGACGAGCGCTGGGGCGCTTTTCTATTCTACAGCTGGATCCTATGAACAGCTGATTTCCGATTCTTCAGGCTTAAAATCGCGAAAAACTGAAGAAGGTAGATCCACAAAGCACGTATCTTCTAGAGACCCCACGCCAATGTTAAACTTTTAAACCAAATTAGCGCCACCTTGTGTTTGGAGCTGGAACTAAAATGACAATTGACAGATGGCGGTAAATTCAAATTGTAATTTTTAGGAGTAGGTAGTAGTTTTAAATTAAATTTTAAATAATTTCCACATAAATTATTTTATAAAATAAAGTATGGAACTAGTAAGTTCGAAACTTTTATTTTACAAAATAATTTAGGTCGATTATACCAAATTTGAGGAATTAATTTATTATAAGCAGGGGTCCTGATGTGGAGAGTTGGTTCTGCATATTATTATTAAATAAATATAAGATATATCAATAAATAATAAAATAGAACATTCTTAAAATATGTTTATTAATAACTTAAATAAATATTAGATACAAATAAATACAAATAATAATACATATTTAACGAATACTTACTTGCAGCAAATAGGTATACAATCTCAAATCTTTAAAATACCTATCAATAATTTAAATGTGAAGTAGAGACTAGGATATTACATTTTATTAACACTAAAATAATATATTTTATAAATGTCTTTTAAACCGAGGACAAATGTAATATAGGTATTGTACTAAAAGGTGAATCCTTTTAACTATTCATTCAATGATAAATAGGTATTTTCCTTCCAAATACACATGGTGGTATTACTCCACTGCTTTGTGTATTACTCTCTTATGTGAAAAATGATTTCGGAATCTAGTCCAGTGATAAATTGATTAGTTGTTATACCCGTTTGTCTTTTTATGATGCAGATGCATGGTGAATCAATGAAGTTTTTCTCGAAGTTTTCAACGTAGCACCCACAGGTAGCACCAAAATTATTGCAAAACACAGTAGGAAATAGAAAAGCGAAACATCACAATTTTGCAAATAACTAAGACGAAACTATAAACAGAAACCAAAAGCCAAAGCCAACAAAAAATCACTAAAATCAGACGGAAAAATGAGACTAACCAAAAACATAAATAAATACACGTCACATCTTTGGAGTCTTTGGTTAAGTTTTTCTCCCATAAAGCTTAAAAATGGAGTAAGAAATCAGAATTTCACCAGTAGCCCCATCTAGAGTTTGGAGCAAATAGCATAAAAAATGTCAGTTGTCGGTTTTGACCTTGGTCATTCACGTGGAACCTCTATGTGCTTTGTAGGTAGATCTTTTTTACTTTTTTATTTTTGATAATGTTGTGTTCAGCTCTAGAGGTAGATAGCATAAACAACAAAAAATTAGAACTACCGGGTCTGACGCAAAGTTACTGGAATATATGTATTTTTATGTAGGATTTACCATTAATGAGAGATTTTGAAAAGAAAATTACAGAGGTAGGTAGTTGTTTTCTAGAGGAAAGCAGTCGCACTATTTTTTTTGTGACAGTTTATTTCATTTTGTTTAATTTCTACTTATAAAACCATACAAATTGCATATAATACTTTTTGCAAAAAGTTAGTAATGATTGGACTACCTATTTTTTTGACAGGACTGTTTTAGCATACAGTAGGACACTTTACATATATTTTTTTTAAATAAAAGCATATTAATTAGGTATGTCCTTCAAATCATTATGTCCTTAAATTTCATTAAACATTTGTAGAATTCTGCCTCAAAGTAGAAATGCTTAGTTTACTATTTTTTACTTAGGTACAAATGATACACTAGTGTCCTACTAATATTTTTTTTTTTTTTTTTTCAGTTCGTGACCAATATCATGAATTTTTTACTGAAAATGTTAACAGAAGTCTTTTTTTTTTTCTATACTTTACCTGTTTCATTAGAACTATTATTTTCAATCTGTATGTTTTCTTGTATGCTCTCTGGTTTTGGATTTAAAGGTTGATTTAAATTTTTGGCTAAAATATTTTCAGCAGCATTTTCTACAAGCAATGTATCTACTTCCCCACCAATAACTTTAATATGTCTTTCTTCTAACATCACTCTTCCTCTTCGTATTTGTATTGGTCCCATCAGTCTTATTTTTTTTCCAGGTGAAAGATTTAGATTCAGACATTTTATGGTTTTGTATTCTATTGCTTCAATTTCTTGTACTCCATCTGTTAAGGTAAGTTGGAGTACTCGTTTTGACGATTCCAACTCTTGTTCAAGATTTTTAGGGACACCTATTAATTTAATAAAAAAAAAAAGTATGAATGTCAACCAAAAATGATATATTGGGATATAACAATTTTTTGTATAAATACTAATATAAATTAAGTACAGTTTCATGCGTTCTTTGTACAGTAATTAAATTAAAACATTGATGTAGGTATTCTAAATATCCAAGGTTGGTTAATTTTCATACACTAGGTACATTACCGTTCCTTATTCTCTGCAACTGCCAGAATTTTGGCTTCGAAATATCAACAACTTGCATTAATTGTAGTGTATAATTATCATTTAAAGTGAATTTTTTTTGACTTGATAAGTTTGGTGGAAGACAGGCGACTTCTACATCTCTTAAATCTAATATTAACCATTGTTCGAACACATTGCACTGCAGGTCTTTTAAGGTATAATTTGGAGGCAAATTTTCTTTACACCAATCAATACAACTTTCTAACCAAACACGAGAAAGGTGAACTTGATGGGATTTAAAGAAGTTCTCAACATTTGTTATTTCATCCATTTTAATATAAAATTGTTGTTTTGTTACTGAAAATCAAAAGGGAAGAAATTAAAACCACAAAACACTCACTTGATGATTTTTCTAGGTGTGTGCCCACAGCGCCGATTTATACATTAAGCGAAGTGGCTGCTTGGGGCCTGGCACTCAAAAGAAAATTTCTTATTATCAATAATATAAATAATTATTTCAGTATATATAGTTTTTAAAAAATTAGAAACTTTAGGCTTTAAAAATTGAAAACTGTCATGGTGAATAATGCAGCTAATATATATCAGAAAATTATAACAGGTTGCAAGCTGGAATTAAAAAGTTTTCTTCTGTACCAATAAAAACCCCCAGACCGGATATTTTGGTAAGAAATGGAGATATTTTAATTCTGTAAATGCCAGTTCACAGAGCACTAAAAGAGCTTCAGTTTTAGATATAAATTGATTTTAAATAGGTCAATATATAGATGGCGCTGCGCTCAACATTTTTTTTTTCGATGGGAGGATCTTTCCTATGTAGGGCATCTTGTAAAAAATGTATTTTAAAGCAGAATTTGTTCTATGAACTAATTCGATGAATCTAGTCATTGAGTGGGCCACTCAATATAAGCCATATTCGAGCGGTCTCTTTGGTTTAAAAATATTTTCAACAACTTTTAGAACCAGTTTTAATACTACGTCATAGATTTTGAAATAGATGATTTTAAAATAGTGATGTCATTAACAGTTAAGGATTTGTGAGTGTGTAAATCTCTAGCAACAGATAATTTTTGACTCAAAAAAAGCTCATATTACCAGAATTTTATAAAAAATGGATCGTTATATTTAGAATCCGATTTTAACCAGTTATTTAGAATTACAAGGTCAAGTTTTCAAAAATTACTAAAAATTATAAACCTTCATAATTATGCATTTTCTATTTTTTCTTATAACCGTAATATAAAATAATCTTTCTTGATAATTGATTTTAATGCATGTTCTTTGCTACTATTTTTGACATTAATAACATTTCTATTTCAAGAACCGTTCTCAATCAAACGTTTCAAAAACTGATGCAGCTGGTTTAAACCTATTTCAACGTGACGTCATTGTTTGGTCACTCGAATGGGAATAGTTCAAACCGTTTTCGAACGGCATGAAATATATTTAAACGAGTAGACCGCTCGAATATGGCTATAGTTTCACCCTGTTATATGGCATTATTCATGCGATTTTAAGAAAATGCTAAAGCAAATTTTTATTCCAAATTGAACACAGAACAATACAGACATCTGTCAACCCCCTCTTTTCCACTTCTCCAACCCCTTATTTTTAAATAGGGAATGTAACGTGTATAGCACATCATTGCAAAGGTAATTTTATTGGGGATTCATAAATGACTGTTCATTGCGGTACTTTTAATTTTAGCGCCCTCTAGCGGGATAAAAACTATTACGTATTATAAAGTGTGATACTTCATTTGAAAGCTAATTTTATTACTAATTCAATGCACCACATAAAATTAATCTAAATATTTCTATACTGCACTTGCAATAAAATAAAATTAGCAATAATGTTAAAAATAATAATGCATGACTTATTTTCAAACTGTTGCAAGTGCAATATGCACATATTAAAATTATTTGTACACCTGACTCGAAAAAAATGTTAAGTAATGGGAAAAAAATAAAGACAAAAGAGAAAAATGAATAAAAAAAAACCAAAAAAATAAATAAAAAAACAAAAAAGGAAAATAAAAAATAAACAAAACATTTAAACCATATTAAGTTCAGGTTATTTTAGTTAGTAAGGTAAAGCAACTTTAACGCAGTTTAAAAAATAATAAAGTTTGTTATAGGATATTTGTTCATCTGACAATTGACTGGCCTGTTGGTTTATATCCAAAAAAATATGTGGTGCATTGAATTAGTAATTAAATTAGCTTGCAAATGAAGTGTCACACTTTATAGTGCGTAATAGTTTTTGTCCCCATAAAATTACCTTTTCAATGATGTACCATACATGGTACATTCCCTATTTAAAATTAAGGGGTTGGAAAAGTGGAAGGAAGGGGGTTGACACATGACAGATGTCTGTATTTGGATTAAAAATCGAAATTTTTTAGCATTTTTTTTAAAGCCAATGAATAATGCCAAATAACAGGGTGAAACTATTTTAAGAAATCCACTCTGTATATCGCAAATGGCTAGATTTATCGAATTAGTTCATAGAACAAAATCTGCTTAAAAATGCATTTTTTACAAGATGCGATACATAAGATCCTCCCATAGAAAAAAAAATTGAGTACAGCGCCATCTACATATTGACCTATTTATATCAATAGCAGGGACAAAAGTTGGAAAGACTTTTCGCAGTTCTCCCACTTCATACACAGAAATTGAGAGTTTTGAGGCGGAGCTTACTGATATGGATGCAATACATTGTGTACAAAATTATGTTATATATGTTAATAACAATTTCAGATAAATAGTTTAATAAATTGTGAGTAGCTGTTGAAATTTTGTAAAATTATGATTTGGGATATTATAATATTTGTTTAATAATTATTTCTAGTCTATACATACATGGGATTGTCCGGTTCCGCCAGTAACAATTCAAAATTACTTATTCTATGAAACGACACTGGCAGATGAACATTAATGCTAAATTCTTGAAGTCATCCATTGTGGTTTGACGTTTACCCCTTTTCCACCTACCAAAAGCCTTTTCAACTTCTGCTCCTGCTATAAAACTGAATATCTCTTATTGCTTTGTGAACTGATGTTTACAAAATTAAAATATTTATTTCTTACTAAAATATTCAGCCTGAGAGCTTTTATTAGTACACCCTATATAGGTACCATGTACAAGTCATACTTTAAATTTAATTGTTCATTTTTCAAGCGAATCCTGCCTTCAGGCTTCCAATTATTTCTCCTTAGTTCAAGAGATAGGTGTATTTGTTTTATTTATCTATCATTTGTCTATTCTACTGAATCAGTATATGATTTCTCTCAAAAGACTTAGTAATACTAGGTGGTCAGCCCAAGCTAATGCAGTAGCCTCTGTCAAATTGAACTATAAATTAGTTGCAGACATTTTTTCATAGATTGCAAATGACAATAATGAAAAGTTTATAACATGAAACGAAGCTGTGACACTGAAAAAGAAAATAGAAAAAATTGAATCTGCATTGTTGGCTACCATGTGGTTTAAAATCTTGGAAAGGGCAAATGAGATAAGTTTATCTTTACAAGATCTATCACTAAATACACTGGTAATTAATTATAAGGGACATTAATATCATTTGTAGAAACATTTAGGGACAATTTAGAGGATATCGAAGCAAAAGTATCATCTTAGATGAGGCTACATATAATTATTTTATCAAATAAGAAAAATAGTTTTGGATGAATCAAAAGAAAATGAAGTTCATCTATGTGGAGGTTCGAAGTGTTGAACACAAAAAAAAATATATATATATATATAGAGGTACGACCTAATAAATGACGAATGTTGTATGATAAAATGAAAGAATTTTTTTGAAAAATGTTCTTTCCCAATATTCTTATGTTGCTTGAATTTTTTTCGATCTGGCCCATTTCTAATGCGAAAATTCATTTTCTGATTTGAAAATTATTACAAATTCACCATTAGCCAAGAAATACTCGAAACTCCACACTATTTGATACATATTGAAGGAGGATACAACCAGAAAAATTGGACTATGATCTATGATATACTGATTGGCCAGTTTGCAAAAGAGAAGTCTAGAACGAAAAAGATTTGATTATTGTCTAAAGTATTGAATAATGTTCAATGTTACAGAATTTAGATTTTTTATATGGGTTGCATAGTTTGTTCCTTTGTCATCATTTAGAAAATCGTATACCTACCTACACACACCTATATAATCGTCAGTTAAATGAAGGGGAGGAGAGTAAAAAAAAATCCTCTCATTAAGGCCCCATAATCTCTAAAACCGGCCCTGGGTTCCCGGCTACACAAAACCGTTTTTCCTGTAAATTGTAAGTAAATAGTTAGTTATGGTGTGAAAATGTCATTCATCGTATTCACAACACAACATATAACAACAACAACAACAACAAACAACGACGGACGACGAACATAAACAACAAACCATAGAAAAAAACAACAAAACAAAATAGGTTAAATTAGGGTTAGGGATATATTAGGGATGCGCACGCGGCACGATGTATCGATGTTTAAAAAACATCGATTTTTTTGGTTTCGATTTTCGATGTCTACATCGATGTTATTTAAGCTTTACCTGTGGCCTGTGGCTTTACGTTTTAATTGATGGTCTGAAAACCTTTTTTTTGCTCTTCAATGAATTGTTTTTGAAAAATATTTTTTCAAATTCCGACTTGTGACTCAGAATTCCGATTTGTTACTCGGAATTCCGACTTGTATCTCGGAATTCTAATTCAGAAGGCTAAAATCATAATTGTGACTCGTGATATTGTACGAAGGTACGAAGGCGTAGAACCGTCACAAATTTTATTTTTTATAAATTCCGACTTCTCTCTCGGAATTTCGACTTGTAACTCGAAATTCCGACTTGTAATTCGAAATTCCGACCCACAACTTAGAATTCCGACATACAACTAGGAATTCCGACATACAACTTGGAATTCCCAGTTACAAGTCGAAATTCCAATTCAGATAGCTGAAATCACAATTGTGACTATTGATATTGAATAAAGACCTCGATTAAACTTGATATAGTTCACAATTTGTCTGCGTAAAAGAAATAATAACTAATTACTTGAAACAATTATAAAAGAATGTGATTTGAAAACAAGAGAATCCTTTCTCAGATTTGCTAGAGGTTCTGATCTTGGAAATCAAAATAGATTTTATTGAATATAAGGTGTTTGCAAGAGTAACTGTGGCACATACTTGCTTTAAATTTTTACAAATTCTCCTAAGTTATGAAAACTTCAAGACGTTTGGAACTGAGTTCAATAATATACTCATATCCAATATACAGTATGTAAAAGCGAAATGGAATAAATTTAGTTACTCAATTAGGTAGTGTAAGAAAAATGTAGTAACCTTATAAATATAGTTTTATAGATTGTTCATTCTTTTTTTTTTAAATATACATGAGCTGATGCCTTGAAGTAAAAATGTAGTTAATTATTTTTTACTATATTCAAAGGCTGAAAATTGGTTTGTATACACATTTTTAACCGACTTCAAAAAAGGAGGAGGGGGGGGGATTGGCCCCTATGCCCTCCCTCCTCTGGAGCCGCCCTTGTATAAGACGCCCCTCCCTGGAATTTTTTTTAACGGCGCCTTTGTTCTTTATTGTGTGTTTTGTTTGAATGTACGTACAATTTCTATGTTTATTATATTTTTATGATTTGATTATTGCCGTTTGAGAATCCACATCGGATGCATCTGAGATGTAGTAAATCTTTGATCACGTGATTCCGTATACGTAAATGTAAAAATGTAATGGGACACCCAGACAACACACCAAATCCCAGAGATATCCACAGAATATCTTTTGTGGATATCCAATATATCCACAGGATATCAGAAATATTCCGTGGATCTAATATGGATATCCAAATGTCCGTCTATATCCAGAATATAGAAGATATCCTATGGATTATCCAGCAAAATATCTAATGGGTATCTTCCAGACAATACAAGAAATCCCAGAGATATCCACAGAATATATTTTATGGATATCCAACCAAATGTCCGTCTATATCCCAGGATATAGAATTCGGATATTCAGCAAAATATTTTATGAGTATCTTTAGTAGAGGTTCATAAAAGTAACCAATGATTATTGAATAACGTCGAAAGAAAATAGCAGAGATAAAAAAATATTTTCAACACTCAAAATATTTTCAACACTTTGCCTTTGATTTTGCCCACTAAGGAGAAAGTCATCTTTATTAGGACTTTTCAGCAGCAATAAATGGAAATTCTCGACTCCAGTCTCTAATGGAGTCTGATTGGGAAACAAATTTCGATCGAACTCAATTACGGCGGATTGAGCATGAGTAGATGCGATAGTGGTATCGCCATCTATACTTAGTAAGCAAAATCAAAAATTACATCTAGTGGATATATCCACGATGGTTTGCGTTCGCGCCTAGACTTTGATTATTTAGTGGATGTCCATGGGATATTGAATACACCTTAAAAAAATTTATTTTAAATATCTGAACGGTACTAATTATTTGCTATATAATTACTATTATTTATGAACATTTGCATGTCTATAAATTACATCTCATGGATATAAAATAGATATCCACCATGGACTGGACATTCAGTGGATATTGGGATGTTCAGTAGATATCCAAAGGATTTGGTGTGCTGTCTGGGCAGATGTGTCCGATGTGGTTAAAAAAACGCTCGAGATGTAAAAAATGCATCCGATGTGGATTTCCAAACGCGGCATGTCTCTTAAATTATATATAATTTTTATAAATAAACATCTCGTTTATCGACTCTTTTTCATAATAAAAATTATGGTAATAGCTATATTGGGATTATATTTTATATTGCCGGTCAAATACAAGACTTACGCCTTCTTTGAAAGATAGAGACAACCGGCAAAGAGCAGAAGGAAATTGTAAATAAATAAAATTTCCAGCCATTTTTTAAATGTCTCCTATACCTACACTTGTTTGATATCCCGATAAAAAACATCGGAGTTCCAAAATTGCAATTTCGTGAAAAAAATTTTGGTATCGGGATGACAAAAGAGCAAGTAATGCCGCGTTTGAGAATTCACATCGGATGCATCTGAGATGTAGTAAATCTTTGAGCACGTGATTCAGTATACGTAAATGTAATGGGACAGATGTGTCCGATGTGGATAAAAAAACGCTCAAGATGTAAAAAATGCATCCGATGTGGATTCTCACACGCGGCAAATGTAATAGGACAGATGTGTCCGATGTGGATAAAAAAAAAACGCTCGAGATGTAAAAAATGCATCCGATGTGGATTCTCAAACGCGGCAAATGTGTAGGTATGGGACGTATTTTAAAAAGGCGGGAAAATTAAGAGCCATAATCAAGTTACCGTATAATTTAGGGTACCGCAAAATCGTTGAATACCTCCTGCCTCTCCTGTTATCCAGATATCAAAATCCGTCATTACAAAGCTCTTCTATTATTCCGATACAAAGATAACAAAAGAGCGAGTAGGTATTTGTAAAGGACAGAAAAAAAAATTCCTTAGAGTTACCGTATAATTTTCACGTTGGATTTTGATCTTTAATACTTCCTTGTTCTCCTGTTGTCCCGATACAAAATTCGCTATTAAAATAAGCAAGAAATCTAACGATTCAAAAATTTTCCCGACAAAAATTTAAAATACTTAGATACTATACCTACTCACTCTTCTGATAACAGAAAAGCGAAAATAGGTGGAAAAATTAAGTTATTTAATCAAATTATGGTATAATTTGGGGAAGTCACAGTTTATAGCTAAAGAATCAGTTCGCTCACTCTGTCTCGGCACTTTTGATTTCAATGTTTCAGTTTATAAATTGCGCAACTCGGATTTGTATCCTGGTGCATGCAGAATTAAATCGTAACCAATAAAACATATGACAACAGCCTATATTCAAACAGCAGTCTTCTTGCGCATCCTGAATGTGTATCCCTGGAGTGGATGTTATTTTGGAACATCTAATTGTCCGAGTGAGCTCTGATTCTTCAGCTATAAACTGTGGTAACGTTATGTCGATGTCATTCTGGATAACGGAAAATTGACGGATTTTTGAACTTGAATAATTCCTAAACAGCTTAGGATACAGACGAACAGCAAATATATGTTAATATATCTGTTCAGCTTTACGTTTGTGTGAATTTGGAGAAAACTGATGAAAACAAAAAACTGAGCGCAACTGAACTCAGTCCACTCCTTAATTTGCCGTGCGTGTGACATTTTACATAAAATGGACTTTGTCCCGAAACACAATTGGCCACCTAATTTCCTTGACAAATTATCCAAAATAAAACAACTAAGTCAAATAACATTTTATTAACAATATTTTTAAACTTATAATTACAAAATTATTCTTATACTCAAACTTAAATAGAATTACGTTCCTGATGCTTTCGAATTCTAATAAACATTTCATCCAGAGGTATAGTAACATTCAGATCCGCCACTGCTATTGCAAAAATAATTCCTTCTGGATCCATTATATAAAAGCCCCTGCAAATAAAGTTAGAAAACAATAAGAAAGACATAAAGTTAAATTGCAGTAATTTTACGTTGAGTTCGGCATGCGGACTCCAATTTTTTTAAATCGAACTTCAGTCCATACTTTTACCGCGTTTGAGAATATCCACATCAGATGCATTTTTTACATCTCGAGCGTTTTTTTATCCACATCGGACACATCTACATCTGCGTTTGTCTATCCCAGATGTACCTGTTCAGATTACATTTTTTACTACTCGATTTCAAACCTGTCAGATTAAAACAAGAAAACCGACAATTCCGAAGCAGAAGCGGATGATTAAAACGCACCTATTAAAAATATTGCGCCAAGATGTAGGCAACACGTAATAAGGGTTCAAAATGGCGGAGTTTTCTATTTCCTTTTAAAAGGAACTCAGAAAGCTGCGCAGTGCGACCATTCTCCGTATAGTAAAAGAAAATCAAAGTATGTGTCTCAGATGCATCCGATGTGGATTCTGAAACGCGGCATTTATTAAGCATTGTAATTCTGTGATGTTGTTAGATTCGGAGTGAAAAGAGTTAAATGAGTACAAATCCCGAACTCATCTAAGTAGTTCTAATATACTGGCTGTCTGTAGAGCCGTAATTCACGAGGCCAAAAGTCGAGAAATATAAACGTCAAACATCTGACAGAAATTTTAAAGCAAATAAAAGTAAATATTTATTTCCATTAATATTATAATTATTTTGTAAATTATGACGATAGAAAATTGTATGGACTCTCAACCTATTCAAGAGACAGGAAATAACACAGAAAGAGATGAAATAATAAGATGTTTAACTCAAAACAGCCAAATATGCTTCAAAAGTCAACAAATGTGGGAAGCAGACCTCACTGAAGAAGAAAAATTTCAAATAGGTCTAGATCTATTTATAAAAAACAAACTACAGTTTTTAATAAAGTTTGGTAAATACTTAAAGTATGATCAATTAGACTATTTTCGAACACTTATTGAAACAGAACCTAATGAAGAGATTAATATATTAATTAATGATTTACAAAAAGAAAATTGTGATGCATATAACATTGTTGTTAAAAATCGAAGATATCAAGCCATGATGCAAATGATTCAAGAAAATTCATATTTTTCTGAAACGGAAATGATGAAAAGGAATCCCCTCTTATATAATCAGTTAGTGGGGCAGTATTTAACAGCAGATGAAGTAGAAGAAAGGGATAGATTTGCAAACAACGATTCTAGTTTAGTAAAAATACTTATGGAAGGTATAGAGAGAGATAAAGCAGAAGAAGTAAGGAAACGACATGAAGAAATTGAAAACATGCAAATGGAAGCGGAAGATGAAGACACTTCTAAACCTAAACAACAACCTACCTCACACTGGGGAGAAATTGGGGAAACTAGAATTCAACAAAAAGCCTTCTCTTCTAAAGGAAGAAAGAAAGTAACTAAAATAACACCAGAGGAACAAATATTACTTAAAGAAGAGTTCATTACAACCATGTATAATTCTTTCTTAGATGGTAAAGATGAAGATTTTGAATATGAAAGCATTGATAACAACACTAGTTATGATAATATCGAAGAAATAGAAAATAATGAGGAAGAGAAATATTTTGATTCTGAACCGGAAAAAATTGGAAATGTTTATATAGAAGATGAGACTTCTGATGATGAGTTAGATATATTTATGAAGACATTGAAATAGTTTGTTAAATGTTAAATAAACTACTTAAATTAAGATATGATTTTTGTTAAGGTAACCTACCTGTATGAGTGACCCAACTTCTCAGAGTACATCATATATGCTTTTGAAATCTTATGATTGTTATCTGCCAATAGAGGAAATTTAAGATTTTTAAAATTGCTATTTTTATCATAATTTAACCATGCACGGTGTGTAAAATAGGAATCTATTGAGCAGCCAATTACTTCTGTATTTAATTCAATAAAAGACTCATAGGAATTATCAATGGCAAAAATTTCGGAAGGAGGCTGTGCATATGGATGATCACAACTAAAATTAAAGATAATACAAATTATAAAATTGCTTTTAATTTGATTTAAAATATAAGTCAAATCGCCCTCTTTCTTAAATAAAAATGTTACCATTAACTGACATAATAGGGCTGTTCTCTTTCCGCTGAGCCCATTTATGGGACTTTGAAAATGAGTCGACTCCCAACAAAAGTTGTTCCTGAAAAAAGGCGAAACAAAAAGATAGTCTCCACTTTTTTGGAATTACTGGGAATGTTTCCACTATAGCACTTGAGGATAGACGTATTGTTAATTTAAAATGGTACACTACAGTTTGTTTGCCTCAGGTTCCCCAAGAAGTTCGCGAAAAACGTCAAAGAGAAAGGATCATCCTGCATCAAGATAATGCTCAGGCTCACACTGTTGCTATAACAAATGAGTATTTGAATGCCCAAAATAGAAATAATAGGTCATTCGCCATATGGTCCAGACTAATAATTTCTTATTTCCGCAGGTAAAGGATAAATTACGGGGTTTACGTTTTACATCGGCTAAAGAAGTGGTTGTTGCATTTAAAAACAAAATAATCTCCGCCCAGAGGACTGGAGAAAATGTTTTCAAGAACGGTTTTTGCAAATGCAAAAATTCATTGATTGTGGAGAATACTTAATTATATATTATAAATAAATGTTTTTGTAAATAAACTGCGTTTTACTTTACTAGGCTTAACGGAAAGAGAACAGCCCTTGTATAAAAATGGACACTATAAAATTATAATAACATTTATTTCAATAATGTTTGCAGGAGTAGTAAATAGTAATTCTTTAAAATTTTAAACCAATCTTACAGCTGCCAGTGTTCTTTACATCTAGGAATGGTTCTGATGATTAGTAGCACCATGAAAAATAATCCACTTGATGAAAGTTTGCCAAAATATGAGGGGTTTATCTATTTGGATTAGGATGTGGTTCAAAGCCCATTTCTACCGAAGCTCTAGGCATATTGTACCTCTGTCAGTTTCTACAACAAGTTAATATTCTTGATGTATTCAAGAAAATGTATGATGGGCGCTTTCTCGATTTCTCCAGGTTCCAGATAATGTTTCCCCGAAGTGTCATTCTCGTTCCCATTTAAGGTTCCGGCAATGGCTTGGTAAGCGATTAGAGTTTCGTCTTCCTCTTCACTCTATAATAGTATTCAGATATCCTTAAGAGATTTAAGTGTTTCTATGGAAGTAGTCCTTTAAGTACTTCTATTACGGTCTTAAGTTCGTTCCTGCTAAGGTTTAGCAGTTTATTTTGTCTGCTCATGGATGAACTCTCTATAAATTATCGGAAGTGCCATAGTTCAGAAAATTCTAACTAGAGTTTATGGTTTTCTCTATTTACCTGTTGCATTGTAACCTTTTAGTTTTCTCAACTCCCTTCTTGTCTAGGCGGTCTGCTTTTTCGCCATTCAAGAGTGACCTTGTTAGGTTTTCCCGGCTCCTAGAAGGACCGACTGACTGTTGGCAATCAAATATTAATTTCATGTTAGGCACGTGTGTCCTTCAAGATAAAATGCATCTTAGGGGGTCTGGTTAATGTGTGTGTCTCCTACCGATACTGTCCTACAGATGCTTAATAAACAAAAGATCCGGAATCTTAATAGCCATAGTAAATTATTGATTTAAACATAGAAAGGAAGGCCTGAACAATACGTGGCCAGGCATAACTTGCTGTTAAAACTGGAGTTAGGAGCGTCGTAAAAAATAATGTGTTTGTCAAAAGAAAATTCCAATAGTAAATACACAATACAAAGTAAAATATAATTTTTTTACACAATTTCTTGAAAAATTTACTAAAACTTCCTGTCGGCGATATGGTGTCCACTGGTGGATAATTTCTCAACCAGCCCAGACAGCACACCAAATCCTTTGGATATCTACTGAACATCCCAATATCCACTGAATGTCCAGTCCATGGTAGATATCTAGTTTATATCCATGAAATGTAATTTATAGACATGCAAATGTCCATAAATAATAGTAATTATATAGCAAATTATTAAAAAATTACGCCATTGTGGCTAATAGTACCGTTCAGATATTTAAAATTAATTTTTTTAATATCCCATGAACATCCACTAAATATATCAGTCTAGGCGCGAACGCAAACCATCGTGGATATCCACTAGAAGTTATTTGATTCTGCTTACTAAGTATAGATAGCGATACCACTATCGCATCTAAATCATGCTCGACCCGCCGTAATTGAGTTCGATCGAAATTTGTGTCCTAATCACTCCATATTGGATATATTGAATATCCACAAAATATATTTATTCTGTGGATATCTCTGGGATTTCTTGTATTTTCTAGAAGATACCCATTAGATATTTTGCTGAATATCCATTAGGATATATTCTGGATATAGACAGACATTTGGGTATCCATATTAGATCCACGGAATATTTCTGATATCCTGTGGATATATTGGATATCCACAAAAGATATTCTGTGGATATCTCTGGGATTTGGTGTGTTGTCTGGGAGCTATTTAGCAGAGGAGTGAATTACACTCTACATGTGTATCAGGAATAAGGAGGAAGTAAACTAGGTAAATAAAGGTGGCATAACTGGTGTAATTTACACTGGTGGACACTGCACCAACAGCGAACGAAAGAATCTCATAAGTCATGTTACTTCTAATGAAGGTTATCTACTGCCGTTAACAATAGGTACCCATTTCAAAATCACAATAGTCCAATATTTCCACAGCAAATTGGAAATAGTGTAGCTAAACACTAATGTATTTATTACTTTCGGCGTGTTCACTTTTCAATGTTGCTTAGTAGAGTAATAAAAATTATTTTCGTCTTCTTATTTAGCCTTTTAAGTCATCCAACTTTGGTCATAGACCTCTCCAATTATTCTTAACTCGTTTCTATCTTGTACTGTTTCCATTATTGTACCCCAATCTTCTCAAGATAGTCACTCCACCTCATCTGATGTGTTCCTTATTAGTTTGGCAACATCTAACAATCTTTTACTTCTGTTACGTTTCTAACCCAATGATTTTCTTATTATCTTGTAGCCTTATTCCAATAATTTGTCTTTCCCTATCTCTTTATATTTTGGCTGGTGTTTCCGAACTTGGCGTCCAAATTTGTAGGGGTGGTAGTTCGCATAATTTGAGAGCGATTGGCAGATTTCATTTTTATAAAAAAATTATAATAAACAAAATAGAGCCCATTATAAAAAAAATCAAAGAGCAGGTCCTACCCTGAGCGCGTAGCGCAATAGTCCTCAAAAGCAGATGCGATTTTGTCGATTCTAAGCGTAAAGCGCGTGTGTCGACTCGCTCCTATCGCTGTGCATGACCGTACCTGTTTATAATTTTTAATTATTTTTATTTTAAATATTTTGGAAAAATGAAATCTGCGAATCGGTCTCAAATTATGGGAACTACCACCCCTACAAATTTGGACGCCAAGTTCGGAAACACCCTGTATATTCTATCGAATTTTGCTTCCGTAAAGATGTAGGTTTGGGAGCCTATGTAAAAATTTGGAGGAATGCATTCTTGTTTTCGGATATTGCTGGATTTTTTGACTTGAATACATTTAGCTACCCAAACCTTAGACTAGGTAATAGAGGACGCGTAACAAGTATATCGAGCACACGTAGTCTTCTGTGCCGATTATCTATTGGCCGCCATTATTTTGGTGCTAATCATTTCGGTGACACCAAAGTTTTTGTTCGTGTTTATTTCTGATTTTTAAATTAAACGACATTTAATAATTGGTTTATTACAATGGTTTATTGTGTGGCATATCAGTGTTAAAGTTATAACGGCAAGAAATAAACAGATATTACGTTTTATAGGCAAATAATAAACATCAATCGTTTTCACTTTATATATTTTCTTATATTTGTATTATTATTATATTGTACATGTCTCACTCCAGAGTAATAAATTTTACCCACCAAGTTTGTTTATTTTATGATTTTCATCGATATTTAAGCAATTAATGATATTAAAATGGCCAAACATGTAATTTTTTCCAGTGGCGTGTCGTAGAATTCTAAATATTAACTTTTATTAAATCCTAATTTACTTTTGCTTCTTATTTAATTGCAACAATGTTTATTTGTTGTTTTATTTTAGATTTCCTGTGGATCCAGTCAAAGAATCTTTGGATTCAGGCAACGAAAATTGCAAATTGGATGCCTACGCCAAATGATATAGTTCAAAACATTTTTTTTATGGGACGCACTGTAAAACACGTTTACTAAATGGAGCAGTTTCCACTATATTTCCTGAATTCTCTAAATACATGCAGCCGAAGGTGCGTATACTAATAAACATAATTAAACATATATATTTTTTTAATTACTTTTCATTATAATGTTATGAACTTTTAAGAATTTAGCCACCCTTTTGTGTATAATTCAAAACATTACCGTAATAATTGATTTTTTGTAGTACTTAAAAAAAAAGCATTGCATTTAAAAGCTGAGCCAGGCCCTTCAAATAGAACTTCAAATAAGGAATCTATCCTAGAAAGCCGTAGCATAAAACGGCTTAGAAGACAACTTTTACAACAGGTAGAAAAAAATAAAGAAAAAAACAAGACAATTCAAATTTCTTAAACAAAAACTTAAAAAAATATTAAAAATAGAGTTGTTCGCTAAAACTTCTTGTCATTGTACCAAATTAGTATTATTTAAGGGTCAGTAATTAATTTATCTTCATGTATGTATAATTTTTCTTACTAGCTTAATTTAATAATATCCAGATAGCACACTACATCTTAAAGACGTCCAGTTCATGTCTTACTTTCGTCCAAACGTCCTGGTACGTAAAACGGACGATTTTAAGACGCCCTGCTCAGGACATGTTTAAAAGGTCTTTGTTGGGATGTTTTTAGGACGTTTTAAATATGTCGGTAATGTGGACGTTCAATTTTTTTCGCTATATTTGAATATGGCGCCACAACAGCGTTCTTGGCGCTGCTTGCAGCGCATGTAGATCGTCATTCGTCATTGGCTGATTGGAGTCTCGCGCGCGCGTATCGAGTCGTGTTCTTTCTCTAGCTGCCTTCTTCTCGGGACAGCCATTGTATAATATTTTTAGCGCCAGTCTGTGGGCATTGTCATTACTTTTTTGTGGTTGTGTGTTTTTATATATTGTGTTTTTATATATTGTCTTTTTATATTATTTATTTGCCATTATTGGAACTGTAGTATACCGGAACTAGTAAACTTTATCATTAAAAACGGTAAGTTTTAATATATTTTCATTTTAATTTCATAACCCCACTTTAATAATGTCTTATTTCTTAGAAAACACCTTAAAATAATAACTCAACAAAATGATATGCTACGGAGACATTAGTTACAGACGCTTTGGCTAAAATTAATACCATAAAATAAATTTTTAAATCGACCAAACTGGAATAGTTTCTCATAGCAACAAGTACTTGAAGTCATTTTTTAATTATTTTATCCAACACTGTAAAATAATATTTATTCTGTGTCAGTTTTAATTGTTTAATAATGTATAATAAACAGTAGTAGACAAGTAGGTATTCATTTTTTTTTTAAATAAATTTCCATCAAGTAAATAGACGACTTAAACACGTCCAATAAGGTTTGTTTTCAAGCAAAACTGGATGACTTAAAGACGTACAAATTTAGATGTCCTAAAGGCGCCTTGTTTTGTAACAAAGTACGTCCTATAGACGCCTTTAAAACATCTTTTGGATATTAGCGTAGATCTTCAAAACGTCACGAACGTCGTGAACAAACGTATTTAAGATGTTTTTAAAACGTGTCTGTGCTATCTGGGATTATCATTCTTTATTAAGTAAAAATAAATCTTTTTGTAATACATGTAGATCATTATTTTGCGGAATTAAAAAAAAAACACTCATTTTATTATGTAAACGATTTCATTCAGTTTATTTCTATATATTTTTTTCTTGTGTCTTATTTATTGTTACTTATTTATTTTAAATTTTACGCTTTGAACTTGCTTTATACCTAAAAAAATCAATGAAGTACTAATAACATAAATACAAGTTCGTTTTTTTTATTTACAACATGTTACGCCTTTGGTCAAATATCGTTGGTGTCAGAATGGAACAAGATTTTCAGCGACGTTATGAGTCCTCTCTAGTCTAAGACCCAAACATATTTTTTTCGGAATCACCAGATAGTTGATCAACTACCCTTTAGTTTCTCAAAACTTGGGAGTACCTACAGAGTCGGCATACTGAAGATCGCTAGCATATACAGTACTTATTTTTTTCCTGTCTGCCATAGATAAATAAAGGCAGGGACTTTCCACGTTTCTCAGGCACGGGACGTGCGGATTCTCCTACCACCTAGTTCTACACAAAGCACAGCTGATCGGATGCGCTAATTATAATATGGCTTTATATTATAACCGCATGCCAAAAATAAGTACTGTATTTATTAAAATTTTTAAGCAATATGAAATAAGAAACCAGAAGTAGCGAGTCACTAATTTTGTAAGTGTGCATTCAACAATTGATCAAAATCGTAATTTTGTAGTCACAGTTGTGTAATAAGAGACGTAATGGTTTATTTTGCATAAACAAAAAGGTGTAAATAAAAATCCACTTACAAATCTAAGGGATAAAAAAATAGTACTAAATATTTTCCAATATAGTCGCTCGATTTAATTGTAACTGGTTTATCATTAAAAAGAGCAGTAGCAGTCCAGCTGGGAGCCAGTTGATACATAAGACCTAAAATAACATAAAAATAAGGTAAGAACATAAAATTAATGATCTCAATTTTTATTTGGATTGATAGGTGCTGCACTAAAAAAAAAATGTTAAAATTAAAAACGGTGTTTTCAACATTACAAAATAGAGAGTTGAAAAATACACAAAGCAAAAATATTCCACAACCCACTCAATAGGTGGGTATAAAAGAAACGTAGAAAATTTAATTTTTCAACTCCCTGTATTTTAAAAATAAAGCCATTTAGGCCAATTCTGTCTTAAAATTAAGAAATGAATAGCATCTTAATGTTTGGCCACATATTTAATGATTATAAAGATATCTAACATAATGTTTAAAGTGCATTTATTGATTGGTATTTTATATTTTCAAAAGATAAAATTGAGTTTTCTTTAGCAAATGATATCGATCAATATACACACTAAAATACTGATTGGATTTGACGACGAATAACTACTAGACCAAACACACAAAATGGGGATTGCAAGTATTCACGTTGTTATCCAACATAGTTGCCAAATTATTACGGGAGAGTCTATGTACAAGGATTTTTTGTAGCTATAATTCGGAATTTACTTAACAAACGGCTCGAAAACGCCGAAAAGGCTTTGAAAATTATGGTAAGGAAGTGTATTTTTATTCTTATAATGCCAGTTATCAGTTTGATATATTTTTTCTGCTTGCAACTATTGTAGTTGAATGTGATTTGTAGGAAAATACGCCTTTTATTATGCAGTGTGACAACAGTGTAGTCGTATAAATTCTGGCTCATTCATTAAACGTGTGCTCGCAAATACCAAATATCTAGCTAAAATAAAACACGAATTGAATACTTGTATATAAACAAATACTTATTTATGAATGAAATAATTAATCTAGTAGTTGTTCGTCAGTGGTTCGATTTATAGTTTATTCCTACCTTCAATATACCACATCTTTTCCGGATCAGGATTATGGCCCATTGTAGGTTCTTCAACATTTGATTTTTGTGAAATATATTCAGTAACTTCGCTCTAAAATTTATTTATTAAACACATGTACGATTTTTTTTATATTGGCTAATAAGAAATGTGAACACCCAGAAACTTGTAATATAAGGCAATGATCTTTCCAGTTAAGATATTTGTTGATGTAAAATCTGTATGGGACCTTATAACCTCTTTTTTCGGAATAAAAACAAATCACGAAAAGTGTATAGAAATTGAACATTTTTTTGAAAATTATGGCTACTCTCATCCATACAATATGAATAAGATGCGCCTTTAAATTGAACCGTGAGGAATATCTATATCTAACAGAATTAAATTAATCATCTCACTAATTGGCATTATTATTAGTAAAATATAAAGAATTACACAAAACTCTGAAAGTATTAAATGTTTTAACTAAATATTTAAATCGAAAAACAAGGATTTGAAATAAACCAAACAATTAGGTTATTACTCCACTTACATTGAACTGAAGAATTATCCAAGGTAATACGTTGATAATAATTAACCTGTCAGGTAAATTTTGGTTTAAATAGACTGTCAATAGTTTACAGAAGGGCTGCTGCCCGAAACTCTTGCCGAAGGATTCTTTTAGTAGAGACGTTCCTTCGGGACCTTATGTCCCGAAGCATCTTAATGCGTAAAGTTTGGTGAAGTGATTTGTGTGCTAGAGGTAATTAATTATCTTTATTTTTATGTGGTTTAAATTTGTTGTTTGGTTTTCTTTTGAGACAAATAAGTAAACTGCCAATTTTTCCATTTTTTTGTCCCAAGCTTAATTACTTAATATTTATCATACAGTGTGTTCCACAAATTTGGATCCATATGGGATTTTTTTTAATATTATGTTTATAAAAAAACGCCGTAAGGCATTTACCTTTATTTTTTTAATAACTTAAATTAGCCCATATTAAAGTTTGCTACTCCATTCATTATCTTTCAAATTCAGTATTTTTTAAAAATTTTACAGAAAAATAAGGTCAGCAGTAGTAGTATAAAAAATCTTTGACCAAAAACTGTTCCTCTTCTACTGAAATAGAATCCTCACATCAAAAAACTATTTTTTTCAAAAAAAAAAAAAAATTCTCTAAGGCTAAAACTTCCTCTACTTGTATTTAATTTTAATTTAAACTTAACTTCCCTTTCCCATTTTGTGTCGAATTTATCATGCAGAACAAAAAAAACCTGTTGCCGGGCCCCCATTTAAGCCCGGGCCCCGGGAATTAGTCCCGGCTACCCCCCCCCCCCTCTAGTCGGCCCTGGATAGCAGTAGTTAAAGACCAACTGGTTGTTACACTAGTGATATCAGTGCTGCCCTCCTAAGCCAAATATCGGCATCTCCTTAGATGATATCTCGGTTTAAGCGAGTTTCGAGAAAAACACAATGACATGTTTTCTCGTTCCCTCGAGTCGAAAAAAATTATTTAAGTTTTTGTATCGTATATGGATATGCAGCCATTTAGCTTAGTAATAATGACATTAGGTACAACATACAGTTTAAGTATACATATATTAAACCGATGTTATGTGCTGAATTGGTGTAGTGGTTAGGGTTTCGGGCTCATAACGCAAAGATCTTAGGTTCAAACCCGGGCCTCGGCGGTAAGTTTACCTTGCTTTTTTTTCAATTTTTTTAAGATAAACTTCCATTTTCTCGCATGCTTGTAGAAAAAATTATTTCTGTGAAATCTAGATTAGATAACTGCAGTTTTGCAGCTCTACAGCACTTATGGACCAGCCGCCACTGCTCAAGACCAAATCAACCATCTCATCAGATCGATGTCTGGGTGTGTCAATGAATGACTAAAGACTACTTTTATAAACATAATGCATGTATTATTAAAAACTGAAAATTTTAATTGAACAAATTTAAGGTGTTCATATTTCTTTCAAAACAAAATAAATTTGAATAAAAATAAAATTTATAATTACGAAATTTCCAATTACCTTGTATTGGTCCTCTGATCTTTTTGTTTGAGGAGCTCGATTACCAGGAACCAACTGAATATCAGAAAGTATCACAATTTTATTGCGATTTTCTTTTAGTTTTTTATCTGTTGATCTTTTTGTAGTAGCATCTGCCAAACTTAACTGTATACTCAAATCCATATTTCCATCGGCATTTTCGTTATTTTTACTATCAGTAAATTGTTTATTTTTATTCAAATTATCTATCAAAACTGGATTATTATTATTATTAGTTCTTGTCCTCTGTGAATGCTTACCAACAATATCTACAATATTTTTTGTATTCTCCGCCATAGTTGAAACTGGCGCATATTTTTTGGCTCTCCTTCGTTTCACATGTTCGTCATCAATATTAGAAATATCCATCGAATTATTTTTAAGGGCTCGATTTGCGTTTCTTTTGTCTTTAGGAGTACTCGTTTTTCCGGTTTTGCGAGTTTTTTCCTTCACATTTTTAATGGAAAGTTTCCTGTTCTTTTCAGAAATTTTCGTTTTTCCCTTCTTTTCTTTGCCCCTGTTGTCATTTAAATAATCTATAAGGCTACTTCCTTTGGAAGCATCTTGACGCCATGAATCTAACATGCGTTCAAAATGCGACTTTAATTTGACCATCGAATTGTTTGAGCTAATGGTTGTATTCAGTTTCTTGCGTTTATGCATGGTTTTGTTGAATTGTTTCTCTTCATCTAGAACAACTCCAATTGTGGTTACATTTTTACGGCCGATGCTAGTACGTTTTGTCGAATTAATTTTGAAGTTGAAAGACTTTGATTGTGCATTTTCTCTACCCTCTTTTTTAACCGCCCCGCGTTTCGGATCTTGTACATCGGCCGAAAAATGTTTTTCTATTTCGTCCATTATGTTATTTTTGATACATGATGTAGTCTTAGGCTCATCAGACTTTGCTTTACTTATTGTTTCCAAGTCCTTCGTTGTATTTTTAATTGGTTTTTCACTTTGTTCTGTTCGAAATTTTCGTTTTGTAAATATTGTAGTATCTGAAACATCTTTTTGAATTTCTTTAATTATTTTTTTAGGTTTCTTTACTTCTAACAATGAATCCTCCATATTTATTACAATCATTTCATCTGGATAGTATAATTTACGTTTCCTTGCACTGAATGACGTTGAAATTGTTTGGTTTAAATCTCTAGTTGTGATAGAAGAATTTGAGTTCGATTTAACGTCAAATTGAACCACTTTTACTTTTTCTGTCAGATGTTCTTGGCCATTTGTTTTTAAAGGAGTGTCGACCATTTTTTGTACTGAACCCTTACTTAGTAGTGAAGGATGAATAGTTATATCACCGATAACGTTTTCATGTTGATCCTTTATTTGGTTTTGACTCTGGTATTGTGCAAACTGTTTTTCGTGAGATGAAGTGATTTTAACACTTGAACTTAATTGAGATTCTTTTCCAAAATCATTCCTATGACTTTTAACATCAACATCTCTTTTATCAGGACTAGGAGTTAAATGTATCCTATCTTCACTTTTTGTTATTGTATCATTTTTACTTTCATCTGTTTTTTTGTTCATTTGCTCGATTGGTAAAATACCTTCAGAAAAATTTTGTTTGGCCAAATTGTCAAATTTCTTTTCTGAGTCAATGATTGGTTGAATTTCAGAATTTAGTGGTACATACTCCTCTGAAGTATCAGACAAGTTATTTCCAATTTTTATGTATCTTTGTTGGAATTTATTTGATTTTTCCATAACGCTTGGAGTATTTTTTTGCGTAGGTACTTCATAAGCCTCAAGTTGACTTAGCGTTATTCCGTTGTCTAAAGCGTCTGTTAATGTTGTCACTTTTAGATTTAACTGTTCTTCAGATGTAGGGGTTGAATATGGGTGTGCGGTTTTAATTTTTTCTGATAATTTTTTAGAATTGTTTATATTTTCACTTTCACTATTATATTTTGGTGTTGTTGAGACGCAACGAGCACTTGACAAATGTTGTGAAAGTATTGGAGATTCAACATTTTCAACAGTATCGTTAATATTGCTAACCAGCACAGTTGCTAGAATATTATCAGTGCTTTTGTTTTTAAAATCAGAGTTTGAAGCCCATTTCTTAGCATCTATATTTTCCGGAACGTTTTTCGATTCTTCAATATTGACATCTTCATATTTTTTTGGTCCTTGCATTACGTGCTCACGGTTGTTTTCATCCTTGTCTTTAGTTTTGGACTCTTCATATGATTCCTTAAAACTACTTTCTTTTTCATATTTTTTATTCTTTATACTTTTTTTTACTTTTATTTTATGGCCTTCGTTTGATTCTATATGCTCAGTATTAATAATTTCTGAATCACGTTTAGGTTTTTCAACGACATAGCCTTCATTTTTTTTAGACACACTTTGTTTCTTAGAATATCTTTGTTTCTTATCGTCGAGGTTTCTGCTTTCTTCAATAGTTGACTCATATTCTTGTTTGTTTTTTTCTTTATTTCCTTCCCTGATCTGTGTTATTTGATCTTTTGCTAGGATACTATCTTCAGCACTTATTTCTTTTTTATTTTCTTCATTATTTAATTCATTAACAGATATATCCTTTTCCATTGCTAATGTTATAGTTCGTCGTCGCTTTGGATATCTACCCTTCTTTTCTTCAGCTTCTTTATGTTTCTCCACATCTTCAGTATCGCTCAATTCTTTATCATCTGATGCATTTATTTTAGTTATTGGTTTTATAATTTGTCGTTTAGGATATCTGCGATTCTTATCGTCAGTTTCATCGCCACATACAGATATTACACGTTCTTTCATATCTGCTGTTTCGGTGTTTTTTATTATATCTTTAGCGTCACTTAAGTCTTCATCATCTAAAAGTATAGTTGGTCGCTTAGAATATCTGCGCTTGTTTCTTTGTTCTTTAAAATCTGTTGCTTTCCATTCTTCATCATCAGGCGTAATATTTTTATTTGGTGGTGTTATTGTTGGTCGCTTAGAATATCTGCGCTTCTTATCAGTTTTCATAGGTTCTTTTACATCACCATACCCTACATGTGTTTTATTTTTTGTTAAATCTTCGGTTCCACTCAAGTCTTCATCATCTGTCTTAACTTTCTTAGCTGTTGGTATTATAGTTGGTTGCTTAGCATATCTGCCCTTCTTGTCATCAGTTTCCTTAGGTTTTTTCTCGTCGCTATGTCCTACAGATATTACTGGTTCTTTCATATCTGCTGTTTCGATATCTTCAACTTCTGACGGTAGTATAGTTGATCGTTTAGAATATCTGCGCTTGCTCTTTTCATTTTTCTTAGGGTTTTCTTCATAGTCATGGTCAGATAATATATGTTCTTTAATATCTGTTGATTTCCATTCTTTATCAACAGACGCAATTTTTTTAGTTGGTAGTGTTGTAGTTAGTCGCTTCGAATATCTGCTCTTCTTTTCAGTTTCCTTAGGTTCTTCTTCATCGCCATATTTTATATTTGTTGTTTTGTTATTTTTTGTTAAATCTTCAGCGCCACTCAAGTCTTCATCATCTGATTTAACTTTCTTAGATGTTGGTATCATAGTCAGTTGCTTAAAAAATCTTTGCTTCTTGTCGTCAGTTTTCTTAGATTTTTCTTCATCGCCATCTCCTACAGATATTACAGGTTCTTTTATATCTGCTGTTTCGGTATCTTTTATTATATCTTCGGCGACACTTAAATCTTCATCATCTGACGGTAGTATAGTTGATCGCTTAAAATAACCGCGCTTGTTCTTTTTAGTTTCCTTAGGTTTTTCTTTATGGCTACGGTCAGATATTATATGTTCTTTACTATCTGCTGTTTCTGTATGTTTTATTATATCTTTATCGTCAGTTTCATCGCCACATACAGATATTACACGTTCTTTCATATCTGCTGTTTCGGTGTTTTTTATTATATCTTTAGCGTCACTTAAGTATTCATCATCTAAAAGTATAGTTGGTCGCTTAGAATATTTGCGCTTGTTTCTTTGTTCTTTAATACCTGTTGTTTTCCATTCTTCATCATCAGACGTAATTTTTTTAGTTGTCGGTGCTATTGTTGGTCGCTTAGAATATCTGCGCTTCTTATCAGTTTTCATAGGTTCTTCTTTATCACCATATCCTACATGTGTTTTGTTATTTTTTATTAAATCTTCAGTACCACTCAAGTCTTCATCATCTGACTTAACTTTCTCAGCTGTTGGTATTATAATTGGTTGCTTAGAATATCTGCGCTTCTTATCGTCAATTTTCTTAGCTTTTTCTTCATCGCCATCTTCTACAGATATTACAGGTTCTTTTATATCTGCTGTTTCGGTGTCTTTTATTATATCTTCGGCGTCATTTAAATCTTCATCATCTGACGGTAGTATAGTTGATCGCTTAAAATAACCGCGCTTGTTCTTTTTAGTTTCCTTAGGTTTTTCTTTATGGCTATGGTCAGATATTATATGTTCTTTAATATCTGCTGTTTCTGTATGTTTTATTATATCTTTAGCGCCACTTAAGTATTCATCATCTAAAAGTATAGTTGGTCGCTTAGAATATCTGCGCTTGTTTCTTTGTTCTTTAATATCTGTTGTTTTCCAGTCTTTATCATCAGACGTAATTTTTTTAGTTGGCGATGCTATTGTTGGTTGCTTAGAATATTTGCGCTTCTTATCAGTTTTCATAGGTTCTTCTTTATCACCATATCCTACATGGGTTTTGTTATTTTTTATTAAATCTTCAGCACCACTCAAGTCTTCATCATCTGACTTAACTTTCTCAGCTGTTGTTATTATAATTGGTTGCTTAGAATATCTGCGCTTCTTGTAGTCAGATTTTTTAGATTTTTCTTCATCGCCATCTCCTACAAATATTACAGGTTCTTTTATATCTGTTGTTTCGGTGTCTTTTATCATTAAGTCTTCATCTGGCGGTAGTATAGATGGCCGTTTAGAATATCTGCGCTTACTATTTTCAGTTTCCTTAGGTTCTTCTTTATGGCTGTCGTCATCTGAAGGTAGTATAGTTGGTTGCATAGAGTATCTGCGCTTCTTGTCGATAGTTTCCTTAGGTTTTTCTTCATCGCTATCTCCTACATATATTACACGTTCTTTTATATCCGTTGTTTCGGTGTCTTTTATTATATTTCCAGCGTCACTTAATTGTTCATCATCTGACGTAATTTTTTTAGTTGTTGATATGATAGTTGATCGCTTAGAATATCTGCGCCTGTTCTTTTCAGTTTCCTTATGTTTTGCTTCGTCGCCATCTTCAGCAGATAACATTACAGGTTCTTCAGTATAAATTATTTCGGTATTTTTCGTTATATCTTTAACGCCATTCAATTCTTCATCTGTTGAAATTCGCCTTTTATATGATTTTTCAGATTTTGTGGTTCTAGTTTTTTCTTCTATAAAATTTCTGGATTCCAGAGTTCGTCGTTTTGGATACATAGTTCTTTGTCGTTCAATTTTTTCTTGAAGAATATTGTCAACAGGTTTTGGTGGTATATTTTCTTCAGGTGCTTTTAAACATATTTTCTCTTCCTGTTCACTTTTTGTTTTCGATTCTACAGTTTGTTTTAAGTTTGAGAAACTTTCGCCTGGTTTAAATGTTTCTGCATCTTTCGCAAGTTTTGTCTCTTGAGTTTCAGACTTTGATATTTTCTTCGCAGTATTTAATGTTCTTTGAATAATTTTTTGTTGTCCTACATCTTCCAAAAAAGTTTCTTTCTTAGCTGTACCATCCACCAAATGTACTCTCTTAGATTGGTTTTTATACGGTTTCGAAGAACCTTCTCCTAAAAATGCATTTGTTTCTGTCATTATATGTCCAACTATAGAGATTTTATTTTTAAATTTTGAAACTTTTTGAATTACATCTATTTGTTCTCTTTCAACAATTTCATTATATATTTGTCGTTCCTCGGCACTTTTTATTTTCTGTTGCGATATTTTTTTTGATATCTTTGGTGTTTTAGTAATTTCTTTCTTCGATTCTAAAATTTCTATTTGTGAAGAATTTTCTTCTGTAACAATTCCCAAATTAGATGTGTTCTTTACTGTCTCATCTTGTGGTACACTTAAGTCTTCTTTACGATGTTTTAAATTAGATTTCGTATTTTCTGTTGCGTCAACTTCTTGCGTAAGTATGTTGTTCAAACTAGTTTTTTGGTCTGATTTTAGAATTACCTCAGACGAACAAATTATTCTCTCTGCAAAATCCATAGAGTCGTCCAAATTTCGAATTTGATTTATTTCTTCTGCATGTTTCTGTGAAATATTAATATTTCTAGAAATTTTTGGTTTTGATTCTTCCTTGTATTTTGCTTGACTTACTTTGATGAGATTTTCTTTCTCTGTTAAATCATATTCATGTATATTGACTTTCATAGAGTTCAAATCTTCGATTATTTCGCGATTTGAAATCTTTTTATTCAAATTAGATTTATTTGATACTTTTAATATTTTAGCACTAGATAATTTCTGAACTTTGTAATTTTCCGATGACCCTTCTTCCGCTGTCTTAAATTTATCTGTAAACGAATTATTAGTTCCATGATTCTTATATGTACTGACTTTAATCGAATTTTCAACATATCCTTCTGCGGTTAAGTAATTATCTTGAGAAGCACTCTGTGAGCTTATAATTTGACGGTAGTTAAAATCAGATGTTGTGCATTTTCCCGACAAAATTTGGGTGCGTTGGGAGTTCACAATGAGAGACGTGTCTTCTACGGATAAATACGTATTTGAACCGTCTGTGCTGGCGATAGATATAACTTCGTCTTCAGATTCAGAAGTCACTTTAATTAAACCTAAATTTGCAGAGCGGTCTTTGCTCGAATTAACAGATTTGCTTTCGTTGGAAGTATGAGGCATTGGTTGCAGAGGATTATACTGAAAAAATAATTATACATCTACAGATACGGGGTTTTCAACATGGATATATTATACCTTACAATTGGTGGAACAAAGTTTAGTAGGAACATGCACATAACAGAAAGAGAGATTTACGCTCGACGAGCGACCTGCCAGATATGAGCAAGTTTCTGTTATACTTTGTTCAACTCTAATTGTAAGTCTAAGTTCAACGAGTTGTCAATGACAAGTGATGGCATCTTTTATATCACAAAAAATACAGCTCTGAACGATAATATTTTTAGATATTGTTTTTAAAACTGGGTTCAGAGTACGGTAAAGAATGGTGGAAAGTCTGCAGTTTCTTTTACTTTTAATGATGCATAATATTTTAATAAGTGATATTTAACAAATATTTAAAAGTTATGGACTTTCCACCATTTTTTATAGTATTTAAAAGCTAAAACGCAAAATACACTCTATTATTTTTGCCACAATTATTTCAGGAAACTTGTGTTAAGATTTAAAAAAGTACTGGCGCCATTTTGCAACCGTGCTAATTCGAGACATACGTTTTATGCCGCGTTTGAGAATCCACATCGGATGCATCTGAGATGTAAAAAATCTTTGATCACGGGATTCAGTATACGTAAATGTAATGGGACAGATGTGTCCGATGTGGATAAAAAAACGCTCAAGATGTAAAAAATGCATCCGATGTGGATTCTCAAACGCGGCATTAGTAAACTCATGGTGTTACGTATTTGTTGACTTTGAGAAATTAGGCATTCCAAACTGAATGGCTACCAGTGGGTTCTGACGGGTTATGATATGGCAAAATTATGGCAACCCTGTAGGCCTGGTGATTTGACAAGGTCAATGAAATAGATATTTACATAGATTGATCATCCATATTTTTCAAAATAAACATAAGCTTATGCCTTGAAGTAAAAATGTAAGCAATTATTTTTTTTTTAAATATCTAAAGGCTAAAAATTGGTTTTAAAACACATTTTTGCTAAACCGATTCAAATTAATAAATATTTGTCAGGCAATATGGCCGCTCGTAAATGACCAGCTTTGAGCAATCTATATAACTATATTTGTATCATTGACCCAGTTAATGACAACATGACAACAGGGTTGCCATATCTAAACTGTCATTACCACATACTTTGATTTTCTTTTACTATACGGAGAATTGTCGCACTGCGCAGCTTTCTGAGTGCCTTTTAAAAGGAGATAGAAAACTCCGCCATTTTGAACCCTTATTACGTGTTGCCTACATCTTGGCGCAATATTTTTAATAGGTGCGTTTTAATCATCCGCTTCTGCTTCGGAATTGTCGGTTTTCTTGTTTTAATCTGACAGGTTAAAACGACTAAACCGACAATTCCGGAAGCAGAAGCGGATGATTAAAACGCACCTGATATTTTGCTTGCTGCTGTCAGTGTCAGTGAATATTATTTTTGAAGTCACAGTTTATTGTTAAAGAATCAGTTAGCTCACTCGGACCAGTTGAAAGTTCCAAAATAACATCCACTCCAGGGATACAAATTCAGGATATGCAGAAGACTGCTGTTTTATTATAGGCGGTTGTCATATATTGTATTATCCGAGTTGCACAGTGTATAAACTGAAACATTGAGATCAAAAGTGCCGACGCAGAGTGAGCGATCTGATTCTTTAGCTGTAAACTGTGTCACAGGGTTCAAAATGGCCGCGCCCTATGTTGGGCGTGTCAGACCTCTCTCTTGCCTCGTATAGTAATCAAAGTATGTGGTCATTACCCACTGGTAGCCATTTGGACAGGTCGTTGGAATGCCTAATAGAAATTTAAAGTGACGTATTACTTCAAATAAAAAATCGTTTTCTAACCTAAGAAAAAAGTTGAGTTGGGTCTTAAGGTATTGTTGAAAATTCTGTACCAGAGGTGGGATTCCGTTGTGTCGAGTAACTCGATTTAAATACGATTCATAATTCGATCGAATTATGAAAAGTGATTCTATAAGTCGATGTTTTGACTTCGGAAATCTTCGAAAATTCACAAAATAATGAAGTATTCGAACTACTCGGACTTATAAACGTCAAACAAAAATATTAAATTGTATTTGGTAAGATCAATTATTTATTTATTTTTTATGATGAAGGGTGGGGTTTTTCCTGGGATTCCTCATCTATAAGTTTAATGACACCATCTGTAAGTCGACTTGCATTGCGTTCGGTATGCCAAGTTCCTTTAACTCCTTCAACACTTTTTACTCCAAACGACCCTTTTAGTGTTCGGTTTAGTCCGATTAGTGACAGTTTAACACGCTTAATGTCATTTAAAAGCACCCTAAAAAAACTCCGCTTTTGTCCCGCTCCAGCCCCTGACTATCCGAACTCGCCTTTGGAGCGTCATGGAAAATAATAATAGGGAGTTTTAGCAAACAGCCGCTAACCATCCGCTAACGTTACCTTAGGGATAGACTGTAATCTACTCTGTTCAATGTTTATGAAAAAGGTCACAATCTAAGTTTAACGTAACGTTAGCGGAAATCTTACGTACATTTGCTAAAACTCTCTAATAATACGGTTCTCACTAACCGATACCAATAGTTATCTTTAATGATTTGATATCGAATTGACTACTCTAGAGCCATCGAGCTATTTGATCGAGTTTATTGTCGAATTTCGTTGAACGGAGTTGCAATTATAGAGTTTGACATCAAATTCGAGTCGAATCATGAAACTGAACCCACCCCTGTATACTAAATAAAGAAAATGATTTTACAAAATTAGTAAAAATCTATTTGTTTTACATTTGTAGGGTCCCATTCAACTAAGCTCTTGGACAGCATTGTAAATGGCTAAATAATTTCTTGAAGATGGTATCATAAATATGATAAATACCTTTCTTTAGCAAATAAATTATATTTCGTTTTTACTCACCATACTAGACACTTCAGACTTAGATAGCATAGACTTATTTGCCGATTTGCTGACTTTAACGTCCAATGATTTGTAGGCCATTTCTATTAAAGAAAAAGTAGAGAAAGGAAAATAATTAGTCACGTAACATTAGAAGCTATATGTAACATGTGATCAAAAACAAATTAAATTAAATTTGTTTACTTACTTGCTCTAGAACATTTTTTCGTAGGGTTTGGAGGTGGTTGATCAAGTAATTTGGGAAGTATGCTTGTGACTAGTTGCTCAGCTTTCTCATTTCTTTTTAAAATTATTATTACATTCTTTGATTGGTGCAGAAATGACGAATCTTCCTCAGAAGAAGTTATAAGATGGCCACTCATTATAAATTGAATGCAGTACATGTCGGGAGTACTATAAAATAATTATTTCGTCCAAAAGTTTAATTTTGTGACGTAGGTATGTTATTTCTGAATTGAACTTAAGTTACGAGGTTAGTATAATGGGGGTACATTTAGAATTCATAAAAGTGTAAAACAACCCAAGTAGCATTTTGATGACGATAACCACATAATTCACCAAACATTTTGCGTTGTACTTGGTGTAGAAATATGAAACGACGCTCTCTAAACCAACGGACAATGTCGTCTTAATGTTGAACATTACTTTAGTTAAAGTACGACATTGTTACGTTTACCCAACCGACTACAAGTAGAAAATACTTTGGTAATGGCAATTATGTTCTACAAACGTTTAAGTGACAACTTTAGTTATGTTAACGTTTTCCCGACGGAGAGTTGACCTTGTAAGATTTAACTAAACAGTGGACAATTTGTCAATTAAATTAAAAACGTTTTCGAGGAGTTATTGCAACTAACCTTTTTTCAAATTTTTACTGCAAAGGACATGCCGGCGATATTTAGATAATATGTCTAATTTGTTTTACTTTTTTAATTTTTGTGACAAGAAAATACTGTAGGCTAAATTACTTCATAGAAAGAATATATATCCCATAGACATAATTTTGATACATCCTCGCGATTCAAGCTAAGCTAAACGCCCACTGGAGGATATTTGTAAAAGGTGTTTATATGTAAAAGACTTTTTCCAATGTTGCCAACAGTAGCGGAATGCCGCTACGTAAGCTAATTTTAACACCTTCTAGCAGTGCAAAGTAGCGAAATTTGGGTCTACGTAATCATCCACTATATTTAACTATATTGATTTTTCTTTTAATCAGTTGACAACATGGTGGTGGTGTTAGATGTTTATAGAAAAATTTGTATTATCAATTCGATTTTTTTCTTATTTGTGAGCATTAAATTTGTTTATTTCTTGTGTCTGAGTGTTTATATTAAAAATGAAATTTGCGAAAAAGCCTCTAGCAAACTGTAATCTATATGATGTTAATTGGTTTCATATCAAAAAGTTTTCATTATTTTCTAAGCATAAGTCCTAAAATTTTGTTTCCTACAATAAATGGATATCTAAAAATTCACATTATTGAGATGTAGTAAAATGTTGTCAAGAATCAAATTGCATTCTGCATTGTGACAGTTTTATTTTTGGTCTAAGATCCGAAGTAAGGTCGACCTTCACCCATTTGTTAAACGGATGAAAGTTTCTTTTTATTAAATATGTTTATAAATATATCGCAAATAAGTTGTCTAAGAAAATACGATCATGACTTATTTATTTTATTAAAAAAAACGACACTCTGTAAAGTATTTCCCAGATGCTTCCACTATTCCCAAACTTTATTCAGCTCACCGCAGTTTAAAATTTGATGTTTTCTTCATCCGTTTTTGAGTTATCTTCAAAATTCGAAATTTGCATTTTCCTCAAAATATCTCGAATTAGGTCCATTTTAGGGAAATCATGTAAAAGGACCAAAATTATAGAGAATAGCATCACAAGCAACTTTTATCATGATTCCTATACTTTCCTTATCTGTATACAGCAAGGAAAGTAAAAAATGGCAGTGACCGTATTTTCTTAGACAACCCATTTGCGGTATATTTATAAACATATTTTATTTAATAAAAAAACTCTCATCCATTAAATAGATGGGTGAAGGTCGATCTTAACGGGTCCTGCACTATTCGGTTTACATGTTTACAAAGTGCTACAATGTGCTTCAGAATATAAGAATAAGGATACTAGATTTTTAATTAAGTTTATCAATAATAAACATTAGGTGTCTGAAATTTCTTGTAAGCCACGTTTAGTAAACAAATACTTCTAGTTGTCTGTGTAGCATCTAGAGAGGTTAATATTTCCAAAAAATTTGTCTTAAACACATGATAAATATTTATGACGAAAGCACGGAAACTAAACATAAATTAATGCTAAATGAAACTCAAAAAACTATTAGAATGACAATATCTAAAAACAGTTAAAAAAATCAGAAATATAAAAATCCGCCTGTAGAAAATATATTACTTACGTACGCCTATGTATTATTTTTATTTTAATGTAGTTTATGAACGTCACTTGGATAATATTTTTTGAATTTTCATGTTAATTACAATTTCGTAATATAGTCAAAGTTTAATCGTAGTCAAACTTAGTACTTCCCTTAGATTTATTATTTTACACCGCCCAAAACCAACACAACGCAAATACACAAATATCCTACTCATAGGTGACAAATGACAGGCGCGCGATAATTAAAGGCATTTCTTTATAAGCTTACCAGAACATACTACTGTAACCAGAGCATTTCTTTATAACGTTTGGTTACTCTGCTTTGGTTACATGTTACCAAAGTATATGTAGCTACATCTAACGAGGCATTTATTTATAAGCTTACTAGAACATACTATAATAAAAAATAACAAAGTCAGAACATCCTAAAATTTCTAAAATTCAAATTCCGGTTAGAAATCCCCAAACTTAAATTAAATTTGACATATGACATTCAATAATAGGGAAACCATGGTATGCGTAATGTCACCACAGTAACTACAATACTGTAACCAAGTATGTTGTAGTAAGCTTATAAAGAAATGCCTTAATTTGAATCGCGAATCAAGTAAAAGTAAAAATAACTTGAATGATCCTAACCTAACCTCAAAATTTTATTCATAAAATAATGATGAAAAGTTACAAATTCATTTTAATTTTTGTGCAAATAACTTACCAGGGGTAATAATGTAATATTTAAAAAGTCGTTTAGAAACGGTTTTTAATTGAAAATGAAACAAGCCATGTCTCCCATTTCGAGAAAAAGATTATGTAGTGCAGAAACTTTACAGGCACAAGACTACATCAACACAGAGTTTTTGGTCAGATAAAAGGATTATAAAGCCTTATTTTAGTTTTCTAGGAACAATTCATAATAAGGCTGGGCCACCAAACATTTTCTAGGTAGGTTTTTTCGTAGGAATGCAAAAAAAAACAAAAAAGTGGAGGGGGACACTTTTTTCTAATTGCAGCATCGGCACTTCAACTCTCGAGTACAAATTAAATAGGGAAAATACCCTGGATGACACATCATTGAAAAGGCAATTTGATAGAGAATTCAGCAATAAACTATTCATTGCATTACTTTTGATTTTTGGCGACCTCTAGCTTGATAAAAAACTGCTACGTATTGTGAAGTGTGACACTTCATTTGAAAGCCTATTTGATTACTAATTCAATGCACCACATAACATTGCTCTAAATATCTCCTTATTGTACTTGCAACAAAATAAAGATAATTCAAGTGCAAGTGCAATATGGAATATTTGGATTAATGTTGCATTGAATTAATAATAAAATTAGCTTTCAAATGAAATGTCAGACTTTACAATACTAACAGTTCTTATCAAGCTAGAGGACGCTAAAATCAAAAGTAACCCAATAGCCTAATTGCCGAATTCTTCATCAAATTACATTTTCACCATCCTTGGTACTTTCCCTAGGGGTTCTTCACCCCATTGCTCAAAGGTTGAAGTGCCGTTGCTGCAATTAGAAAAAAAAGTTTCCCCCTCCTAATAAAAATCGACCAGTCCGAGCGGTTATTTATTTTTTTGCATCAATACGAAAAAACTCGGGTGGAAAGTTTTCGATGGCCCACCCTGTATATCCCTTTTAGTTCGCGTTTGACTCAATATAACTTAACGTTGTTAATCTTTTGAGAAATTCGCAACGGATTAAATAAAGACGCGCATTTTTGACATAAAGCAACAGTATATTTGACAGTAAAATTTAATGCATTGCTAACGTCTGTTTCGAAATCATAAGAATAAAACATTTTGATATAACATGCGGTAGTAATTATTGGAAAGTTTTCTCGAAGTGTTTATTTTGGCTATCAGTAATTATTTGGTTAAAAAGTGTACTATTTTCTAAACACCACGGAAAGTAAACCATCATGGCTACGCGAGAGGGCACTGGTGTGTAGTTTTAAAAACCCAAAAATGATTAACCAAATTGGTGCAACACAGGGTTGTGTCAACGTTGTGTTAAGTTCGACCATGCAACTTATGTTTGGTTGGGTAAATTTTTTAAACTCTGCGCCGCAACATCAAATTGATACTTGGGAAAGTAATATAATTTTGTAAAAACATGTCAGTGGCTTATATGTTTTGTGCGGAACACGAATCTGAAATTTGCGTTGACTTTTTCTGGGGAAAAAGTTATACGCAAAAAACAGATAAAAGTGTTTTCTTTGTTTTTTCTCAAGAATTCCTACGCTAAGTGGTTTACAAGTATATTTTTCAACTACAAATATCCAAAGAGTCAACGCACATGACTTTCCAGTAAAATTAGATATTTCCGGAAAAATTACAGGATGGTACAGTTCAAATTCGTATGAAGCACCCTCGAAAACAGTATATAAAAAATTATATAAAAAATTCTTCCCAATTTTTTACAAGGTCGCTTGTGCTTTTTGATTTTCTTCAAATGCTAATTGGTTTTTTCTGAGACCGGCTCTGTACTTGAATTGAACATTTTCCGGATGTCAACTGACGGGGATAAAAAATAAATTCAATGATTTACTTTGTTTACATTCTTCCAAATTTTCACGAGGATGATGCGATGGGGGGGCGAAATTCGAAAAAAAAGATAATAAAATTGCAATTCGATAGATCTGAACTGGCTGAATACAAAGAAGCTTTCGATATGTTCGATGAAAATGGAGATGGAAAAATTACAATGCTAGAGATTATAAGCATAATGAAACTGTTAAATCAACCGGTGAAAGAATCGGAAGTGTTATTGATGATGGACGAGGTGGATTTAGACGCCAGCGGTACAATAGATTTTGGAGAATTCTTGTTAATGATGAATACTTTCCAGCAGCACAAAAAGAACGAACAAGAAATTCGCGAGATGTTCAATGCACTTGATATCAGACACACAGGTTGAACAAAATTTGTCTCTACAGTATGTTTCATTTAAAACTAATATTTACGATTTTTAACTTTTTATCCCGATGAAACTATATGTAGACCTCACCTGATCCAATAGAATGGATGGAACAATTAGACTTAATATTGTAAAATATTCATGTATTGTTTTTATTCTTAACTTACGAGGTGTGATTAAAAAATACGGTAAATAATTTTATAAGAAACAAATTAATAAGATTACTTGGAGTTCTATTTAATCTCTTTCAAAGTACTGTCCTTGGCTAGCAATGCACTTATCCCAACGTTGAATCCATGATTGAAAGCTTTTCTGGAAGACTTCTTTTGAAAGGGCATTCAGCTGCTCTCTCAATTTCAGGAATGGTGTCAAAACGTTTTCCTTTAAGCACGGTTTTACTTTTTGGGAAGAGCCAGAAGTCGCATGGTGCTAAAGGCGGATGTGGACAGACAGGAACATTTTTTCCGGCCAAAAACTCGCGAATCAAAAGAGGAGTATGGCACGACGCGTTGTCGTGATGAAGAAAGAAGCCATTGTCCATTTAACTGGTTTCTTCATACATCGTTTCGCAAACGTTGCAGTACGACCCTCGTAAAATTCTGTGTTTACAGTTGTTCCCCTTGGAACGAACTCTGGTCGCACTAATAATAATAATGAGTTTATTTGGGGGTGGGTGACTCAATGGTAGAGTCTCTGCCTGCCGATTGAAGGGTCCCAGGTTCCAATCCCACCGTTGGCCGGGATTTTTTTATTTAATTTAGTTATTTAAAATTAATTCTGATGCCTTGGTTGGATTCCCCACTCGACTATTCACTGTTGGGTTCTAATTATGCTCGAAGGTTCTAATTAACAGTGCTGTTCCTAAAGTGGCGCTGGGAAACAGTAACAAAGCCTACACATAACACGGGGCGAAATAACCTTAGCAATTGAAGCCGATGACACACAAAAAAAATGTGTTTATTAGCCAAAAGAAATTTACAACTAAGAATCAATAATAATTTGCTAACAAAAGAAAAAGCCACATAAGTAGAACTTTAAAAATTCTACTATAATAATGGTAATTAATTATGTAAATATAAATAAATCAGTATACATGTCTAAATCGGTATATACAGGGTGTCTCATTATGCCCTCGCTATGAAAAAACAATGAGCATGACTTTGATATTCGAGTTTGACTGACGTGTCTTTTTAGGGTGAGGCGATTCACTTGGTTTCCATAGACCCAAAAGTCGATTCTTCAACTCTGTGCAAACTGAGACAAGAATTTCCTTCTGTAAGTCTGGGAATACATTTTGTGCTCACTCGTCACATTTGTAAATTATCGGTTAAATGCTTTGCATGGACCCGTAGGAGACGCTAAGTTCTTCGGTAAGTTATTTTCCTGTTTGAAAGAACAATTATTTCCACATTTTGCACGTTTTCTTGTTTTTGAGGTTAATGAACGTTGCTCATTTTCGCTTTTAAATCGCTCATACCACTATAGTAAACCATCTTCAGAGTAACAGCATTATCGCCATACACAAACTTCAACATTTCATGAATTTCTTTGGCACTTTTTGCAATTTGAAACATAACTTAAGGTTCACGCGTTGTTCGAAATTCAAGATACGCGACCATTGAGATCTCGATGTACGCGACAGACACCACGGTGAACACAATCTCACTCTAGAGGGGCTCTAGACGTTGATTGTGTTCCAACTTGACGCTGCCTGTCTCAATGGATCAGGCTATCGGACAAATAACATCAAATGGTTGTAACGTCGGCAGTGGCTGCTAAAAAATTCATTAAACGTATTTTTTGATCACCCTTCGTATTTTATAATATTGCGCACACAAATATCTGATATAATCTTGTTATTTATGTACCACTAAACCATTTACACAATATTATTAATATGGACAAGTTTTTACACAAGAACCAGTTTATTGGTTATGAAGGTAAAATAAAAAAGCCTGAGAAATCAGCGTTTTCCATCTTTCTTGAAACAATACCTTTTGTGACAGTCTAGTCCTAAAATACCTATTAGAACACATTTTGGGTAACATTTGAAAACAATCAAAACTACGTTTTATTTTTAATTCATTTATAGGACAAGTTACCCATGAAGATTTGAAAATAGCAATGGCTAATATAGGTGAAGAATTTACTGACGAAGAAATTGCAGAAATGATGGGAGAAGCTGACAAAAATTGTGATGGCATCATTGATTTTATGGAATTTCATCAATTATGTATGGAACTCAACTTATAATAAAATATACATTTAACATTTTCTTATTTGTACCACAATTTAGTTTAAAATAGAAATTAGTAATTGAATTTTTACCTTTTAATTTCAAAATGCTCTAATTCAGAGACAAATAATGTGATAAGTTCCCAAAAGGTTTCATTTGAACCAGCTGTTCTACGATAATGCCAGGATACAGCTTTGTCGCATATATTAAAATCTACCCACAAACCATTTATATCAGTCTAAAAAAGAAGCCAAAAGCAGTATTATAGAAGCACACTTAAAATTTTCAATATTTACCGTCGGTTGCTCACAGACAGTATTTCCAACTAGAACACTGTCACATATTATGGAAAATATTTTTTCATGTTTCTGATTGATATTATTTAAAAATAATCTGCAATCTTCATCAAATGTTGATGGATTTATATCAGCAAAAGTTTGACTTAATTCTTCAGATTCTGGTATCAAATCTTTTAATCTTTTATTAATTTCCGTTTTTCCATACAAACGAAAAATAGCTTCAATAATTGTTAATTGAAGCTCATAATCTCCATATGAAGTAAGATTATCAACCATTTTGCAACTAAATAAAAATAAAATTAATAAAACATTATACTTACTCCATTTGTTTGGCATGAACAGCAAAGTATGGCTAAAAGTTCTTTTAAAAAAAGGCGAATCTTCCCATTTCTTAGAAATTAAATTAAAAACATATAAGAGATATTTGGAAACCCAAAATGTTAAGTTTTAAATAATATAGAATCTGATATTCTTCAAATTATTTATTATTTATGAGGATTTATTAATTTTGACCCGAATTTGCAGTATTTATGCCAAACTAATGTAGTTACCTTTTTTTAAGTACTTACAGATACATTTGGGATAATCCAGTAACTATTTGAAGTTTGATATCATGGCTAGTTTGACTGACCCAACTGTTGAATTTTTTTAGTAATTCCTTTTTAATACACCAATAATCTGCATTTTCTTCAATAATTATATCAAATATCAGCTCTGTGACGTTCTTTACAAATTCATTTCTCAAATTCTTTTTTAATAATATATCCTATCAATTAATGAACATTATTAAAATTTTAATTTTTTTTTTATAGAGATTAGTTAAAGCTAGAAAGACTGTTGGTATATGAGGTGACAAACTTACAAAAACTTCATGAACAAGACGACCGCAGTACTTAAAAACAATTTATTTTGCACTCATGGACTAAAAATATTTAAAAATAAGTAATTCAGATAAACATGCTATCTTCTTTTTAAATTATTGTCTATTATGTTTATTTCATACTGTCCGGAAAATACATTACGAGTGTGTACAATGTTTCTTACGAAAAAAAAAAAAAAAAAAAATGTAAAACCAGGAAATCGGGCTATGGGGATTCAATCAAGTTGTGGCTGGTTCTAGATTTGTTTTTTATTTGCCTTAATAAATATTTTTAAGGTGTTTTACGAATGACGTTTTGTCAAAATTAAAAATAATTGTGATTTCATTTATAAACATTTTCATAGGATGATAAGGGTACAATGTCACTGGTCGGCGATGTTTTTTCTTAAATTATCGCAGCCTGTATAAGGGCGCCTTGCGACTAATCGGGTAGAGTAGTGGTCTGTATATAAATGATTAATCTTGTAGAAAGTCTTTCTGCCAGGTTGAGAGGTGTTTATGAATGCAGAAATTACAGTACTTGCTCCTGATAACTGGCTTTATTTTATCTTCTTAAACTGAATAAAAATATTTAAGCTATTGCATAGCTTTTATCGCGGGCTTTGAGCGGCGACCGAATCAAGAAATTTCGTAACACCGTAACGAAAATAAACCTAACACCCCCACTCCGACCGGCACAGCAGTGCGACGTTAAAGCCATGGAATGTTATAACTGACCCTATTCGTATTAGCACAGAGGATGTAAAAAGTACAGTTCATCAAATTTCTAGAGGTGTTCGACGCCCAGACAGAGAACGCGCTACGTGTGACTAAGATAGCTATTGTACAGTCTGCTAAACAAGTTATTTTAAATAGTTTTTAATATTTTTAGGTAATTAAATTTTAAAAGTGTGGAATAGTTTAGGGATTAAATTGGTCTGATTGGACTTTCTTAGAACGTTTTTAAAAGCAGCTAAAGATAGTATGTAGAATTGAAAATAAGTATTATGCCATAAAAGGTGTTTTGGAATTCCTTCAACCTTTTGAAATTGAGTCAGAAAATATAAATTTTATAGGATAGCGGAAAATACCTATAATTTTTTTGTAGGCCTTTGTAAATCGTGGAAATAGTTTATATTTTATTTCTACCTTATTAAGGAAAATGGTACCTATTATTAATAACGGTTGTTTCTGAAACATTACTAAAATTTTCGAAATTTTGTTTTTCTACAAAATAATAAACTATACTATTTAGAAAAAAATTTATTTCTCTAATAATTTTATAAAAAATAACAGGGGAATATTTACATTTCTTGATCTATTAAACAAAACGATAAATTATCTCGACGAATGACACCATGTTCTAGTACGGAAGCTAGCTTTACATTTTTGTTGGTAGTTTCATGGGTTTCATATCAATTTTTTGTAATTGTAGTTTACACGTACATATACCTCTTAACACTTGTTTGCTTTATTAAAAAAGTGTGTTGTTGTGATTTACGTCGAAATAAGTCAAAAACAACTTGAAACCCCATATAAAATCAAAAAGGAGAAACGGAAAAAAATTGAGCCTGTAAATGAACACAACTCAGAAACAAAAATAGCTATCTAATAATAAAAAAATAAAATTTCGTTGTAAAAATAGATAATACTTTTTTGATCTTAGGTACAGATATAATTTTAATGGTCTTCCAAAAAACTTTCTTCAGTTTCCATATCAGATTCAAAATCAGTCTCACTGTCACTGTTTAAGTTAATTATAAATCTATCAGTTGCCTCATCCAAAGTAACTTCTCTGTCATAAAATTTAGATTCCCACATTTTAGCATTATTACAACGAGATTGCCACTCCTCATTAGAAAACGTATCAAAAAAGTCTTCACACAACAGTTGTACGTCTTGCCTCTTAAATGTAGTGTTGTTACTAGCTACATATTGTTTCAATGATGCCCACACTAATTCGATCGGATTAAGATCGGGATGATACGGTGGCAAACGCAAACAACTAAAACCATGTTCATTTATCATTTCTTCAATTGCATACCTCTTAAATCGTGACTTATGCAATAGCACTAAACTGTATAATTGCGTTTTGAGCATATCTTCTTCGTAAGCAATATTATGATTCCTTAACCAATCCTGCATGTCAGCTTTTTTAGAAGTTGACGTTGGTGCTTTATTTACCTGGACATTATGGTAAGGAGCATTATCAACAATAATGACGCTTCTTGGAGGGAGGTTCGGAAACAGCTTTTCTTTCAACCATTTAGAAAAATTATTAAAATTCATTTCATCGTGGTAGTCTCCACTTTTGGTTCCAGATTTGAAAATTAACCGGGCATTCGGAATAAAGCCCATTTCACCTCCTGCATGGACAATAATTAGTCTATCACCTTTATTAATTGGTTTCTTTAATCCCTCATTTGAATTATCACTCCAAGCTTTCTGGTGTGTGTGTGTGTGTGTGTGTGGGAGGCATGAATGTATGTTTCATCTAAGTAGACAATTGGACGGCCCTCTGCTCGATAACTTTTTAAACGAATCAGATAGTCTAAACGTAGCTTTTGAATATCAAACCTTTCCATTAATATTTTTCTGTTTGTTTTTGTTTTCCGCCAACGAAATCCTAGCGACTTTATTATTTTTCTTAAACTTTCATAGCTTCCTTTGTACCCTGTAGCTTCTCTAAATTTAGTCAGAATTGTTTTTAATGTTGGAACAATATTTTCCGAGATTAACATGAACAGAATAATTCTTTTTAAAATACCTTTGTCAGCTTCATCTATATCATTAACTGTTTTTGGTTTTTTAATGGTTTTTCTTGGTGATGAAAATTCCGATATCTCACGGTTATCGATTCTTTTTTTCTCTCCAGAAATGCGGACGACAGTGTTTTTAGATGCTCCTGTGGCTGCAGCAACACGATCATTTACATTTTTAAATGGTATTGAAGGTGAATTAAAGTTTCCTTCTCTTCTCATAAACTCTATAACATTGGCTATTATTTCGCGAGATTGACTGTTAATCACGCGGCCTCTTAATTTGCTATTAAACTCCATACTTAGGTTCTATTAAACTGTAATGAGCAAAAAACACAAACGAAAATAAAAGAAATGTTTTAGCGAAATTTACATCTGACATTTACGTCTGAATAAAATAGTGAAATACTTGATGCGCAGAGTGTACTTTCATTGCGTAAATCCGTCGGCCCCGCCAACCGATGCCTCTCAGTAGTGCTTTCTCTGTCTAGCCGTCGAAAGCCTCTAGAAATTTGATGAACACAAATGTTCTCGACAATTGAAAGTTTAGGTAATTCTAAAAATACTAGTAATTTAGGCAGACACTTTTGAGAGGGTTTAATTGCCGGCCAACATTAAAATAAGTCTTATTTACTGTAGAAAGAGATTTTAAATTCATATTTCGGAGTATAATAAAAAAATGCATTTATTTACTTAGATGACTTATGTTTAAACTTTTAATCTCTCAAGATTAAAAATTAAATCAATTAAGTAATAATGATACTTTTATAGTTTTTAAATCATATATTTATGTGATTCCATTAAATTACAATATAGGTATCATTTGACATGATAAAATTTTTCGTAAATATTTTTAATATATTGTTATATATTATAAGCGATTCCAAACTTCTATCAATATGTCCTCGGTGGCGCAGAGCATACAGTAGTCGTAATGTGGATAGTGTGGGTAACCAGTTGGTGGTTCGAGCCCCGAAAATTTTAGTTTTTTTTTTCTTAAAAAAAAAGGAAAAATACTGTTTTATTATTTCACAGTCTTGGTAATTTAAAATGTTTTAAAAAGTTTCGGGGCTCGAACCACCAACTTGCTATCTACACTATCCAAATCCAAGTAGGTGTATAGGTATCTGTCATCTATGTACAACAGTGAATAGCTGTACGCGTAAAATTTGTGTATAAAATGTTTTAAATATGAATAAACAAAGTGCAATTATTAATGAAGAAAAAATAATGAAAGAAAATGAGTGAGTACTCTATGTACATACATTTTATTATTATCACAAATGCAGTATTTAGTACCTTTTAGCCCAAGAGCCCACTGCAAATTTCGAACGTAATCTGATAACGACATGAAATATGCTCCAAAGACATGTCGTCAGTCTAAAGCACACTTATTGTATATCCAAAAACGCTTTTTTGGACAATCGCAAATTTAAACTTCTAGAAAGTGTAATTAAATGCCTTAATTCTCAGTTTTAATTTGAATTTATTGTAGTTTAGTGGGTGTTGGAGCCATGCGATTTAATTGGTACCAAGATCGTTATAACATTAAATTTGGAGTTACAATAAATGTGCTTTAGACCGACGATGTAACAACATTGTACTTTACCAAATTGCACTTGTGCCAATCCCTATCCTGAGCAAAGTGGTTAAAAAAAATTATTTTATAAACCCCTAGCGTCAATAATAAAAATAACTGAATAACCTACATGTATTGTAAGAAATTAAAAATATTTTAAACAATATTAACTTCTCATTTATTCAATAAAAGAAAAAAATTTGTTTGCTTATCGGTCACCACGCTCAAAAAGTGTAACTTGAATTAATATCAAAGAAAAAACTTGAATTAATATCAAAGAAAAAAAAATACTGCATAAATAAAATAAATAAATAATTATAATTGCATAAGTTGATAAAAATGCTATGCAATAGCTTTACCGCGGCAGTCCCCGAGTGCCATACGTTTTTTTACTAAAAAAACTGAACACTGAATTTTTTTATGAATATATTTGTTTTTATGTTAAAGTCCAGAGACAACCCAGCGAGACGTGTAACTAAATGTATTTTTTTTTGTTCGGTAAAAGTTGTTTGGGCGATTGTAACCACAACCAGTCTATGATGACGCCACTAGTAAATAGCGGGAAAATTAAAAATGCTTTAGGGCGGGAAATTCAAACATGGATTCAGAAATAAATAGTTTTTCTATACAAATTTACAGGAGAAACAAAAACTATTGTTTCACTGTATATTAAAAAATATAAAAGCTTCCAATAACATCAAATTTTTTATCATATAAATAATCATTTTAATAAAGAAAGTTTTAATCAGTTTAATATAAGCAGTGAACATAGTTTTTATTACTCTTGTAAATTTCGATAAAAAAAACTTGAAAATTCTATTGATTATTAAATATTTAAAACTGGGAAAATAATACACCAAACCCTTTTTCTATAAATAAAAACAAACTACAATTGCTACGTTTAGAAAGTACCTCGTATCATTTTGTGACAAATTAAAAAGAAAGTCACAGTTGTTATATATTCATAATGTATTTAAAAAATAATGTAACAAATATTTTATAAAGTATAGAGTATATCGATACCTTTTTGCCAGACTATTATAAGTGCCATTTGATCAAATGTGGCTTACGTTAGTCTGGCAAAAATGTATTGATATGTTATGACTGTTTATTTTAATAGAAACCATGGAAACGAAACACACACATACACTCACACAAATGTATAAGGCCCGAGTCGAGTAAGTTCCCATCCTATAAACTGGATTAAAACCTGCTAGACCCATTCCGTACATCCCCCTGCTATAACTCCTCTTAGGGTCATCAAGATCAATAGATTTATGCCATGCCTTCTAAAAGGGAATGAAGGATGACATATTATCATCATTTAAACAGGACGTTGCTGAAGGCTTACCCCTGTTATGTCGTCTGTTTGTGTATCTTGTGTGTGTGCATTCCTGTTGTGTCCCCAGTCACGTAAAAGTTTTCCTAGTCTCCTAATTTAGTGACTAGGTGGACTTTCTCCAACTAGTCATCTAATATTTTCGATCTGCTCTGCAGCAGGAGGTACTTTTCAAACATAGCAAATAATAATATTAATAATAAACACTATTTAAAGATGAATACATTTTAGTAATTTTTTTGACATTGTCCCTGCCCAGGGTGTACCTATTTTCCATACTCCCTTAATTATAGATTACCTTAAGATGTTTGAATGAATATAACATTTTACCCATGAAAAATCTAATTTCAAATTTAACTCTTTTTCAATTTCATTTAAAACAATTGGTATATTATAATTTATTATCAAGGAAATCTTCTAATAAAGTTATAGCAAATCCTACTTAAACTACTGGTTGTTCTGCAGGATAAATTAACTTTTCTTGACATTGATCTCTCTCTAAAATCCAAAATCAACCTGATGTCCCCAAATTTATTTTCCAATGCATCCTGATTTAAAATTCTGCCCTTTTGTGATTCAATTTTTTTTCATCTTATAGTGGCTATTAGAGGTAAGTGTATGTAAGAAATAGCCAATCTCTAATCATTTCAAAAGTTCTCTGCCAATACTATATTTTACTTCTTTTCAAGTAGGTGGGAACTTTGTGCTGCCATTAAAGCTGTAACAATGGATCTCTATTCCAATTCACCTAAAATAATTATAGCAATTTTGTAATATATTATTAAACACACACATTATACAGTGGTTTTCTTAATAAATTGGAAATTACTTACCTCTAGAAAGAAACGTGTACAAAAACGAGAATTTGGTTCATGCAAAAAATAATATGCGAAAATAAACATTCCCACAAAGAAAATTAATTAAACAACAAAATCAGACTCAAAGAAATAAACAGAGCCCAAATTAAATTAATTTTAATAAAATGCACACATTCATAACATTGTCAGTTATAATCTATACATCGACGTCAAAAAACCAGCAACATCAGCGACCTCTTAGATTGGTGTTAGTTTTATTGGAGAGAGATAAATATATGTAAAGATCAATGTAAAAGAGAAAGAAAGTCATATATGTAATTTAAATGGACTACCGAACAAATTTTCCTATTAAGTTACACGTCTCTGTTGTCTCTGCTGTTTTGCTTCAAATGTTTCTCAACTCAAATCCTGGTTAGTTGCAGTTAGTAGTTGGTTAATATCAGACAATATCTTAAGTTGTCATAAAAGTCACTCAGATTACATTGGATACCAGTGGGTACTGTTGACTCATTTTATACACCTCAGGAAACAAAATTATTTAAATCTTAATATTTTAATATAAACACTAAATCTAGGTTATCATTGTTGTAACCCAGGTTTAGAAGTAATTATTATTATTATTAAATCTTGGTTATTTTTTCTTTTTTTTTTTTTTTTTCGTTTTTCTTTTCCTATTCTCTACACTTTCCAATTCATCTAAATCGTTTATCTCTGATGGACATCGTAAATAATTATTCCAACCATTTCCGCCATAAATGGCTCCAGTTCTTTTTTATGACCTTTGTCATTTCGATTTTGATTTCTTTCGGATACTGTCTTTAAAATTACGATATATTTTTCTTTCAGCTATAGGTACTAGTTCCAAAAGTAATTTTTTCATTTGCTTGGCGTTATTTTTGCAGTTTTTGTAATATTCTCACAATATAAAAATAATTCAAAAAACCGTACATTTTTAGATTCAAAGTAATTAAAAAAATAAAAAGCACAAAACTACGAACTATTATTTAAGATTAATAGACTAAAGTTAATTCACCTCTGTGGATCTGCATGCAAAAATAAACTAATAAAAGTTTAGTAAGAGACTAGAGATGGGTAATACAAATATTTTCATGGATCTTAAACTGTTGGAACAGATATACTAAAATTCAACCTTTGAAAATACTCTATAATTTTCTAGTATCTAATATTTAAAAATTATTGTCCCCCAACTTAGATTTACCATACTATTGCTTAACTATGTTACATATAGTGTTCATACAATGGGACCTATAGATCTATTGTGCCCCTTCTATCACCAAGGCAACAAGGGAATAGTCTCAATGTCTATCTTCCCATGACTTAACTTAGGAGTACTAGACTTCTGGATAATAATGGACATATCTAGAAAAATTTGAATTTTCCGGCTGTCTTTTTTTATCAGGCTTTTTGCCTTTTCCACCTTAAAATAATAATCTGCCATTTTTTGTCAAACATTTTCTCTTCTCCAATTTTCTTATAAAATAAAGACCACTATTTACTGGGTATAAAGTAGGTACTATATAGAAAGTGTCAATCACCAATGTGTAGAGTGGGATTAGTGAGAAGGTATATAGTCAGTAGTGATGACCAAGCTGACATTTTCTTTAATAATGTACAGTTATCAATTTAGCAAAAGTTGATTTAATATCATGTTGATGCGGGTTTTAGGGATTTGGCTGTTAAAGTGATATTGAAATACTTTTCAGAAAATTAAGATTTTTCTGAGCTGACTCATTGGCTGTTGACGAAAAATGGAATATGAAGTTGACAGTGTATATACCTACATAATCAAAATGTATTTCTCTATTAATCACAGACATGAAAAATAGGTAAATTATTTTATGAAACCCACCTTATAATTGTACTCCGAATGTATAGAAATTTAGAGAACTGAAAAAACGTTTGGAAGATTTTAAATATTTTCAAGCAATACATAAATTAAATTTGAAGACACTTTGCCAATAGAACACATAAGTAAATGACAGCAAATTAATTCTTATTTTAATAGTGAAACTAATAACAGTCAAAATAATAGTTTCTTTCATTTTCATGACAGAAAATTAGAATTTTTTAATAGTTCAGTAGTTTTATTTTGCTATTCCTACAAAAATTTTGTGTACATTCATCTCTCATTATTGTTAGTGCATCTGTGAGATTATTACAAAAAGTTTATTTCTCAATAGGGAATGAAATGAAATTACCCCAGATTATTTAAAAACTTCTTTATGTCACTTACAAGTTAAATTGGCATTAAAACTTAAGTAAACTTACCTGTAGCACAGAGTTTAACATTATAAAACATTTTCTTGCAAGTAATGTTTGTCGTTGATAGTTTTCATTTAAAACATAAATAATCATAGATTCTATAAACCTACGAATACAATCTATAATTTCTCCAACATCGTCTGAGTTTGCTTCTTCTCTGAATTCTCTTTCCCATTGAGTTAAATCAAAGGTTTTTTGTGGTTCCATCTATAAGAATAACTTTTTAGAATGTAAATATATTTTTTGTAATAATTGTTGAGGATACTCACTGAACTTTTTCTATTTAAAAATTTATCAATTTGTAACTCTTTCTCTGACGCTAGCGCCATTTTTATATATTTCTTTTATGACTAAAAAGAATAAAAAAACAAGTTCAACAAGGACAAGGAGGTTGTGTCTGATTTGCGAGCTTCTGTTGTTTTTGTTAAAAGCGGTATACGTTGACTTTGTGCCTACTAATTATTCCGCCTACAGTTAAAAATTGACATAAAGAACTACTGAAGTAGTGAAGTGCGAAAACGTAATTTTTGTTTGATTTATTACTTATTACTGAATTAAAAAAAAGGCGCTTCTTACTTTTCGTTATATACAATCAGCAATTTATAAAAAAAATATATTTTTTCTTAGAAAGTGCATCTCCCATATAAATTTGGTCAAGATCTGATCATGATGGAATCCATACCCAGCGCATGATTTGTACGGTTATATTACGGTTTTCGAGCGTGTTGGAATGGAACAGACCTCATGAGAAAATGATCAAACTTCATTTTTGGAGCGTTTTTTAATGAAACCTGTTGCGAAATGCCTTATTTTATGTAGCTAGTGAAAATTTGCGGGACGAGCAGAGCGAGGACCAGCAACATGAATAGAGTAAGTGTTCTGTGAGGGTTTTGCCACCTTTTTGAAAAGTGAAAAAAGTCGTCAAGCTGAACGAAAGAAATCCTCGTCATACCGAGCTTAAAGGGGGAAAATCCTCGTCTTGACATTTGTCGTAAAAGAGGACATTTACCGTGAAAAGGACATTTTAAGCTTTAAAATATCCCAAGAACATTTTGCTTCAAAAACGGACTGAAACATGAACGAGTTACATACAATATATTTTTCTGATTTTGACTAGATTATTTATCTTGGCAACCAATATTAGTACGTTTCGTATTGTTAATATTATGATTAACTTCGTTCTTTTATTAACAAATATGATATTAATTTATTCTCTATGACTTATTGTAGTGTGTTTATATTGTTGGTTAAAGTTATTTAAATTCAAGAAATTATTATTTTGTCGCGTTTTTTGTGTTTTAATTATTTTGTGCCAATTAGAAATTTAGAATGGAAAATAAGCCCAAAACAACATTATTACTAGGTTGTAAGTTTAACCAAATTCTATTTTTATAAGTGAATCTGCCCTTATATTTGATATAAACTTTCAATAATAATTGTATACTATTGATTTTAAATCCAAAACGATTTTTTTGTATTTTTTTTTTTGCAACTGGTGACAATGAATTTTTTCTAATTTTGGCATATAGGGGAGAAGGGGGTGCATGTGGACAGTTTTAGTCTCCCACGAGCATGAAAAAAAATCAAAAAGTCTCTGATTGTACTGGAAATAGTACTGAATTTATGGTGCTTAAACATTATTACTTCTTGTGTTGTAGTTGAAAACATATTTTAGTGAAAAAGAAATTCCGTAACGAAAATAAACCTAACACCCCCCACTCCGACCGGCACAGCGGTGCGGCGTTGAAAGCCGTGCATCGTCTAACGTCGTTTCAGTTCGGCAGACTTCGGCACGGTGTTTGTGTGCGTGCGACTAGACGTATGCGTGTAGACTAGCAGCAGTCCCCGAGTGCCACACGTTTTTTTTTTAACGATATGAAAGTACACTGTATTTGTGGCTTGTGGCCACTAAATGATCAAATATTTACTGAATCAGATTTTCAGAGTTTATACCTAACTGATAGGCCAATCTTGAATTCAGCTATAGTGACGAATCTGATAGGAACATTACAGAAAAATACGCCACTACACTAAATGTCAAATCGGTTGCTAATCAGCTTGATACTGCTATTTCAGGTCACAGTGGAAATGTGAAACCTGAAGTGATACTATTTCCGAAAGCTGCACCTAGGTAAGTCAACAACAGAAGAAGAGGCAAATCATGTATTTATACAAGTACACCAGAAATGAATGCAATTAAGAGAGAGAGAGAGAGAGAGAGAGAGAGAGAGAGAGAGAGAGAGAGAGAGAGAGAGAGAGAGAGAGAGAGAGAGAGAGACAGTTCATCAGGCGAAGAGCAAATAAATAATATATAAATTATTATATTATATATTATTATTATATAATAAATATAATAATATGATGATTCCTCAGAAGGTAGCTATTTTTCAGATGAGGGAATTGATGAAAACAGTGCTATGGAAATAGAACATTTAATTTTGGACAGTATGTGGTTGTGTTTAGTGACTTTATACTCATCAAATTTGCAACAAAAAAATGCATAGTATATTAGCTGCGCTCGTAAGAAAAATATATGAAGGTCAGTTTGGAGTTTGAAGTTCAATATCTGCGACGAACCTTCCTTAGATGGACTTTTGTATTCCACTCGCCAGTGATGTGGCTTCAGTTACAAGAGATGATATTGTGTTGAAGTTACTCAAACCAGTGAGTCAAAAGGGGACGGCAAGGACATCCGACTACTTCACATTTAGTTTAGACCTTAGAAAGTATTATGTAAAATGATTTTATAATTTATTACACTCTATTTTACATTTACAAATAAATTGAAACATTATTTTATTTTGTGTATTGTAAGAGTTGTCCACATGGACCCCCTTCAGAGTCCACATGCACCCTTTATTGAGGCACAAGTGGACAAATACTTTTTTTTTTAATGAAGAATAATTTTATTTTTATTTTGAACATGTATTACACAATAGTCATACAGTGTGTGGTCAGTGTAACGAAAATTTTAAATTATGAGAAAATAAAATAAATATTGGAATTTGAAAAATACCATCTATATGTACCCCCTCTCTCCTAAAGTTATATTTGTTATAATCGCAGCAAGTGTAAAAATGATCTGCTTTACGCCACAGTTGCATAATGTTGATCATTATGAAACTGACTTCGAAAAATTATTGTATTAAAGTCCATTGTAAAAAAAATCAGTTAGTGGTAACTGTAGAAACAGGCTTCTGTGCTTTAGGTTAGACAGTTATGTACATCTGTTATATATCTAGTGTTTCTTAATAAATGTTGGGGAAGTAATTTGTTTTATTTTATACAATGTGGAACAGCCAAATGGAATAAATTGGGTAGTTCTTATTTTAAATACAACACCCTGTATATTTGTCAATTTTTGGATTCTTCAGAAAATTCTAGAGATTTTATGTACTATGTCCTATACCTAACTGTTTCGGAAATAATAAGTAAATGTTTTCCGATTTATTGCAAAAATTAACACTAATAAAATAAAATTATTTGATTACATAAATTCGTTACAACACACTCAAAAACTAATAATACTGTTTATTTCTTGATAATGTACCAAAAAAAAAAACATCAATGTAGATGTTCAAAATGTTCGCCAGGAACCTCTTGGAAACATTCTAATCTGAAATAAAATTATCTTCTAACGTTACTCAACATCTCAGGCGTGACCGATCAATTGCAAGCGTTATAAGTCTTCTTAAGTCAGCTAGGTCGAGAGGTTTAGTTTTGTATACAATACTCTTGACATATCCCCATAAGAAAAAGTCTAATGATGTTAGATCAGAAGATCGTGCTGGCCATTCCATCGATCCTCGCCTCCCTATCCACCGATTTGGAAATATTCGATTGAGGTACTGCCGGACATTCATTTGGTAATGGGGTGGTGCTTCATCTTGCTGAAATCATATATCATATTTGCTAGAACTTGTCGGTTTGCTAAATAATTATCGCCATCAATGAAAAAGGGACCTATGATATGATCGCCAACAATTCCTGCCCAAACATTAACCTTTTCAGGGTATTGTATATGTTCTTCTCTCATCCAGTGAGGATTTTCCCTAGACCAATTTTAACGATTAGCATGACCGTGAAGTGTAATGGTATACTCATCAGAAAACAAAACATGTTCTAATTATTGGATCACCATATTATCGAACATTGCCATCATTTGTTCACAAAATTGCGTTCTGCTATCAAAATCGCCTTCCATGTACTGCTGAGTTGCTATTATTTTATAGGGATGCATTTTATTTTAATGTTCGAATAACCGATGCATGGCTAATATCGAACATTGGGGCTGTCAATTTGGTATCATTAGTTATTGCATTGCCTTACATGTTCAAGCTCACGAAACTGCTTCTCTATTTTACAAATTGTCCCTTATAAGCGGCAAATTTGGAAATTTTTCAAGAAATAAGCGAGCAACTTTCATTTGTGTCCTTGTGTTATCTTCATAACCAATCGTCTGTAGAATTGGTATTTTCTGTATTTCTGTTAAATGAACCATTTTTCTGATGTGCAGTTAAGGGAATTCAAACGACTATAACACTGACAACTACTGTCATGCAGTCAGATAACAATTTGCTAAGGTCAGGCGTTTCAAACAAAAGTAAACAAAACTATTTAAGTACATATTTTTTTATTTCATATCAATAAAAAGGAACGCTGAAATGGTTTTTGCTTACTTTCTCATTATCAAGACCTAAATGTAATAAGTAGTGTGTTGTATAGCATTATAATCAAACAATTATTTTGTTAATGTTAATTTTTGCAATAAATCTGAAAACATTTAATACTTCCAAAACAGTTAGGTATAGGACATAGTATACAAAATATGTCTAAAATTTTCTGAAGAATTTAAAATAAGAAAGTTGTTATTGGCCACTGTTTCAAGACACGCCCCCGTATAAAAAGTTTTTGTTAAAAAAATGCGCAACTAAAAATACCAATCAACGTGTCCCATCGTTTTTCCGAACACGCCCCCATTTATTTATCACCGAATTTATTCCATTTGGCTGTTCCACACTGTATACAAGAGTCGTTGTATTAGAAATAATATAAGTTTATCACTAAATAATTCTGTTGCTTGTAACATGGTTTCAACTACATCCTATCCTATAATACGTGACAATAGGTATGGTTCTACTTTTTTTGAAGTACACTTTTTTCGATAGTGCTCAAAACAGTAGTTTAAAAGTAATATAATCAATTTGTAGATTGTTAATTTTGACTATTCTCTAAGGGAATGTACTCATTAAATTCATTATATTTATCGAAGGTCATATCCCTGATAATCTAAAAAAACTGTAGTTGTTCAAATTCATAAAAAAGGTGACAAAAAAAAAACGTAACAAATTATCGCCCGATTTCGTTAACATTTACAAAAAATTTCGAAAAAACTAAATAGTAGATTAATGGAATATTTAAATAAATATAAAATAATTTCTAAAAATTAGTATGTATTGAAATTATATTCAACATGTCCTATCTGCAGGGCAGATTAACCTAAATCCGCACTTGACAAAAAATAATAAAATACTAAATACACTCCCTGTATAAACCAGTAATATCCAAAGCTGTTCAATATCAACCCCTCTTAACTTTCAAATAACCTTCAACGACACTGGCAGTCTCAAGATGCATGTGCAAGCAGTTAAAGAGAGCCAATTAAAAAGAAGGGTAAAAACCGTTGTGGGTTGACAATTAACGCGGGACGAAAGAAAGCTCACTTTCTTTTTTATTTTCTTCAGACAAACAAGCAACATGTAAAAAATCAAATTTAAAAAGCTGGTAATCGCGGTAATCATTACAAGTGTTAGCGATTTCATTTTTCTTAAAAGTTAAACTATGTAACTCTTTATCAATAATCCTATGTAAAAATAAAAGTTTGTAAATGTATTAAAATATGTGAACGTATCAATCAGTGAATATACCAAAATCAAATGTAGGGTGATGGTTTTATTTTTAATACACCCAGTGCTACAACTAGAACTTCAAGGGTCAACATGATCAGAATATCTTCCAGAGGCTACAGGGTGGAGCATAAGGCCTCCACCCCAGCTAATCTAATTTGAATACAGTCCACTATGATCGGAGGCAGTATACGTCAAGCCTACAGCTTAAATAAGGCTAGGGTTTAACAGTATGGTTTCCGTGAAGACTTATCTACCAATAATGCTATTGCTAAATTAACAAGCAAACTTTATAAATCTGTTGATTCTAAAAAGCCAACACGTTGTGTATTCTTAGACCTTGCCAAACCTTTGACACTGTGGATTTTAGACTCTTCTTTGAACTCTTTCTAGCATCTCAATGTCCTTGATAAAATTCCAGTTTTGGCCAAATGTAAGTTTTAGAACCATTTCTTCAGAGTGATCCTAGAATGCTCTTCTCACCAGATACATAACACTATTCGCTTTTTTAGTTATATTAGCTATATGGGTTCCCCATTTTAGATCTGATGTTATTGTCACACCAAGGTCTTTTTGGGCTGTAACTGACTGTAGAGTCTTATTGTTGAGACTATATTGAACTTTGGGATTGTTGGCGCTAATATGCAGTACCGTACATTTTTCTGATTTCAGTGGTAGTAGCCACTGCTGCGACCAATTATCGACTGTATCTAAATCAATTCGCATAGCTATGATATTTTGAACGGGGTTGCTATATATTTTTGTGTCATCTGCATATAAAAGGATATTAGAATTAATAGATTTAACTGGATCACTGGTATACAAAACAAACAACAACGGTCCTAAAACTGTTTCTTGGGAAACTCCACTGTTTGATAACTCTTCATTAACACGTACAAAGAAATGTCTATTTGTTTTCAATCCAGAACAACAAGTTACCTCTAATATACAAAAATGCTCTAATTTACTTACTTTTAGGGAGCACATTAATTTAATTTAATAACAAGAATATACCATGAGCAGTTTTTTGTGGCTAATCTTTTAGAAATAGGTGAGATAAAAAGTATTTTATTTTATAATTTTTATTTACATTTTTCATAATTTAATTAGTTGTGTTTTTGTAATTAGTGTTTTTACAATATATATAAAACATTGTGATGTTTGAAAATAAACAAAAAATTCAGTCAAGTGTGTGATGTTTTTGTTACTACAACTTAAGTATTTATTGGGTATTTTAAAGACACTAGTGGTTTTGAAAATATTTCTTCTTTTCAATTGGATTTGGTATAATCTGAAATAAAATTACATTAAATAACTTCAAATTAAAAAAAAATCATTTAACTTTTGTACCATTGCAAGTAAAGATAGCCTTAACAGTGCTGGATAGTCACAATGAGAGCTTTCTTTTAAAAGGTTTAATGTTCTTAGTGTATGAAACCCTTTACAGGGTAAAAATTAATGACATATTTATAATTTAGGCTTGTGCAAATGTGTACCAAAAAAGTTTCACTTGCTCATATAGACTCGATGACAGTTGTTTAAAGTAACAATAACATGGGGTAATCGTCATAGCCAACCCAACAGTTGTAAGGCGAGGATAAGAGAGAGATAGCAGTGTTTAAAAAATTACCAGATTCAAAAATCCCGAGTTATGTGCACTTGCTATCGGTTAAAAAATAACGTATAGTTAGTCAGGAACAGCTCTAATACTGCTCATGAGAAACCCAGATGACATAAAAGAAAGGACTCTATAGCTTGGATAAACGACTGTTTAGCTAGCTTAAGATTTCTGAATATCCAAAAAAACGTTTGCGTTCATTTTTGTACTTACAGTATCTTGTCCTGGTTTCCAACCAGCTGGACAGACTTCACCATTTTCATCAGTATATTGGAATGCTTGTACTAATCTAAGTGTTTCATCTACACTTCTACCTACTGGTAAATCATTCATTGTGATTTGGCGCACAATTCCTTTAGTATCAATTATAAATAAACCTCTAAAAAAAATTAACAACATGATTTCAATTGCACGATCAAAATTAGAAATAATATTGGAATTGGGTTATTCTTCAACAGATTTCTAGTTACCTTAGTGTATGTCCAAGATCGTCTAAATATACTCCATAATCTTTGGCAATGCTATGAGTTAAGTCGGAGAGTAATGGGAAATTTACATTACCCAAACCACCCTCTTTTCTAGGTGTATTCATCCATGCCAAATGAGTATAGTGGGAGTCTACTGAACAAGCTACAACTTCTGTATTTATTTTTCTGAATTCTTCAACTCTATCACTGAATGCCAATATTTCAGTGGGACAGACAAAGGTGCTAAAAATTTACCAGAAACTATTATACTTTAAGAACCTCTATCTATTTTCATGGAAATTTACATTTTTAAAAGACATACATTTTTCTTATTATTTTTATATAAGGGAGAATACTCACAAGTCTAAAGGATAGAAGAAAAATACTAAATATTTTCCAAAATAATCACTTGATTTCAATGTAATGAATTCTCCATTTCTGACTGCAGTACTTTCCCAAAATGGCGCTGGTTTAGAAACTAAGAAAAAAATAAGACAATGTATAAGGGTACACAGTATGTTAAGTTTCATACAATGTCGCCAGAAGAACGGTATAAAATAAGTGATACCATTGATTAGACAGGTAGAACAGTGCACACTAGACCACTAGTTGTAGAGGTGTATCCATCTGTCCAATCACGGCAGGCAGCCGATTCATGAAAGCCTCTCTTTAATTTCTCACATGCAAATCTAAATAAGCGTCTCATCTTTATTTTGAATGATCCATGGGTTAACATATTGTAAAACGAGAGTACTAAGATTTTCTTATATTAAAATTTATAATTTCTATAAATTTTCTGTTGTATTATAGTCAAGCTTCAACTTTTTGCACAATTTTTAAAATTTTAATATAATCGAGAAATAACTATATAGTTTGACACTTGCCAACGAAGGAAAATAAACAATATCACCATTAATGGAATCCAGTTTTTAATAATAATGACTTTGTTCAATTGATTTCAGTTTTCTATTTAAAAATCGTATATATTATAAAGTTCTGACTAATGGTTATGACATGTTGTAATGAACTTTGTGCTCAACAAGTAAAAGAACTGAAATTACAAGAGTTATAGCCAGAACCAGAAGTTTGAGCTAGTAATAATTATCGGGGGACCGTAGCGTAGGTGTCTACGCATTCACTTGCGAGCAATTTTGTGGTAGAGACACCGGGCTTCGAATCCTACAGAAGACCATGTGAATTTATTTGCATGGTTCTCTATAGGATTTGATGGATGCCATATTAGCAGAATTTTAATTTTTGTTGATATGACACTCAGATTATAAAAATCGCCATGCGTTACCGTTTCTATGATGGTGGGCGGGGTTTATCTCACCTGTTAGTCAAATGGCACCATCAATCATCTTTAAGTCGCCCCGGTGCGCAAGGCATTTTTTAACTCTCGCAGTCAAACACTAACAGATAACACTTTATTCACAACTGGTATCTATAAATCAATTCTAAACTGGCAAGTGTCTGATAACATTTCGATGTCAGACCACCGTTGGTTGACATTTAAAATAAACTTGATCGACCTCTCGGAACCCTAGGAAGACAGACAGGGCAACATATGCTCACTTTCTCCAGGAGGCTCTGAGAGAGGTGGAGGCCGAAACACCAAACAATAACAATGCTTTCAAAAAATACTCGAACACTATCCAAAGCACAATAATCAATGGCTACAAGAAATCCTGCCCCGATCAGACGACTACCGCATGATGGTGTCACAAGTTGAATCGCCTCAGGAATATGCCTAGGAAATCCTTTAATAAGGCAAGAACCACAAAACTCAAAGAGGACTGGATACTTACAAATCTCACTTCAGAGAATACAAAAAAATCTTTAGTCAAAAACAGATAGATGCATGGAGATCCTACTCCGAAGAAATCGAAGATTTCCCGAAGGCAACGAGACTTCGAAAAGCTGCAGCATTGGTGCGCTAATAAAAGAGGATGACATGAAATTTACAAACCTCGAAGATAGCGTCATACTTCTGCTGTCAAAACACTTCCCTGACTCGGTCGTCACAGACGTGGCCGACTGGGCAGAGGAAGAATACAACCCACCTGTCTACGATTGGCAAAGTGCCAAACACATTGTAGACGATGACAAAATGAGATGGGCAATATCTAGCTACTCTCCATTTAAATCGCCAGGACCTGACGGCATGTATCCAGCCCTACGTCAGTGGGGTCTGGAAGAACTCATCCCGCACCTGGTGGATATATTCAGATCCTCATTGGCTCTGAAGTATATCCTCAAAAAATGAAGAGGTGAAAATAGTCTTCATACCCAAACCTGGAAGGGTGGATTGTCCCAAAAAAATACCAATTAGATTGAAATCGTTTTTCATGAAGTTATTGGAAAGGCTATGCGAAAGGTACACAAGGGATGCAGTGATTACATCAACACCACTACACCCAAATCAACATGCATACACCCAGGCAGATCTACTGATTCCGCCTAATTGCTGGCCGGATAGACCGTGGTAGTGACAGACCTAATTAAAGATAATTCCCTTCTGAAATTCAAGGAGAGATGGGATGAAATAAGAAACTGCAGAGTTGCCAGGGAGCTTTTAAGTTATCCTGACAACACTACAGCAAACAAATACTTGACTATGACTAGACAGGCATTCTGACTGGTCATTGCCAAGTACGGAAGCATCTTCATTGTTTGGGGCTGTCAAAATCTGCACTCTGTAGGGAGTGCAAACAAGAAAATCAGACCATCCAGCATATCCTCTACGATTGCCCAACACACTCATTTATTAGAAAATGTGTTCGGCGAGTATCAGCTAACTCCGGCCGCAATTTCTACATGCCACTCATGATCGCGAATCGGGTTGTACCGATCATCGGGTTGTACCGATCATCGGGTTGTACCGATCATCGGGTTCTAAACTCCGCTTGCGATCGCAAAATACCCACGCTATATGCCACTCGTAATCGCAATTTTGCGTCCAAACTAATTTTGGTAGCCTCACTTATACATTATTAATATTGATTAAATATTGTCACATTGTAAATGGCGTACTTCAAAAATATAATAACTGACACTAAGAATGTAAACATACTTCGTTAAAGTCTTTTATGCGTTTTAGGGTGTCATGACAAAACAGCAGCAAAATAGCGCAGGACAAAATTTACCTAACTTAGTGGGCCTAGAACCCTCGCGAATTTTTTTAATAAAAAAAGTATTTACAAAATAGGAAAAATTAAAAAACTTAACACCTACCTAAACTGTGCGCCCTGAAGTCATCGTGGGGAGTTTCACAGCAAAATTCTACATAAAATGCACTATTTTGTCCTTGCAGTATTTTGTCATGGACCCTCATTTTAGAGCCTTATTTTGAGTCAATTTCGAATTATAATGATAACCAGTCATTGTAACAACTCTCCCATACCCTACTATAATAATTTGGCAACTACGTGTTATCGTGAAAGCTTCTAATTCGGTTTTTGTAAAAAAAATTAGTCTAGTAGTTGTACGTCATTGGGATAAATGAAAAAAAAAAAGAGTTTTAACTAATGTTTACATGCTTTAGGTACCTATATTCAATGCAATTTATTTTCTAATAACGTCACACCTTAGCTCTTTGTACATCCTGAATCGTGTGGCATGTAGAAATATGCACATCGGCTGCTATAAGAGAAGCTTCTGGAACCAACTGTATTTCAGGCATTGCAATATGTATTATGTCAGTATTCCATACCAAAAATGTATTGTAATAATATTAGCATTTTATAGTCTCCTGTAAAATTGTTTTCGTGACATAGCTCATATTGCAGTATCTACGACGAAATGTAGATTATAAAATAACTTATTCAAGTGAAAAGTAAAAATGTTGTGGGGATTTTCTAATATAAAAATGTATTTATACTGGGAATATTTTAGTCCAGGATCCGTAAGTAAGGTCGACCTTCACCCATCTGTTTAATGGATAAATTTTTTTTTTTTTAATGAATAAAATATGTTTTTAAATATACTGCAAATGGGTTACCTAATAAAATATGGTCATGGCAATTTTTTACTTTTCTTTCTGTGTATAGATAAGAAAAGTATAGGAATCATTATAAAAGTTACTTATGATGTAATTCTCTATTATTTTGTCCCTATACAAGATTTTCCTAAAATGGACCTAATTGGAGATATTTGAGGAAAAGTGCAAATTCCGAATTTTGAAGATAACTCAAAAACGAATGGAGAGAAATACACCAAATTTTAAATTTAAGATTTTTTCCACCCTACTGTGAACTGATTAATGTTTGGGCATAGTCGAAGTATCTGGGGCATACTTTACAGGGTGTCATTTCTTTTTTACTTTTAGAAAATAAATAGTCTGGACCGTATTTTCTTAGGCAACCCATGTGCGGTATATTTATGAACATATTTTATTTAATAAAAAGAAACTTTCATCCATTAAACAGATGGGTGAAGGTCGACCTTAATTCGGATCTTAAACTATTTCATGATCTTAACTCTCGAGAATATTGACAGCTTTAAATTTGTGCAACAATAAGGCAGCACTCTACAGAGACATTTAAGAAAAAAGTTGGGAAACCCTCCCATTTAAAAACTACTAGATATTAAAACAAAAAGCAGCAAATTTTCTTAGATTTAATACAGAATGGGGTGTAAATGTGTTTTCTTATTCCTCTAAAAATTATCAAAATACTTTTCGAAAGTTTACAAAAAAGGTTTATCCACCCTAAGTTTTGTTATCATTGGTATTTCCTGAAAATTTCATAAAAATCGGACTAAAAACAAAGGCTCAAAAGGAATTATAAATGTTCAGGGTATTCGGTTTGCTTTTATGCTCTTAAGGTCCTTTAAATATGTCACACCAATGAACATAAATAATTTGAGCTATTTGGTTTTGTCACCATAAATGAACGACCACCAAAACATTTGATTCCTATATTGTTGATTTGTAATATAGAAAAAGGTACTTCACCAAATATTAGGGCTGCCATACCTCCCGATTTAGGCGGGAGTCTCCCGATTTCTCACACTCCCTCCCGCTTTTTAAACTAAGCTATAAACCTTCCGATTTTTAGGAAATCTTCTAATTTACCCCGAATTTTACATTGAATAGGTATTAAAAGATTATTAATATGCTAACGATATTATTAAATTATCGGTCATTCCGTCGTAATCTCTACAAGCTCCAACTTTTATTTTTCTGGGGGCGATGGATTTGAAAACAACCCTAAATTGGACGATTTCATAAAAAAATTCTGATGAGTTTGCCATTGGTGTAGATATTGACCTACTTTTAGAAGAATTTGTAAAGTTGTCATCATATTTGGAAAACCCACCACTAAATTTTAAAGACATTAAAATTAAGCAGCAATGGGTTTATTATGTTTTCAAAATTTGCTCTTGTTTTTTCTCTTCCTCACTCAAACGCGATGATTGAGAGCATTTTTAGTCTGTAGCCTAGAGGAAAGAAATAATCTGAACTAATGATTAAATTTAATTATACAGAAATTTGTCAAGAATTTGCAAAAATTTTGCACAAGGAAGGAAAACGTCTTCTTGGTAGAGTAGGAAACAGTTCAAAATATTTGCAATTTTAGAATAATTAATTGGTTACAATAGGAATTTGACATTTTTTGAGAAGTATAACTATTTTAATGTAAGCATTTTTTGTTGATTTACATATATTTTTTATATATTTGTATTTTATTTATATAACAGACATCCAAAGTTAGCGGTCAATATTACAGAATACCAGGTGGCATGATTCTGTAAACAGAAGCGAAACAATAAATTATTTTTTAGTATTCTTTTTACTTACAGAAAAAAACCCACAGAGCTGGAAATATGTTTTAGTTCAAGTGTGAACTCACCTGTTGTTAAGTTTTATACAAATGTACAGTTGTGACATTGCGAAAAATGATACCAAAATTAAGAATAGGTACTTGTATGTTGACTTGTTGAAAATGTTTTATTAATCAGGCATTGAAATTTGTTTTTTGTTCTTTTTTTTTTTTGATGCTACAATAATATCTTTGTATATTTAGTAGGTATTTAATTAAAAAAAATGTTTTTTTCTTCAAAAATTAAAACCTCCCGCTTTTCATTTCTGAAAATCTGGCACCCCTACCAAATATTTGAAAAGAAATTAATAAAATATGTTATATTTTACAAAATATAATTGATATGCAAATTCTTACATGAAATTAAATCCTTAATCATTGTCTCATTTAAAAGTTAAAATTGTTGAAAATATATTTAAATTATCAGAAACACAGGTGAAAAAACACTCAGCTGCAGTATGGACTCATTAAATTGAGATCACTTTAAACCATGAAAACAGAATTAACAATACAATTAGAAAGGTGGATTAAGTTTTCGATGGTTTTCCTCATCTGTAAGTGAAATAACATCAATCAAGGGTATGAAGACCTTTATAATGGAGCACAATGAAAAATAATAATAGCATTCCTCCCTTAGCTTTCTGGGATTCATGTTCATACTCCTAAGAAAATCTCATGAAACAATGTTTTAGAAAACCATACTTGGTTTCACCTTTGAAAAATGTTTTTTTTTTTAGATTTTGATTTCAAATTTCTCCCAAATAATATAATTTTTAATATACTTCAAAAATAAACTTACTGACTGCTTTGGTAACTTGTAAGTTGTGTTCTCGACCTTTGTCTGAATGGGGATAGACACTACCACCTGCAAAAGTTTGACATGAATCATCTGCTATTGCATTCTTAGACACTAAAATGATGCTGATCTGAATTAAAAGTAGTTTAAAAATCATTGTGGTATTTTAATCAAATCAGTCTACACATGTAAATAGCAGAACACGTTGATCAAAATTATCATAATCAAATATCAAACCGGTGTCGTATTTTGCTACACGTATGAAATGTCAACATCAACAATGCAACAAATGTCAAAATTTGTTTACAGAATCATGTGTGGGTAGGGTAGATATTGCTGAATTAATGTATAGTTTAGGACACTTTTATAGGTGAGCAAAATGGCTATTTTTAGTTCATATGCGCAACTATAATGTAAAGAAGATTTTAAAAATGGTAATTTTCTTCATCATTTTGGCCTTTTTCCTTTGGTGGAACCTGCCACCCAACGCCTGCCTCGATGCGTGCTAATCATTTGCAAATAAATTCAAGGCATATTCTCCCTTTTCTAGGGGGGGGGTTCACTCGTAAAGAGTTTTCAATCCCCCTTTTTTTATCAATCACTATTAACAGTATTCTACCACGTTTTCTTATTAAAAATATATTGTGTATATGAACAGCGCGATCAGACCAAAACGGTGCTTAATTATCAAAATGGATGAGTCTGTCAAAAGAACGCGTTTTGAAATAGCGGTCCAGCGAACTAGGCCTGGAGCAGTCGCGGCATGCTCCACAAAAAATATACATAAAATAAAATTAAAAAAAACTTAACCAACTTACCTAACCTGTGCGGCCTGGATCCATTTAAATTTAATCAATTACTCATCCACAGATTAGATTTTTATTAAACTTTCTCATTTATTTATGGATTAGAGCCTAATGAGAATTGAGACCCATAATTTTTTCTATATGGAAAGGTTGGGAGAATATATTAACATTCCTAGTTACTCTAGAGCAGGCTTGGCAAACATGCGGCCCACTAAGTATTTCCTGAGGCCCGAATAAATTTTAAAATATGCCAGTTAATGCGGCCCTCGAGCGTTTTAAAAACTTTTTGAAAACGCGCACGTTACAAGAAAGAACTGTCGAGAAATCACAATCCGTATGTAAACAAATAAACTCCGGATACGATCTCGCGCCACAAATAGACAACATAATTAAAGACAAAAGATGTTAAATATCTGGCAAAAGAAGTTAATGTTTGTACTTTTTTGTAATGTCCTTTTTATTTGAAATTTAATAAATATACTTGTTCTACAATAGTTATTTTTTTCGTTAAGATTTTCAGTAGTTTGTCTTCTTTAAGATTAGGTTTTGCGAGCCACCTAGTCTAGGGTCTTCATGCTTTTGGCACACCGCAGTGACTTTGAGTTTGACATGTACAGAAAATCTAATTTTGGACAATCGGCAGATTAATTAATAATGTTAAATAAAACTTTAAAATCTCCTTCGCTTCTTCTACTTAGAAGGGCGCACGGTTAGGTAAATTAGCTGTATTTTTTTATATAATTTTATGCATTAACTGCACATGAAGCGCTGCCCAATCATAGTAGGTAATTTATGTGGAAAAAAAAATATTCCTAAACTTTTCACGAGTGAATCCCATGAAAGCATAGTCTGTGAGTGTGAACGATGACCATTATTTGCTATATGGGCACTCTAAAGCGACTGGCAGAAAACCCCACCTACCACCAAGATGAATTTCTATATCAAAAAATATTTCTTCCTCAATTTTTTATAAATATCAAACGTTTATATACAGATTGTATCAAAATTACACTAACGACCTAATGGAAATTCCCGGTACCAAATTATGCACATTCAAGTAGGCAATTTACAGGGGCGAATCCAGGCCCTCTTAGGGCGTTGGGTTCGTAGGGTGGGCTGCTTTTTTTTTCAGTGGGTGTCAATGGTATAAGGCATCGATTTAGGGTTATTAATTAGTTTCAAGAGGTGGGGACAGGATTTATGAACCAGATAAACTTTGACATAGCTTGATGATATAGTTGTCTAAATGACATGAACTTCAAGTTACTGGCTGCTGGCTGTCATACCAATAAAATGTATTTATAACTGGCCCAATCATAAAAATCTTATGCATAATCCAATACTTTTATACCTGTTATATTTTTGTATGTATCTAGAGGTAAATTAGAAAAGTAAGCGACAGATCAATCCTCCTCACACATATTCTAACTGCTTTCTTTCTATCATCCAAAGTTATTGTAATAAGTAGTAAATCTATACAATCGCCAATTGTGTTCGGGATTTTAGCTTTCTACATTTATTTCCATGTGTGTATATACAGTATGGGCCACCGGTAAGGTCTCTGTCTGTATAGCCAAAACTATCGATTGATTTTTTTGAACCTGTTTTCACAGAGAGATGTACCTATATCTGAACAGGCAACAATTTAAAAATAATTTTACTAATACAGGGTTCTACAGAAAAGATCCATATCAAAGTTTTTTTTTTAATTCAATTTTATATTTGAATTGCTCTCGCTTTAACCATTATAACAATACCAAATAGTATGCAATTGCACAGGGTATTTAACACGCAATAACCAGTTTTATATGAAAATCGTATTGATTTCAATAACCTTTATACTGCAATTTTTCAGGTAAAAGTTTTTCGATATTAGTCAACATTTATGCCTGCACACATTTTTTTTTAATGTTTTATATCACCATTCGAAAGTACCCTATTATATTTTCATTTAAGTATTTTCTGTACCTAAAGTTAATAATTTTGGGAGATTTTGAAATTTAAAAGACAAAAAGATAATTAAGCAGACTGGGAGTAATGCACATACTAATGAGATGAACAGTGAAATGTAAAAATTAAAAAAAATAAATAAAAATTCGACCGAGAGCTTTCAGCTTACAAAGCCGTCATCAAAAATCAGAAACATCCTAAAAGGTGCTACAAGTTAACAATTATTAAAATTTTATTGAATTATGTTAAAACTTGCTTCTGGTGGGTATCCTAGACGTAAAAAATGAGAATGATGTATTTGAGTTTTGACTCACCCTGTATAAATTTGTTTCGAATTGAAAAAAGTAGTGCATCGGCATAAAATGTTGACAAACACGGAAAACCCCTTATTTTAATTGTAGTATACAGGTAATTGAAATCAATAGGATTGTCATATAAAACTGGTTATAGCTCGTGAAATACCCAGTATAATCCCATATTATTTGGTATTTTTATAATGGGAAAAGCGAGGGCAAGTCAAATATAAAATACCCTGTAAAATTATTTTTAAATTGTTACCTTAATAAAAAACAAATAATTTTTGCTCTGCATACTGAGGCATTCCACTGGCCCGCCCTGTATGTTACGGCGCGATAAGCTTCTATGTTTTTGTTCGTGTATATGACTTTAAAAATTATAAAACTAATATTTCAACAAAAATATATTTCATCAAAAATAAAAACAATTTTTATTCAAATAACTGAAAAAAATAATGCCTAAAATAATCAAAACATTTATTTCTTATTAGCTGGAATATATGACCTTTTAGTAATCTGTCCCAGACCTTCCAATTCGCCTTCCATAACATAAGGTATTGGCCCTGTAATACCATCAGTTGACATGTATACAGAGGGAGGTAAAGAAACACCGCTTGATACTAAATAAAATACATTTTCAAGAACATCTAAAGGTTCCGGGGTAATTAGTACAAGTGTTTCGGCCTGTTGATCAATTCCTCTAACCAGTCCATAGCCCAAAACGATGAATATTTGACTGTTTTCACTTCGAGAACATAAGGTAACCACACCAGCATTTACAGCAGCCAGGGGTAAATTGTTACCATCTGTGTCAGTAATTTTGAAGCAGTTCAAATCAAGTCTGAAAGTAATAATGTTAATATATTATTAGTATTTATTGTTTAATGGAATAAATCCAATCAGAAGCCAAATAAATATATAACACTTTATATATAAAATAAATATTAAATCTAACAGATAAATAAACTGCTCACGGAAATACTCGGTACAGCTAATTTTATCGTCATTTGTAGGAGACTGTATCTCGGAAACGCTTTAGTCGATTTTTAAAAAATGCGTACTTTCTGAAAATACCCTGTAACTTTTTTTCTAAACAAAAAAAATACAAAACTACCAAATACGTCCCGAGATACCGACCAAAACTTCTAAATGTGATTACGATGAAAGTTCTGGAATTCTAAATTTTATTCCCTTTTTCTTTTTCTACTACGCATCTGTGGCAAATGAAATCCATCCAATGCCAACAACCACACAAAAAATACTTTTGCAACAGGTGCAGGCAGTTAAAAATTTACATTTTTACATTGTATTCTCTCACACCCTGTACAACACTGAAAAATGTCTTTTTACTGAAGATCACATCAAGTCATTGATACAAGAAATAATGAACTTTCAGAATCTTCTTCTTTTTTAAAAATCGGCTAAGGCGTTTCCGAGATACAGTCTTCTACAAATGACGATAAAATTAGCTGTACCGACTAATTCCGTGAGCAGTTTATTTAAAAATTAATAATACAAAAAAAGATAAAGAAAAAATAAATAATAATGCATGGTTACATTTCAGCTATTAATGCCCTTTTCAAAAAACAAGTAACATTTAATGGCGTAACTATTAACATTATTACACATAAAAAAATATTGATTTTATGAGTAGGAAACGAAAAAGTTTCAGGCAAATGTGCATTTAATCTTGGTATTAAAAACATAACTTGCTGCTATAGATTGAATAAATACTTAGAAGGTTAAACAAATATAATATGTTTACTAGACTGGGCCAAAAAAATTGACTATTTTTTTTTTTGAAAAATATATCGAGAATGTCATTCAGAATGACAAAAAAAAAATTCGTGAAAATTTGAACCCTTAATATTAATTTAAGAGGTCTATTATCGCAATTTTTATTTTTAGTCATAATTTGATGTTTTACGTTAGAACTGTCGAAACATTGAAGTGCAAAAAATTCCTTTTATTAAGCTCAATTACTCGGAAACTGCTCGTCTGACAAAAATTTTCAATCAGACCTTTTTTGTAGAGAATTTAATTTTATATCAAAATAAGTAAAAAGGAATTTTTTTCACTTCAATGTTTTGACAGTTCTAACGTAAAACATCAAATTATGACTAAAAATCAAAAATAGCGATGATAGACCTCTTAAAATTAATATTAAGGGCTCAAATTTTCGCGAAATTTTTTTTTGTCATTCTGAATGCCATTTTTGATATTTTTCAAAAAAAAAAAAAAATAGTCAATTTTTTTGGCCCAGTCTAATGTTTACAATCTTTTATTAAAAAACTTGTTGTAATTTTTAGCATTTAACTTAGTGATAGCATTTATTATATCTATATCAGTCAATAAATGATAATAAGAATATATTGGATTTGCAGAATCACATTTCATCTGTTGATTGTTGTGAATTTTTTTACAAAGTAAAATATGAAAATTTGCTAATCTAATATAAACAAAAAAAAAACATGTCTATTATATAAATCTGTAATTATCATTGTTTCTTGTTTATAGATTTTAAAAATGGTAGAAGAATGCTAGCAGTGGCAGGCCAAGGACATGATGGCTGGAAGCAGTAACAACTAATTTAAATGAAATTCGTAGAGAAATAGAGAAGGCAGCAAATCTATGAGAAAAGCTAATTATATAATATATGGCATATTTTAGGGATACTTACTCATACATAGGCAAATTGTGACTATGCAATGAATCTGCACCATTTTTCATCATTTCACCAAAATATGCTAAAATACACATCTCCCTAGTCAGTCTAGACTCCAAAGACCACCCTGTATTATCATCAGTCATTGCAACCATTTTTTTAAAATTAAACTTCAAATTTTTTGAATTTCCACCAAATAAATAACAATTTTCTGTAACAGTTTTTACGGTCAAGTCAGTCTCGAAATTTTTTTTGTGACTTTTACTTTCTATTTGGATTAGATCAGTGGGTCTCAGGCTAGTGATAGCAGACGAAATTATGTTTATGCCTATGCCTTTAGCGAATCCCATGTAATTGATCACTGTTGGGAGGTCCTCTGTTGTATCTAGCGAGTCCATCAGAAATTTAATTAGCTGCAAGTATTTCTTTGGGTTGTGGCCTATATTAATATTTGATAAATATGACCTAAAAATACAAATTTATCTGTGTACCAAGGCCGTAAATTAATCTTTTCTGATAGAATCAGACATTTGATAACTTCTGGTTAAACCAAAAAAGATCATGCATGCACAAAACATTTTTTAGGCGACTGTCTCATAAAATAGATCCAGTTTAACGGTAAGTAATATAAAATAAAGTAAATCAGCCAAAAAATGATACTTTAAAGTGGCCGTAAAGTAAATGCGGCCAAAGATTTATACTTAATAAATCCGCAAAAGTTCATTTTTTGTGATGATCGCCTACAGTAATTATTTAAGATATTGAAGCTGATACTAATCCTGCTTCTTAGTTTCTGCTTCTTATCATAATTTAATTAAATTAAAAATAAATCTGGTTAATTATAAAGTAATGATTTGGTGTATTTTTCGTTTAAGTCATATTTAAAATAAACAATCAAATTGATGAAATATATTTGTTTAAATTAAATATCAAGATAACTCTGCTATTTAACATGCAATTTCAATCAAACTAACTCCATGATTTTGTGAATTTTTTTGTGTAAATTATATTTAAAGAAATAATCAATTTATCAATCAAAATACCTTTTAATTGTTATTTAAACAATTACACAAATTATTAGAAATTATTCTAAATTTTTAGAAAAATACTACAATACAGCAAACATTATAGAAACCAATTATTTTTTTTTTTCACTTTTATGGCCTGGCATTACCAAATGGTCAGACTGCTTTCGATTTTTTAATGCAAACAGTTAAAAATCCTCAATCCAGGGTCACATATTAAATGCAAAATACAGTGACTTTAAGGCAGCTTCAGTTCTAATCACACCTGACCAGTTCTTCATTATTAATGGTATAGTTAAAAAATTGTATGTTGACTTTTCTGCTAAAACGTATAGCTTTGCATTTTCGTATGTTGAGAAACAATTTATTGCGTATATACCAAACATATAGTTTATTTGATTGTTCTTGAAGTAATAAACAATCATGTATATCAGAAATTTCAATAAATCACTGATAAAATACAAGAAAAGTAGAGGACCCATATTGGACCCTTGAGGAACTCCCGAGGTAGCATAACATAAATTTGATGAAAATCCATTATAAAAAACAAATTGTTGACAAGATAAATATAAGAGGAAAAATGGTTTCATTGCTGATGAAAATCCAAACTGACCTAACTTGTTAACAATTACTTTTGGGTCGATTTTATCCAAAGCCTTTTCGAAATCTGTTATAACTACATCTACTTGCCACAATTATCTAAAGTCTCAAGTAAAAACTGAGAAAAATGTGATAAATTAGAAACAATGGAACGATTTGCCATAAAACCATGCTGATGTACCGACATTAAACATTTAGTTTGAGGGTAAATTTTATTATCGAACTAGTGATTGTTAAAAAAAAACTATTTCACAAATAATTTACGGTCTTAGTTGTGCTACTTGATATTTTGGATAGAATATTTAATTAAAAAATATAAAATAATAATACCTAACAGGGCTTTATTGAAACAAAAAGTTACAAAAGACCATTGACCGAGGTTCTTCAGCCTGAGGTTTGACTAGTTATTTTTTTATGGTGTAAAAAGAAAAAAATTATAGCATTATGACATAACTACTAAAAAAAAGTAATAATTTTAATTAACTCATGGCCAATCAGACACCACAATACAACTAGACAAGATTTCAATCGGCTAAGTATCATACCCTTGTAATTTTTTGTAATCATGTCTGCTAGGACGTCGATTTCGTTGTGTACATAAAGTTTCCATTATAACCTTGTTTTTATATTTAGCACTATTATATGGGTGTAATTCTAGTGAATGAGTGCATACAGATTGGAAATCTCCAACAACTGGAACCCACTGGGACATACCAGAATAACACATGAAGTAAATGATTCTATATTAAATATGGGATCAGATCACATGACACCCCTTCTAAACTTTAACAGACTCTTCCAGGTCAACTGTAACTGGAACGAGGTAAATAAGGAGATAGATAAATACTTGCTTAGCGGTCTGGTATGGTATACGGATGGATCTAAAACTAACAAGGGAACAGGCTCTGGCGTACATGGAGTTAAACCCAAATGCGACATCATCGTCTCACTGGGAAAACATGCCACTGTATTTCAGGCTGAAATACATGCAATCGAATTATGTGTACGAGAAGAAGGAAGTACAAACACAAACCATCCTAATTCTCTCAGATAGCCAAGCAGCCTTAAAGGCTCTTGATTCAAACATAATCAAGTCAAAGCTTGTCTGGAACTGCCTTGGAATACTAAATGATCTGGCAACCCACAACAAGGTAAAACTAGCATGGGAACCAGGGCACAAAGGTATCCAAGGAAATGAAAAGGCTGACGAACTCGCCAAAGAGGGATCAGATCTACCATTCACAGGACCCGGACCTGTATTTGGGATAAGCAAAACCTCTGCTCAACAGGCAGTGAACAGGTGGATAACTACAAAACACCAAATTCACTGGCAACAGATAAGAGGGCACAGAATCAGTAAGCTCATGCTAAGGGGACCAGACCCACGCATGGCTACTGAGGCACTACAACTTGCAAGGCCTCAGATATCCACCATTGTGGGATTACTAACGGGGCACTGCTTGCTGAAACACCTTCATGTGATGTGATTACACAATGATCCCACTACGTGTAGACTCTGCATGGAAGAGGAAGAAACCTCATACCATGTGATCTTCGAATGCGAAGCTCTTACTAGGCGACGTTTCATCCTTTTCGGCCTAGAAGCGGAAAGGACGCCCCAGGAACACTTGGTAGGGAATCTGTTAAAACTAACCAAAGACACAGGACTATTCCAAAGATAGTACCTGAGTACGGGGAAAGCAGGGGAATACAATAAACCCAAGAGGTCGCAGTGTTCTGGACCAAACCTAACCCTACCTGCTTACAATCGATAAAGATACTTTGCGTAGCGGAGCGCGGCAATCTGTCTAAAGCGGCAACGAACTTTTTGCTCAAAATGCACACAAGATTTTTTCTATGAGCACACTTGAAATTTTGTTGTAAGTAATGTACAATGTGTTGTCTATAGTACCTACGTTAATCATGAAAAATGCAGTTGATATTCAAAGTCCATGTTAACTTGGATAATATAACAAAAAACATTTAACTACTTACAAATAACTTGAAAATAATTTATTAAAAAGAAATATTATTGAATTATCGCTAATTTAAATTAGGCGAGCAACAAAGCTGTCAAATTTATCGCTCGGCGAGCGACAAATATGTCACTTAATGGAAGTTCACAGAAAACGTCAACTTTGCGCAAAAGCCTACTTTGGATAGTGATCGTAGAAAAACTACTATTATCATACAAGTATTTATTCACAGATTAGTATTGTTTTTCCCAGAAATATTTTTTTTATTGATTTTAATAAAAAAAAATATTGTGTGGTGCTTGATTTCGAGTGTTTTTATTTTCATTTAAAATATTGAATTAAAAAGGAATATTTCACCAAATTGATTGTTTATTTTACACAATAATTAGCACAAAATATTGCGTGATGAATAAAAGTTGTTCAATACTCTTAATTTAAAAAATATATAAATGCACAAAAATTGCGAAGAGCACAAAAAAATTGCACAAAATTATAGACAAAATCCGCATGTTGTGCTAACTTTATATCTATAGCTTATTATTTTTATTTGTAATAATAAATATAATTACCGTTGTGTCCTTTGCAAGTGTGTATAATTGGGCCCAAGAATAGGATCTGATATAGTTAAAACTGATATACTTCCAGGTACTGAACATTCCGACTGTCCAGGATCCAAATCTATAATCCTAATTTTTTCAAACCTAGTTAAAAGTGAATTTATCGAGTATCTCAAAAATGTACTCTTTCCAACACCTTTACCACCAGCAATTAACAATTTTGTGGAGACATTAACATATTTTAGAACTTTATCCCATTCTTCATTGGTTGCAAGTATATTAAATTTATCTTTGGGGTCGAAAATTATTTGAGGAGCCTCTATTTTTGGAAAAATTTGCTGTGAAATGTATTTTTCAATTAATTTGATTCTGCAATCTTCTAATTTTGAGCAAATAAAAATAACTGAAGTTATATCTAGTTTTACTTTTTTTAAATTTTCATTGCTATTTAAAATAGGTTTAATTTCTTCAAAATCATTCTCTTCATTATTATTTGTAATGTTTCTCACAACTAACAATGAAGAACCTCTTGGTGAGTATACATCAACTTCCTTAGACCTCTTGTTTAAAGTGCAACCCAAAATTTTGAGTTTTCCATGTAAAACTTTTAAAGAACATAGACCAAAAAATGGCACTGCATAGTTTTTTTTAAGAATTACTAATTTTTGAGAACCAAAGTCAAAATATTTATAAGAATCATTTTTCTGATGGGAAGTTTCTATTTTGCTTCTATTAATGTCTTGTGTCTCAGAGTCCAAACAAATAACTTCTTCACTACTGATCCTTATTATGTCCTCATTCCTTGACACAATTTCAACAGATGAAGACTCTAAAGAGACCTCTGAAATAGCTAGAATAAAGTGCAAATTAAGAGTATACATTAAAGAAAATTATCCTTTATTTGATAAGCCTATGTCTATTTCCATGAAAAAGGCTAAAATGCTTTGGGACTATTACCGATTTGTTCAATTTTTCAGGATATTTTTCTATATCACTTCAAGCATCTCTTGGGGGGGCTAAGATACTTCTGGGTGAATATAATAAAGAAAAGATCGGAAGCCTGCATCTGCCTGAGCAAGAACAGGCTCCATATTGTAACAGGGATCCTTACTGGGCATTGCCGACTAAAAGGACATCTTAGTAAACTGAGTAGTAGAAGATAGTGAATGCAGATTCTGTGAGGAGGAGGACGAAACATCCATTCACATTCTGACTGAATGTGTAGCACTTCATAATCCAAGGGCACTATACCTAGAGGAGCATATCAAATAGAAGAGGGAGATTTCCCTAACTTGAAGCCACTCTAAATCCTACTTATTTGAGAAGATAGGATTGGAAGGGTCGTTATATGCAATGAGACATTTCCTTGCTGCATTAGTGGCAGAAGGGACACAATTGGTCTTTTAGGTTGCAGTGTATTAACACCCCATTCTCAACATAACATATATATATCACTATACTGCGGTGTTAATTCAAATGGTCATCTGCAATTTTGCTTGATATAAAGATATGACCACTACGCCTGACAACAATGAATTTTTTGTTCATCTCTATAATTTTCATGGATATATATTCTATAAAATCTCAGATTTAACGCTTAGAAATTTGGATGTGATTTTTCTTGAAAAATCGATTTTTCTCACGTTCATGTATTAAACAGTTACGGCCATTTGAATTAACACGGCAGTATAGTTTACTAATTTGCAATAATTGTATAATCTAATTTACCAAACGTGATTTAAAACTCTAGGAACTGAAACATAATTAAAGAGATCTAAAAATATATAAGTACATTTGAAGAACAATAAATTACTTGATTCCTTTATAGGAAAGAACTATTTTGTGTTATGTTTAAGAATACCATACAATGAAAAGCCATGTTTTCAAAGTTTTTAATAATCCCAATTTTGTTATCATAAAAATGTATAATTTCCTTAGGTGATCAAAAGAATAACATAATATTCTGTAAATAGAAAGTGTATTATAAAAAAATATTTTACCATTATCAATCAAGACACTACTGCCAATAGAATTTTCTTCATCTTCATCAGAAATGTTCTCAATGGTACAATTTATTGTATCTTTATCATTAATTACAGAACTATTTTTATCATATATTCTACTATTTTTAATTTGAACCTTACTCATATCATTACTAAGAAACTCATAATCAATCCCAGAATGCGACTCAGTAAAAGATTCGTCAAAGCTTTGTTCCTTATTACTAAAAAATTCATTTAAGTTAAAATCAATGTCAGATTCATCTAAATCTTCAGTTTTTTTGAATCGTAACTTTCTAGTTAAAATACTTCGCTTATTACTAAAAAACTCATTTAAGTTAAAATCGTTATCAGATTTCTCAAACTCTTCAGTTTTTTTGGACCTTAACTTTCTATTTAAAAGAAGTCTTTTTTGAAGGGTGGTCAGATCAAATTGTTCTGAAGTAGAAGGATATATTGGCTCAATTTCAGTTCGTGTTTTCAGCTTCTTTCTAAACCTTTTAAGTTTTTCTTCATATTTAGTTGAATCTTGAAAGCAATCATCGCTAAAGGAGCTTTCTCTTTTAGGAAGTTTCCTTTGAGTTTTGGGAAGTGGAAGACTAAATACTTCTTCGGATTTATAACTACTTGATCCGAATTTAATTTTACTAGATTTCTTTTGCGGCTTTTTAGTCGAAACGCTCATTTTAAGATCTTATGAAAACAAATACCAGAGGAAAATTTTGTAATAAAAAATTAAAACTTAACCTAAAAAAGTTATTTAAAATCTCAACCATGTTTCATTTTTGGCCTTTTACTTAAGGTGTTGTCTCTGCCTGCTTAAGGTAACAACCAAGGCCTACATTAGGTTCTTTCGTTCGCTGTTGGTGTAGTTTCCACCAGTGTAGTTTACACCAGTTACACCAATGTATTTACCCTAATGTACTTCCTCATTATTCCTTATACACATGTCGAGTGTAATTCACTCCTGCTAAATAGCTGGTGGAGAAAATATCCACCAGTGTACACCATATATCGCCGACAGGAAGGTATATAGTGGGTTTTACACCGGGCCAAACGAAAGGTTTAGTGTAAGTTGGTGTAGTTCATTCCTACACCAGTGGGACGAACGAAAGAACCTATTTATTCGCTGGCCCGGCAGCATATTTCTACATGCCACTAATGCCCATAGAAAAATAAAAGAGGCCTCAATTGTGCCCTCAATGCCACTCGTGAGTTGCTGTAGGTATATGGCTCCACCGCACAATTTTTTTATTATTCTCATTTTATGTTTAATATTTCTGCAAACCAACTCGCGATGACTCCAGGCCGCACAGGTTAGGTAAGTTAGTTAAGTTTTTTTTTATTTTTTTTTTAAGCAACTTACGGTGGTTCCATACTGCTCAGGTCGTTCATGTTACAGGACCTCACTCTGCTCATCCCGCAAATATTCACTCGTTGCATAAAATGTCATAAAAAAAGGCATTTCGTAACTGGTTTCATAAAGAGCTATATATTTTCACATTAAATATAAAATAATTATTGTTGAAGATGTAAAAGTATATTTTTAGTAAAAGCATGACAAATATGTATAAAATAAAATATAGAAAGTCACAATAAGTAACAATAATTAATTTTATTATTTTACCATGATAATCAATAAATAAAAGATTACTTGGCAACGGATGTTACCGCAGGAGAGTGAGTTTGACCTTTTAATTACCAAGGCTGCCAAATACTAGGTTGCCTTTAGGGTGACAAAGTTTATGACATTCTAAGATAGGAAGGTATGTAGTGCAACTGAGGCTCTACAAGGACTGAAGAGGTACTTATTTTTACCCCGAGGCGAAAAGTTTGTAGCCCTCCCTCCGATCGGGGTAAAAAGATACTTCATTCCTATTGTTTATATCCTATTCTATGCAGTTTTTGAAAAAAAGTTAAAAAATCATGAAAATTATGAATAACCATTTAACGCCCAGACAACACACCAAATCCCAGAGATATCCACAGAATATCTTTTGTGGATATCCAATATATCCACAGGATATCAGAAATATTCCGTGGATCTAATATATATCCAAATGTCCGTCTATATCCAAAATATAGAAGATATCCTATGGATATCCAGCAAAATATCTAATGAGTATCTTCCAGACAATACAAGAAATCCCAGAGATATCCACAAAATATATTTTGTGGATAATCCAACCAAATGTCCGTCTATATCCCAGGATATAGAAGAATTCAGATTTCAGATATTCAGCAAAATATTTTATGGGTATCTTTAGTAGAGGTTCATAAGTAACCAATAATTATTGAATAACGTCGAAAGAAAAATAGAGATGAAAAATATTTCCAACACTCAAAATATTTTCAACAGTCTGCCTTTGATTTTGCCCACTAAGGAGAAAGTCATTCTTATTAGGACTCTTCGGCAGTAAATGGAAATTCTCGACTCCAGTCTCTAATGGAGTCTGATTGTGAAACAAATTTTCGATCGAACTCAATTACGGCGGGTTGAGCATGAGTAGATGCGAAAGTGGTATCGCCATCTATACTTAGGAAGCAAAATCAAAAATTTCATCTAGTGGATATCCACGATGGTTTGCGTTCGCGCCTAGACTTTGATATATTTAGTGGATGTCCATGGGATATTGAATACACCTTAAGGACCGATTCCACCATTGTGTTAAACGGAGATTAAAATGTAAAAATGTCATTTTAAACTTCGTTTAACACAAACGGTGGAATCGGCTCTTAAAAAATTAATTTTAAATATCTGAACGGTACTATTAGCCACAATAGCGAGCACAATGGCCTAATTTTTTAATAATTTGCTATATAATTACTATTATTTATGGACATTTGCATATCTATAAATTACATCTCATGGATATAAAATAGATATCCCACCATGGACTGGACATTCAGTGGATATTGGGATGTCCAGTAGATATCCAAAAGATTTGGTGTGCTTCTGGGCGGGTACTCTATATAATAACAAAGCAATGACGATGTTAGTGCAAAATTGTTCATATTAACAATTGACGTATATTGTACTTGTATTTTCGGTTGTACAGTGCGTATAAGTATATTGTACTTTTAGGCCCATATTTATAAACAAAACTCTCGCTTTTGCTTTCTCTATCATAAATTCTCACGGAGCGAATACGCAATATCGTCGGTTAGTTCATAAATTAGTTGGCGCTGCTAGTTCAGATAACCCTAAAAAAATTCTGAAGAGGAAAATAAATGAATTGCAGGAGGCAAATGTATTGAAGATTCAAAATTAGAAGGTAACATGATAGTCGAATATTTTTTGTTCCACCCTCTTGACAGTACATCACTGGAAACAGGAAATATTTGTCTGCCATATTTAGAGACCATCCTCATTCCAAGGTCGTTTAGCATATTCTTCGTTCCTATAACTAATTTCAAAGGTTTAAGCCGATGCATTTATGTTCTGCTTTAATAACGGCGCTAACCGTTACGTCATTTTATGTGTCCTATCCTAAGTAGAATTTAATCTATTACTGGGGCTTAAACTAAACCGTGGCCGAAACCCGTTGTCTGCAATCGCCGTGCCGAAACCCAAATCTATTACGTTTTTTTTTATTAAATTGGTAACATTGCCATTTTCCGGCATGTGACGTTTTGTTTTCTGTTTCGTCTCGCAATACTACATCGAGCCCACAGTTCCGCTATGAGACGTGGAAGAGCCAATAACAGCGCGCGAACGCCAAATTATAGGCGGGGCATAAAAGCGCGCTCGTTTTGAAAGTAACTGGGGAGGTGGCGAGGAAAACGATGAAGGTGTGCCTATGCTGAAACTGAGAAAATCGTTTTTTTTTTACTTCCGAGCGTTGTCTCATAGGAAGCGCAAATAATACACAAAATTTATTATAAATATTAATTACACAATTACTAATATTTGACATAACTAAATTAGATGAATAATTACTACACTTTTAAAGGCATTTTTCTAAAAATAAAAATCAGATTTTAAAAGCGTTTGATTACGTTTAATAAGCTTTCAACGAACAAATTCACCTAAAAATTACCAACAAATGATCATCTTGACAATTCAAACAATTAAAAACAAAAATTCGATGCGGTTATGACAGGAAATTTCCAACAAAACTGCCGGTATTTCTACAAGGTGTAAAGGAAAATACTTTTGTTTTAGAATTTTACTATCATTTATTTTACGAAAAATATTGTATGTAACAGTGTGAAAAGAGTGCTTTTCGCACTAGTTGCATAAATAACTGTTAGGTGTATTATAGAGATCTTAATCGTTTTGCAGCAACTGTTTACCAGGCATATATTATATACAAAAATCTTTAGATGGCACCATCCACCCCGAATTTGATCGTTTTTCCCGCCAACTCCTCATTTACGATAATTACTTTTTATGCTACAGCTACATTACCTAAACGGTTTTTAAATTTAAATATTTCATTAGGAATTTTAAAAATAAGCAGTTTAATTTAAAAAAATAGTTTATTTAACTAATAACATTTTTTATTTAGTAGGCATTACGCATCTACTTGTATCATATGTATTATTACGTAATCGTTTTAGTTGTCTTGATGATTTTTTCTTAATTTTTCTTCTAGCTACAGCAGTACTTTGTATAGGAATTTTTCGTCCTCTTCGATTTTGGCTACTTCCTAAAAATGATTATAATTCTAGTCAATGAAATAATTTAACAAAAGCTTTAGAAAATAAAGTTGTGCACATCCTTAAAGAAATCTATACAAATTTAATTTCAATTATTTGTGTTGCCAATTTATAAATTGAATTGGGACACAAAAAATAATTAATTAGTGGTATATTTTACAAATCTAAATAGGAAGGTTTACATTATAGTATACCTAGTTCATTAAATTGAACTAATACAATTTCAACAATATCTGCTGTCAAGTTAAATTATTTCTAAACATACAAACGATAAATAAAAAAATACATATTATAACCACCAAATAAAATACCAAAACCGAACCAAACCCATTTAATTAAGTTTATAACATACCATAAACATTTCTAGAATGTTTGTTATTGTTTCTCTTTTTTCAGCATTGTACAGTGTAAGATTATTTTCTAAAAACATTTTCGCCTCTGTATCAAATTTCATAGGTCCATAATTTTCTTTAAACTCTTTCATATATAGATCATAACAGTATTTATAGGTTGGACATATATTACGGTCTGCCAAAGCTGTCACATAATCATCCCTGGTAAGCTGAATGTTACATTTAATCATCTCCAAAGCTGTTCCTGCTGTATGGCCATTCTTATAAAGACTTAGTAACTCTTCTCTTACATTCTTAGAAACTTTACGAAACCGTAAAGAATCTGCAGTATTGGTCATATGGTTGTGTGTTAAAATAAGTTTAACCTCACAAGGCGCCTCTTGTATGAGTTGGAAATTTTCTTTCTTGCCCCTATACTTTTTTCTAATAACATGTATCTTTACAGTTATTTTCGAAGGACAATTGGTGTTTCTAGTTTTGTTTTTTAAGGACGGGTTGTAGGTTTTAGTGCACCGTGTAGAATGATGACACCTAAAATTAAATTTTCCAGGTAACATAATAATAAACTGTAATAAACCTACATGTAACAAATAATATAACCTACATTATAAATAAGAGCATAAACAAATGTGATATTTATTACATTAATTTACTACCTAATTTTTGAAACCTGTAAAATCTGTGTTTTCCAAAGGTTTTATTAATAATAAAACCTTTATTACCTTAGTCTTCTTTTCAGTTTCAATTTAGCTCCATTCTCAACGTCTGTACAGGCGATAACGTATGATGAACTTGTTGAATTTTCAAACTCCATCAACCACTTTCCAAACTCCTCTTCATTGGTGCAATTGATGAAAAAATGCAATTCTACATTCGGGAACTTATCTTCACCCTCTACTATTTTTTTACCAATAATTGTTGTTCCCCAACCAGGTGGAAAAACTGACTGAAAAATAAAGATTTAATTACACAAAAATCCTAGCAGTTTGTTTGTACTTTATGTTTATGAACATACATGTAGGTACCAATTTTCTCAGCAAAAATATTTAATTAGTAGTTATACAAAAGAAAACAAATATGAACTTTTACTTGAAAGGCTTAATTTTCGTCTTAGAGAAACAAGGTACAAAAATGTTGTACTTACATTAAATTCATCATTCAAAGAGGGTAGTGGCGCGATATCCATTATTTCGGTAAGCAACTATGGTAAAAGCAAACATCAAAACCACGATTGTACATGGATTGTATGTACACACACTATAACTGTAAATCATGGAGGAAGGATTATTACTGTAAATATTTGGCCGTGAGTAAAACCAAAACAAAAACTGGCACAAACAAAAATGTTAGGTTAAAAAATCTAACTGCTACGTGTTAATTGTCAATCGATCCCGCCCACAGTCGTGACGTCTCCCGTTCTAATTGGTTCTTTTTAGTCCCATAACCAAAGTGAGTGCTGGATGTATCATTGCTAATGTGTCCTATCCTAAGTAGAATTTAATCTATTACTGGGGCTTAAACTAAACCGTGGCCGAAACCCGTTGTCTGCAATCGCCGTGCCGAAACCCAAATCTATTACGTTTTTTTTTATTAAATTGGTAACATTGCCATTTTCCGGCATGTGACGTTTTGTTTTCTGTTTCGTCTCTGCCGATTTTATTTTTTCTATTCATTTCAATTTTGTGTTTAGAAGAGAGAAGAGGTAAGCCACGCTAACAAAAAATTTTAATCTTTAAAAATTTAAACCATCTTGTTAAAATTTACAACTGAAACAATCTAAATTAACTTATTTTACAATTATAAAGTCAACTACATAATTATTTTATGGCTGATGATGATTTTTCAAAACAAACTAAAGTCTTATCCGACATCGAGTTGGAAAGACTTAAAATTCAAGATACACGAAAAGTTAGTGAATACAAAGCGAACACGCTTGAAATAGAAGCTAAAAAGAATTGGGATCTATTTTACAAACGCAATGAAACTAGATTTTTTAGAGATCGTCATTGGACGACGAGAGAATTTCAAGATCTTTTAAATCGAGCCGAATGTACCGAACGAGTATTGTTCGAAATAGGATGCGGCGTAGGCAATTTCATTTACCCATTAATAGAAGAAAAGTTAAATTTTAGGATAGTAGCTTGCGATTTGTCTCCAAGAGCGATTGAAATTGTGAAAAATAACTCTAAGTATAACCCAAGTTGCATGCACGTGTTTCAAGCTGATATAACCACAAAGCATGTTTTTACACAAATTGAAGAAAGTAGTATAGATATAGCCACATTAATTTTCGTACTTTCTGCTATTCATCCAGACAAGTTTTTATCTACTTTAAAAAATATTTACAAGTTACTTAAACCTAATGGAATCTTACTATTTAGAGATTATGGTTTATATGATATGGCCCAACTCAGATTTAAAGCTGGCCATAAAATAGCAGATAATTTGTATATGCGGCAGGATGGAACTAGATGTTACTATTTTTCTATAGAATATTTAGGGCATATTTTAAAAGAGATTGGTTTTGAGATAGCTTCAAATACTTATATACACAGGAGGACTATTAATAAGAAGGAGAACATTGATGTCCCTAGAATTTTTGTGCAGTGCAAAGCTATAAAACCAGATTGAAAAAAAGGTATGTAATATGAAAAGTCTTCAAAATTAAGTATTTTGTAATATATGATTAGGTTGACTTTACTTGTGGCCTATGTGAGTTAGTGCTTTATTACATTGTTTTTTGTTTTGCACTAAAATATAAAAGTGTTAATTGGATGTGATATGGTTTTTGGATCATTCATTAAAGGCTGCATTCATGTCAGTTTGTTTGCTGGATCTGTACCCTGGACATGTACATCCTACAAATCCATTCATGTATATCCATTTACTCACCAGATTTGTCCAATCTTAAGTATAAGATGTACAAGTAAATAGAATAAATATAAAGTTGGCTGTAATAAAATGGTTAATTGATGATTGTGTTGCATAGTCCATTGTGATGGTTGGCTATTAGGTGGAATTATTTTATTTGTTGGATGTGGACATTAAAAGATGAATGGCCAATATAAAATCTGAAATGTGACATCTTATGATTAAACCAGTAGATTTTAATTTGATTCTTGATAGATTTAGAACAATTGTCATATTTTTTTATTCATAAATTATCAGTTTTTAAATAGTTTTTTTTTTTATTTGCAGAAAGAAGTGAAAATGCTGAAAAGGACATGTTTGAAACACATTTTGAACTTTAATTTCGCTGATTTGCAGGGTGAGTATTTTTCTTTTGCTGTTTTTAATACTATTGTAAACTGATCGCTATTTGAAAGATCACTTTGCAGCTCTCCCACTTATTAGACGAGAGAGACATAAATTAGAAATGTACAGGTTTTTTGCACCTAGGTTTTCTTAAAACAAAAGTGCAGATTCTACAATTTTTTTAAGACATTTAGAATTCACAATTATACAAATCAACTCCCAGGAGAAAGGGTGCAAAAATTAGTGTATTAAATAAAATGCATATATTTTATCTAAAGTTGACACTGATCAGGGATGGAAAAACCTAAGAATTTAAAAATATTTAAGTAGGTTTTTTAGTTTTTAACGGTTTTTTTAGGTTTTTAGTTCATAATATGTCAAAAATTATTGTCACTATCATTAATATCAATATCAAGAAGTAATTATAACCTGTGATGAAATGTTTGCATGTTTTGGCTAAGGACGATATTAGGGATGGTAATTTTGTCACTTTTTCCACAAAGATTAAGTAAAACCATAATATTTTTACACTTTTTAATCTTCTATAAGTGTGCACTAACCTAATTAAAGCAACAAATATTATTAAAACACCTTTGTAAGCTAAAAAATTAAGAATATGCATTTATTCACAACATTCTCAGGTAGCCATATTGTTTTTAATTTTTTTGTCACACTAAGATTTTAGTGATGTTGCCAATTGATTTTTGTTATTTGTTGTAAATAAATATATTCATAATACCTTTCTATATTATTTTTATTTATGAATAATATGACAACTGACATTTTTATTTCTATAAATGTGGTGTTGTCAAACATAGTAAAAGAACGTACATAACAGGAATGACAGTGGCTGTTTTTTCAATAGATCCAGGCCAGATGATAAAACCAGAATATACATGTGTTTATTTGATACTTCATTTCAATTATTCAATTTGAGCTGTGTCTAGGCCGTTGGAGTCTATGCCGGTAGGGGTTGATGTTTTTTGGTGCGAAGCCGCCACCCTACGATAAGTCGTTGCTTCGTTTTCTTGTTGCATATTTATGAACTGGTATGTGCAATCACAATTTTATATTAACTACTAATTTTATCACAATCCGGCAACGTTACAATTATATTTTCCAAATTTGACAGAAACCATCGAGTTTCGATGTTTACAGTCGTCAAAATGCTGATTTTTATAGAAATTAAATAATTTTTTTTTAAATGCATTTACCGCAATCTTTTTTTTAATGTACTATTTAAAATACGCTCTTTTTGATAAAAAATAAATTCTTTATAATTCCACTGTCCCTAAAGTCGTCCGGACCCCATGTTTTTATATACGCTCATTTTTGCACCCTTTCTCCTGAGAGTTGATTAGTAAAATTGTGAATTCTTAATATTTATCTTAAAAAACCTAAAATTGTAGATTTTTGGGTGACATATCACTTTAGTGTCACAAAATTACAGATTTGACATATGTTTTAAATAAAACTACAGATAGGTATTTCTTGATTTTTGAAAAAAAAATTGCGGATTATAGCCAAAATTCAAAAAAATGGCCTTTCCAAGTTGGAACTATTTTTTATTGCGGATGTTGAAAACTACCTATTACTTGATAGAAGCGTAGTAATTTCGATTCGCGGATGCTCTTTTGTGCGTTTGTCGAGAGTTTGATTTCATTTATCGCAATTTTATTTGTGTTTTTATATTATACATAGGTTTTAAGCGTTTTATTGATTATTTATTAAAGACTATTTATGAGCATATTGCAGAAAAATATGTATTTTAAATCAATAAATATTTCTAAATTTTATGTTGTGTTTACTGCAACAATCAATAGATAAGACAACTTAGGTTTGTTTGGCAGAAGTAATGATATTAAGCTGAGAAGCAAGAATGTATATTCTTTGATCTGTGTCAGTTGGCCGGGAAGCGATTTTTTTTGAAAAATTAGGTATGCTTTCATTTCAGGCGACATTCAATTCATTTTTTCGTGCGTTCGGTTACGTAATTTTTTTTAAATATTTTGATATTTCAGTATAACAAATATATAATTTTTTTGTTAGTGATGTTTTCTTGTGCGAATATGGGAAAAATGTTTGGGGTGGTACATTTCATGACGAAAAATATATTTTTTAAGTTGTCTCTCTATAGGTAAACATACTGCATTTTTACAAACAACAAAATATATGGTTTTAGATCACTTCAATTTTTCATTATATTTTTCTCAAAAAAGGGTGTTTTTATATTTTTTTTGCGAAAATTTACTATAGAAACTAGTTTTTTTTGAGTGTTGACAAATTTTTGCAAAACTCGTACCTGAACTCGGCGAACAATTCACTCATGTTCCAAAAAATAAAAAAATTGAGGTTATAAAAAAATGGTTATATTTTGAAAAAATCCGCACTTTTTTGTAAAGAATTAGTCTCTACCACATTCAAAATGGTTCTATTTTCTTTCTAAATGGCTTACTTTTTGTGACACTAAAGTGTTATGGACCCGATTTTTGACTCTTAGGATTTAAAAAAAAAAGAAACCTAAATAACCTATGTGCAAAAAACCAGTACCTGCCAACCTTTTATTTTTCACCTTTTTTAATCTTGTCGTTTAGGGGGCTCAGGTTTATGTACTGATATTTTAAATTTAGGAAAAAGCAAAGTTGAGTTACCTGAGATGCTGTCAATCATATATTTTTTAGAAATGAATAAAAATATTCTTTGATTGTAGACTATTATGATGTATTTTTGTGAAACAGATTTTTCTTGTCCTCAAAATTAAAAGATAAAAAACAAACTGCAAAACAAGAATGGAAATATGGCAACATAGCAATTCTAAATGTTAGTGCAGAGTGGCTAGGACATGGACATTAAAGTCCCCTTAATTACAATACTACTTTTAACTTAATCCCATTAAAATTTAATGTTGAAATTCAGTGTTAGTTTTAAATCCGGCAATCTCCACGTGCCAATTGGTACCAAAACCAGCAAAATCCGCCCTATTTAGTGTTAATTTTCGCACTCGCCATGTTATTTAGTTTTGCTGGTTTTTGCTGACTGCGAATTTGTTAAAGAGTTACCAGTGTAATAAGACTGAGTTAATTTGTAATAACCCCGTTAATTATAAAATTAATGTTTAATTACCTTTTGTATATGACATGTAATTTTGACTAGCTCTTAGATAAATACTAATTTTATATAGGATGTCACCCATTCAAAATAAAATTTTTAAAAGGAATTTTAAAATGTATCTCCATATTTTTTTTTACGGGGATGAATTTTTAACACAGATAAATATAACAAAACAGTTTTTCACAATTATCCAAAATTCTTAAAAATTAAGATTGCTGCCTTTGGTTCTAGACCCCTCATATATGAAATAAAAACCTACTTATATAGTTTTTTGAACCAAGTAAAACATCCTTTTTACCTACAATCTGCCCTTTCAAATAGTGAGATAATTTCAAACATGATGATAATTAACCGAATCTTATGATACAGATGATATTTTCATTTAACATGCACTACCAACTGACTACTGCTTTTATTATTATAAAATATATATCACAAAGGGCAATTTTAAAAATTATTTTTTTATTTTCAGGTCATACGGAGATACAGCAAAAATGATTCCTATAAATGTAAATTCAATCCTGGCAATTTTTTTTGAAAGGTTTGTATTTTTTTTATATATATATAATAAAAAAATTATTTCAACTCCTATTTTTTATGATGAACAACCTCATCACCAAGATATGAGAACAAATGATTTTATCAACATGCACTACCAACTGAAGCTAATTTTTAATATAAAAAAAATATATATTGTAAAAATATGTTTTTTAACAGTTTTTTATTTGTTACAGCTTGACGGCCGACGTTTTAAGACTACTCAAATTGGAAACTTAATTGAGGTAAGATTTTAGATATTTCAATATTAAGTTTATTAAAATACTTTTTTATGATGCATTCATAGTTCAAATGAAATTATTTGATTACAAACTGCATTTTTGTCTTTCGCTCCTATCTGAATTTTGCTCTTATCTTTTTTAGTTATTAATATATTGACTATAATTACTAACAATTTATTTTAATTTCAGGAAAATGTAATTATCTTGAAGATGTTATTCAAAGGCGATTATGCAGGTAATTATTTTTACATTTATAATTTTGTATGTCTACTTTTGTTCGTTTTTATGTAGTATTAATTTTATCAACAGAATGTCCAAAACAAATTGCAAAAAAAAACAATTCATTCAATACACCATTCCGTTCAATTTTTAAATTTTTATTTATTTACATGGTCCAAGCATGAGCGTCTATGTATTGATATGGAAATTTCCTTAAATTTTGTAATTTTTAACCAAAATCAATTTGGAGTGGGTCGAATTTTCTAAAAAAAGATCATAAATATTCTAAATATACAAAATTCAATGTCTTAATTTTCTACTGCTGTGTTCCTTGTATTCTAATCTGCTGGTTCTGATCTGTTGTCTCTGCATCTGTCTATTAATATGTATTTAAAATTTAGTTTTTTTTTTATATATAATTTTTCATTATTTTATTTTCTCTCCATACAAAATACTAAATTCCAACTTAATTTTAATAAATTCTTCAATAAAAATCCATCTATAACAATTTTCAACCCCCTTGATTTTAACTAAATAAATTTTTTACCAAAACCTTTACCATCGTAGTATTGCTAATTATGACAATTTTGATTAATAAAAATAAGAAAGTTAAATTAAATTTTTTTTGTTCCTTCCTGGAAAATTATGTAACGACGCCCATGAGTCCAAGTATGTTATAATAAAGCAGTGTAAATAAATATAATTCATAAATTAATCATAGATGTGGGACACTTGGATGATTTGAAATTACCCATTATTAAAGGGTATATCTTATGTAATTACCTAGATAGTGTTTAATGGATTTCACCTGTTTTTTTATTGGTGTCTTCAGCTTCGACATCTTATGCCATTGACCTTGTGTTCTGTTGGTTATGGAGAACTAGTAGTCTAATACTCAGTGCTAGTACTCAATATTGCTGCACTCCTTTCACCTGAATTTTTTATTTGTCCAAAACTCAACCACTCTGTTATAAACAGAAATTAATTTGGCCATAGATTTTCCTTGATATAAACTGTAATTAATCCAAGTATGGCTTAACAAAATTTAGACATTTCTCCCCACCTCCAAAACAAAATTTGGCATATCTGATGAGGTATTTCAAGAGTTAAAACTAATGGGAAAGCACTAAAGGTCAAAATTGTATGTTTTTTTTTTATGATTTCTTTGAAAATTCCACTTAATTTTATACAATAATCTTTTTTGAACTATTCCCTTGTCTTTTAATCCACAAGCTGCTGCATTTACATTTTTGAGCAACGAATTGATATCCAAATGATTTCGACCATAATTTTCGATGTTGATTTCGGAAATTTCGAGAAAATTTGTAGTGATTTCGAGTGAAAACGTACCAGTATTTCAAATTTGCTCATCTCGATGTTAAAAATCATTAATATTTTAAATGAATTTTTAACTATAATGAAAAATAAGGAAATTAAGAATAAAAGATGATTTTAAATTAACAAAAATTGGTTCAACATTTAAATAAACAATACAGTTAGCCTAAGAAATTGTCAAAAAATTAATTATTCGTTTTATTTAATAAATTACCTATATGAAACAAAGAATTGTTCAAAATGACAACCATTCTGGTTGTAGCCTTTTCAATAATTTCTTGAATTGCTGCTCGAATTATCTTTGTTAGTAAAAACCTGTCTAACTAGTCAAGATACCTTTCATACAGTGCACATTCACACATATTTTACAATTTAGTTTTTGCTTAAGATATTTAAAAAAAATAATTAAAAAATAAAATTGACATACAGTAGAGCTCCGATTATCCAAGATACGCGCGTCATTGCTCTGTAGTAACCATCAGGGAACCCCTCCAAACAGCTCCACCTGTGTGACGTATTATCGTTTTTTTTTATCAGGCAGGTCCTCCCCACGATAATCGGGGGTTCTACTTTAATTACATTTCAAAAATTCTTCCAAAATTATAAATGCCATATTTCCAAGAAAGTGAAACTGCATGAAATTAATTTTTTTTCTAAATTCTCTACATTGACCAAAATTTTAACAGTGATTATATAATATAGTTCCTTGATAATAAAATGAAATCCATAAAACACCCTACAGATAAAGTACACTTTTGAAACACCCAGTATATATGAACATAAATAATTAATAAATTTGTATTGTAATTTAGTATTAAAAATAATACTTTTATAAATGATGAATTCATAGTTCAAATGAACTTTTGTTGTGATTACACACTTGATTTTTGTCTTTCGCTCCTATCTGATTTTTAAGTTATAAAACATACATTTTTCAAAATTTTAAACATTTTTTAAATCTTTTCTATTCTGTTTCAGTTGAAATTCAGAATTGAAGATGAATGCCTATCCCAAGTTTTGGAAACAACTGCACAAATGTACTGGTAAGTTTGGTATTTAGAATATTAAAAGCTATCCCTAATTATTAATTAGAAAATACATGATGAAGGGCATGCACCACTCTTACATTGATGCCGAAAAACATGCCATAAGTCTGACCAAATATTAATTTCTTTTTTATTCAATTCCATGTTAAATTATAACTGTACTTATATATATCTTTTAATTATTTTAGATATTGCCTTGCTAACTGGATTTGTATGACATTGCAAGAAGCCAGTATTATAATGTGTGACAGCAACAGCCAAATGGAATAAATTCAGAGCTCAATTACTGTTCATATGGGATCAATAATTTTAGAGCTTGAAAGTTGATTTTTATTTATTGTATGATGAAACTATTAAACAATAAAATATTGAGATATTAAGACCAAGGAGTTTTATTTAATTTCATATTTCAATTCTATAAAAATTATGTTTATGGTTGGAGTCATCAACTATTCTATGCATAGACTGCAATAGCCAATGCCTTCAGCTGAACGAGTGTATTTCATATCTACTCTAACCAAAGAACACCAATCGCATTCATATTTTGGTTACCAGACTACTATTATTTTTAAAATTTTAAACTAGTGACAATTCTGTCAAACTAATCAGTATATTTTTTAATTATAAAGATTAAATATATTTAAATGGAGTTAATCTTGTGTAGAATCGATAAATAATAGCATTTTTATTTGGTCTTATTTATAAATAACCATAAATTTTAATTAAAACTCAAATTAATTTAATTATGAGTATTAAAACCAAAATGTTATGTATGAAGGTGGAGCAGAGACTAGGGCATTTGACTGTAATTCAGAGGTTTCGAGGTCAAATCTAGAATTGGAAACTTAATTTAAATATTTAATAAATTAGTAAAAGTCAAATAATTTTAATTAGTTATTTTATCTTAACCTAAAATGCTTTTTAACATTGTAGGTTTTCGTTAGTGGGTCGTAGAATAAACTACATCTCTAGTGGATTGTCTTATCACACTCCACCTATAGCGTCGTGCTCAAACTTCGTCTTAATCCGATATGGCAATCATATCTAAAAACTAATATTCCAAAGAAACTGCGAAATTTAGATAAAATTAAACTAGATTGATTTCTTGTAATTGGGATTTAGATTCAACTGATGTTAATGATATACAGGGTGCAACAAAAAGATGTACTAATTGGCAATAAAATTCAGTTAAAAACAGCCCCGGATCTTGAATGTGTCTGACTCGACATATATTTTAATTAGGTTAGGATAGGGTCTGAATAAAACATGAGGTTAAAATTATTAGAACAGAAGTAAAAGTTGGAAAGGCTTTTGTCAGTTCTCCCACTTTATACACATAAATTTACAGGTTTGCTGCGGATTTCACCGAAGTGGACGCGATACATTGGCGTACAAAATTATTTTATAGATGTTCATAACAATTTCGAGTAAATAGTTTAATAAATTGTGAATAGCTGTTGAAATTTTGTAAAATTATGATTTGAATATTATAATACATGTTTAATAATTATTAATAGTCCATAAATACATGCGATTGTCCGGTTCCGCCGATAATAATTTAAAATTACTTATTCTATGAAACGACACTGGCAGGAAAACATTACTGCGAAATTCTCGAAGCCGTCCGACGTTGTTTGACGTTTACCCCCTCTCTACCTACCAAAAGCCTTTCCAACTTTTACTTTCCCTATATTATATTACACACTGAAGTTATAATTTTACTCTTTGAGCCAGTTATATAAGAAGAAACGTTGATTCTATTAAAAGTAAACTGGTAACTTTGCATTTATCATTATCATGTAAAATACATTATTAAAATTAATTCCAGCTTAGATTGTTGTAGAGTAAACGTCAAATAAATAATGTCTAATTATCAAAAAGTAAAGTTTTGTTTTTAAAAAATTATTTTCGAGTTAAATAAATTTAACTAGCCTTTTGTTCTGCAAACAAATCTATGGCCTTATCATAATTAATTTGATGAGCAATTTGATTTTCTATTGCTAATATGGCAAGACTTGATAAACGTTCCTGGCTCATCGAAGATCGTAGATAATTTTTGATAAGTTTGTCTGCTAAAACTTCGCTCGCAGTTTGCTGATGTAGTAGGAAGCATACAGTAAATTCTTAGAGCAATACAAATATTGCGAAAGCCATCCTGCAAATCATGCGTATAAATCTGTTGCAAGAGATTGAAAGCGCTAACATTTTTTATATCTCCAAATAAAAGTGGACCTTGTTCTTTAAAAACGTAGAGTTCCTGGCAGAATTCAACCGCGTTTAAATCTCGCTCATATTTTCGTCACAGATCTGCTCTATGCTTTTGCAGTTCTTCATTTGACATATTCAAAATTTCAGTACCATTTAGAAATGCGAAATTCGAATTCAACGTGGTAGCACTATTATCCCCCTTTTTAATTTCTGATAAGATTCTATCAAATACCACCATTGTTGCTTGAGAAAAAAGTTGAACTGGTTGAAGTGTTCGTGAATCGTCATCACACATCTTGTCAAATTGTTTTTTGCACCTCGGAATTCGTTTATTTGGCAGAATGGGTTCGACACCAATTTTTCCAGCAACTTCTTTAGCCTCTTCTATCCAATATTCAATTGAATTTTCTCTCATTTTTTGTAAATGCAAGCCAAGAACGCAGAATAAACCAATTTTATCAATCCTAACTCAAGCTACAGCACTGACAATTTACCCTAAAATGCAAACACGGTGTTAACAGTGGACCCGACATATTTTGATCTTCATATTTTGCTTGTGTCCATGCAATATTATTTGTTCGACTAGATACTGCCGACATACAGGAGTGAGAGATAAGAAATTCATACGAGGTCTAATCATCAATTTTATATGGGAGGTTGTATATGATATTAACTAGTAAATTTATCAGACCCGGTACATGAGTCTTTTATTTAGCTGTTCGAATTGACTTCGTATAGATTATATTATAACTCATACAACGTGCAGTAACATGTTCAAACATTATTCGAGAACCAGTCGATTTAACAGAAACAAAAAAAAAAAATTGATAATATAGTACTAAGTGTAACAAAGAAAAATTGTGGATTATGGATAATTTGAGTTTGAAAACAGTTCTCGGTAGATCTATAAATCAAAAAACCATACATTTTCCGGTTTTTGAAATATTTAAAAATATAGTTCAAAACTATGAAACTTAAAGAAAACAAGATTCAGTAATTAAAAGATTATCCTACTACGAGTTTTATTTTTCAGCTAAAAAGGTTAGACATTTTCTAATGTAAAAATAATGATTTTTCGAATTTTATTTTGATATTAAAAAATTAAATAAAAAAATATTGAAAATAAAGAAAAGTTTGGGAGAACGAGGTGTCCTTTATTAAGACTTAGAGCTTGAGCTTTGTTTATTATTATCAATTTATTAGCAAGCTTTTTTCTAAAAATAAACCTGACTCTTTTTAAATTTTGATTTATGATCTATTTATTAACCGACTTCAAAAAAGGAGGAGGTTCTAAATTGGTCGCGATATTTTTTTTTATGTATGTTCAGCGATAATTTTTTAACACGGTGTCCGATTTCAATAATTCTTTTTTTGTTAGAAAGGGGCTACTTCAGGGGTGGTCCCATATAAATTTGGTCAAAATCTAATAATTGGGTCCATGAAAAAATCCTCAAACTCTTCATTTTTTATGTTTGTTTAGCGACAATGCTTTACCACCTTGCCCGATTTATATGATTCTTTTTTATTAGTAAGGGGGTACCTCAGGGGTGGTCCCATATAAATTTGGTTAAGATGTGGTGATGGCATCTGCACGTTTTTGAAGTAGTTTTTTTTTTAATTTCTAATACTTGTTATGCTCATTATCACTGCATTTATTTAAGTATTTCTATGGTAATAGGTATATTAACGAAAATATGTATGTTTAAAAAGTTAAATTACTCAAAAAAAAAACATTTAATGTAAACAAGATTCCAGTTATCTACAATAAATCTATTTTCATAAACTTTTACTTGTTTGCATTCCCATATCAGAAGAACTGGACTCCGTATCACAATTAATACTCATACTAGCAGGAGCGGAAGAAGGTTCTCTTTCATCCGTTTCATCTGGACAGTCCTGAAGTTCCGTCGTCAAAATGGTGTCTATGGAATCTTCTGGTAGCGAAGACATGTCCTGAGATGACATGCCTGGATCAATTTCTGCGAAATCCGTCGTGTTTGTGTTGTCCGAAGATTGAGACGAGCGTTCGTCGTCCGAGTCAACTTCGTTAACATCCACTGCTATCACTGATGGATGTACACCTTAAAAAATCATACTTGTTTGAAAATTAAATTTGGATTATACTCGTAATCATTTGAAAATAACTATTACAACATTCACAGTTTATCATCCAGTTTTTAACGCCCATATGCAACGCCTACGGATTAGAAAATCGAGTTTCACAAAAAAGAGTTGAGTAGGAGAAATGTATGTCAAAGGATAAGAGGCCGTTGAAGATAGAAGCCCTCCCAGACAGCACAGCAAATCCTTTGGATATCTACTGAACATCCCAATATCCACTGAATGTCCAGTCCATGGTGGATATCTATTTTATATCCATGAGATGTAATTATAATAGTATATAATAGTAATTATATAACAAATTATTAAAAAATTACACCATTGTGCTCGCCATTGTGGCTAATAGTACGGTTCAGATATTTAAAATTAATTTTTTTAAGGTGTATTTAATATCCTATGGACATCCACTAAATAATCAAAGTCTAGGCGCGAACGCAAACCATCGTGGATATCCACTAGATGTAATTTTTGATTTTTCTTACTAAGTAAGTGGCGATACCACTTTCGCATCTACTCATGCTTAACCCGCCGTAATTGAGTTCGATCGAAATTTGTTTCCCAATCAGACCCCATTAGAGACTGGAGTCGAGAATTTGCATTTATTACTGAAGAGTCCTTATAAGGATGACTTTCTCTTTAGTGGGCAAAATCAAAGGCAGAGTGTTGAAAATATTTTGAGTGTTGAAAATATTTTTTCTCTGCTATTTTCTTTCGACGTTATTCAATAAACATTGGTTACTTTTATGAACCTCTACTAAAGATACCCACAAAATATTTTGCTGAATATCCGAATTCTTCTATATCCTGGGACATGGACGGACATTTGGTTGGATATCCATATTGGATATCCACAAAATATATTCTGTGGAATATCTCTGGGATTTCTCGTATTGTCTGGAAGATACCCATTAGATATTTTGCTGGATAATCCATAGGATATCTTCTATATTCTGGATATAGACGGACATTTGGATATCCATATTAGATCCACGGAATATTTCTGATATCCTGTGGATATATTGGATATCCACAAAAGATATTCTGTGGATATCTCTGGGATTTGGTGTGTTGTCTGGGCTATTTTTTAAATGTACCAAAACCGTAAAACGCATACCGAATTTTACGCAGAGTGGAAAAGAATGTTAAATGAATTTAAAAAAATAATTCGAAATTTAGATGGCAAAACCACTATGTTCATTTTTGGTAATTGTATTTCAAGCTTTTCTATGCAAAACGATATACCTATGTGAATACTTTCCCTATACTGTGCATGTTCAAAATTAGATATGACACATTTTCATTATTTAAAAGTGGACAAAATCACATAAATATATGTATTGCTTACTTATTTTTACCTTTTTCAACAAATCTGGATTTGGTTGGTTAACCAACTGATGCCATTTGGTAAAGGGCTCTCCATAAATTACGTCAAACGTGAAGGAGGGAAGAGGGTCGACAAAGTGTGACATTATGTAACGAGGAGTGCGAGGGGTCCTAAATCATGAAATTCGTGTGACGTATTTTATGGATGGCCCCCAAGTAGGATACGGGCATTGTTGAAGATTGCATCTTCTTAGCTCAAACAATTGCCGAGATATTTTACAAAAACCCTTATTTTTCTTTTAAAAATCCCCCAAATTCGATCTAAACTCTCATTCTCTGCCCTTACGAACAATTCATCAGTGATTCATTTGCGCACGTCTCTTATACGAATATGCATGCCTTTACGTCTCATTGTGCAAAATTCATATCGCATCTGCATTTGTCAAAGCTTAAACCAATGCCTAAATATTTAATTTCAAAGTTATTGGATTTTGTAGTAAAAATTAACCCAAATTTGTGACAAAATTCCATTCTGTCACTAATAATGCCGCCGTGAATCACTATGCACGAACGTTATAATACAAGAGATAGTTTTTTGAGAAAATCCATCGAAAATTACACATGCATTATTGGTTGCCTATATCAATTATCAGGACAGGGCTGGAACTCTGTGTCATGTAGAATTCTACTTATCGCTTTCTACAATAGATTCTTTTGTGGCACTCTGTGTAACATAGCGGAAAACCAACGAGTATATTCTTACTACAGGATAACTAGTTTCATAAGAAATCACATTGCGATATTTCCCGTGCGGTTGATAACGTATTTATCACAAAAGAAAGTAATCGATTTCTATTGTAGAAAGCGATAAGTAGAATTCTACAGGACACAGAGTTCCAGCCCTGGATGGCCTCCTCCGCCGGCCTATTTTTTATTACGATATTTTCTTATCTTGAACTTTCTTACTATAAAATTAATTTGAATGAAGCTGCAGGTAACAGATATATTTTGTGATTTGACTAAGGCATTTGATTATGTCAATAATACAGTATTGTTGCAAACACTATGAGTTTATGGAATCGAAGACGAAGCGCTGATGAAATGTAAGCAAATGGTAAGAACTACTAAGGAATCTCAAGTTTTAGATACAAGTTAGAGAGTCCTCAGGGTTCTGTGTTGAGTCCCATTTTATTCCTTCTTTATATAAATGACTTAACTTAAGATTGAAATTACCCCTGTGTTCTTTATCTTGTGACGCCAACTATTTGTGTCTAAATATGGAAAAAACAAAAATACCCTTATAGAAAGTCATTACATTGAATATACTGACAAAATAAAAATTCTGTCGTAGTGGCCCGGCTTAGAATAGGTTCACTATTGTGTATCGATATCTGAGGTCAAGTAGGGTCGCCCGCAGTTATTACTTGGATGTGTGACTATCCAAGGAAAGTCAGCGTACCTATACAAGCCCAAACAAACTGCCCGCGTAGCTTCATACCACAGCTGGCAGGCGACATATCAATAACTACGAGGAATAGCGTAGGTTGTGTCATGTTTCGGAGAAGATATAAAACCGTCAGTCAATAGTCCATGGATGTTGAGCTCGTTAAAGATTCCTATCTCCGGTTGGAATACCAGAGGATTCGGCTAAATTTTTAGTATTTAAGCGTTTAAACCTCGTAGTTAGAAATAGGCCAACGTTAAATAAATTAATAAAAAAAAAATAAAACTAAGCACTATAATTTAGAATTTAGAAAATAATTATAAAAATGTAAGAACCATAGAGAATTGATAAAAAACTTTCTTCTAGTTGAGTCCTATTTAAAATATATGGAATTGCATTTTGGGGAGGTTGTAGCCGTGAGTTGTTCAATACCGTTTTCTGGAAAAAAGAGCAGTACAATTTTTATGTGGAGTGAGCAATACAATTTCGACACATCTTGTCAACCTTCTCGAGTAAGAGAATAATGC